TTTGTGCGTTTGTTCGTGTCTGTGCATTTGTGCATTTGTTCGTTCTCTTGTTTGTTTTCAGGCAAACAGATGTTCGACTGAGGTGAAATGGATGCTCGCACAGGGCCGTCACAAACTCACACTCGGACATAAATTGCATGCAAACTTTCTATTAGATTATTTTACAATGAATTACAGCTGTAAAACATTTCTAGACGTGTCGAACCATATTACATAACCCGGCACAGTAGAGCGCTTGGGCTATGGACCTGGACTAATCCAAAAGGGACACCCAAAAACCATGCTCGTTTTGGAACCTGTGCATATGTGAGTTGGTTTTGCCCAGTGGCGATGACACCGTCCCTGCGAGATACATAAATATCAGTACTCAGTGGTGGGATGCAATTAGCTATCCCCCCGTTACATTATTTACAACTTCAAAACCCACCCGCTCATTTACCATACCCTTCAAGTTAGCATGTCACCCAGCAATAATACAGGTTCCAGTCAGCCCGCCAGGAGTAAGTACTTACCACTATAACGGATACAAACAACTGTGAATACCTGTTGTTGCAACAGGTGAACGAGGTGCAAAAAAAAGAGCTATGGCAGCGCCCAGCTCCAGAAAATCCCACTGTGATGAAGAAAACAACTGCACAAAGGAAAGCTCACGTGTCTGTAACCAAGCATGGCCGCCACGATGGTGGTGTAGCACAAGTTACTAGTAGTCGGCCCGATACCCCAGATGAGATCCTAGGGCTTGCAGCTAAAAAGTGTCGAGGTAAGTATCTGAACCGAGTCCAGGGTCTCAGTACACTTACATGGGTACATAGTCGTGGGTGAAACATCTAAAGGAAAAGCAAATACTAAGAAGCGCCGAGGTGAGCACTGATCCGGACTGATTCCATGATGACTAATCTTTGGGGGCCGGGTACAGTCACCGAACCATATGCAGATTCCGATATTGATGTCGATATTGATGAAGGCCTCATGAGCGCTGTCAAGCACACGCAAAAGAAAGGTCAGTTAGCATAACGGTGTCTAGTTGTCGGTTCAGCAAACTCACAGGTTTTGCAGGAAAAGAAAAGGAACTATGGTCACACACCTCCCAACCAATCGACAATGAATTTTCAAGCGACGAACCTGTCGATGAGATCTCTGATTCTCGACCTAGTCACAATGACTCGGAGAAGGACAGTGAGGAGGAGGAAATTGAAGACGACTTGGAGGAGCCCAAGTCCTTATCAGCCGAAGTAAGTGACATTGTTCATAGTAGTAACTGATTGTACCTTCAATTTATTTCCCTCAGACACCAGTGTTTGTTTCGAGGTCGAAGGCAGAACAGACTGACCTCCCTTTGACCCAACCCACCTGGCCTCGTACAACTACCTCGAAGGAGCTGATGCGGGCGGCTCAACTATTCCCCTTTCCGTCGGCTCAACCAAGGGCTACCAAGGTAAGTTGGCTTGGATACTTACCTCCATGTTGAAATAATAATACCCCTCAGAAAACAAAATCTAAGTCTGCGCATGATCGTAAATGAGCAGATGAGGTGAGTGAAAGTTCTCTCACAGTTATCTCGTGTTCGAATGATGTTTTGGACTCTCCAGACACCTGTTTGGGCAGATACTCAAGTCGTCGTGTCAGATGAGGAACATGAGCCCATCATGGTGTTAGACGACTCCGAGGAGGACAACCCAGATCACTCTAGAAGGCCCACACTTGTATGGACAGACACTGGTAAGTTGAAGCTGATGGACCAAGATATTGACACCCGTCGTGTGGTCCAAAGAGCGATCTTGGAGGCAAAAGTTCACTTGACATTTGTCAACGGCTATCCGGAGCTCACCGAGAAGAGCCTGTTTACGCGGGACGCACTCTTAACAGCAGCTCGCGCCTGCAGTGTCCTGCCCATCAAGGATCGCCTCAAGTCTGATGACTCGTATGTGACAGCTCTCGCCACGCTGGTATGCTCAAGAGTTGGACTCTTCGCAATATTACTAATTGGTTGAACCTCTCATACAGATTGAAGCCCGAGTGCCACTTTTCCGCACTGAATTAAAAGACGACGCTTGTGCTCAAGTGACGTCATACTATCGTCTTGGCCCTGATTGTGTCGACACTGTGAAGGCTTTGCTGGTCAACCACGTCTACCATTATGAACAGCATTTCAATGTAGGTGGCTATGTTCTGGGTTGCACAAATTGATTTGCTCAACACTGTGCACACTCTCCAGGAGAAGAACGACCCCATTCCACAGCCAAAAAAGCCATACTTCGCTGATATCTTACCATATCTAATGAAGGGGCGCTACTTCAATGGGCTAAAGTCAGTTGGCATGAAATTTTCAGACCGTTTCAAGGAGATTGCGCAAAACAAGGCCCAGCGGCCCGAAGTTACAATTCCAATGGTCGCCTTAACGAGTACTTCGGTATATTTATTGACATACTCTGGGTCCGAGTGCATGTACTAACAATGAGTGTATAGGTGTATGCTGCACTCTTCTGGAAGGCTAATGGATCTCCATCGAAATTCAATTTTACTGGCAATCTATTCAGCGAGGTCTACTTTTTTCATGTGAAATTTCTTGAAGACATGAAGGTGACGGCGCCGCGCAAGTTTCACAAGATGATGGCTGACATTTTCGAGGCTATCCAGTGAGTCCATTTCTGCGCTGCGCCAACTCATCTGTCCAAGTCTCACACCTCACAAGGAAACTCTGCACCCATGGCAACAACGCTTTAGTTGGATCACACGAGTCTGCGATGGCTTTCCTCGATATTGCTGGCATGGATGACGAGGAGTAGATTTCCAAGTTGCGGTCTCATCATTTTATATAATTGCATTCACGTATATCATTCTCAACGCTCCTTTATTGTCTCATATTCTACAAGCTATGCTGATATACCCCTCTTTTAATGAAAACTTAATTTGTTCTTGTAAAATGTTGGAACGAAATCAATGAAATCCTGAACAGACCGTCAAAATAAGATCCTTGATAACTTGTAAGTTTGTGAATTTATTTAAAATCATCACTAACTTAGTGCGCAGGAGTAAGTTAAAACGTTTGAATGAAATCAATGAAATCCTGAACAGACCGTCAAAATAAGATCCTTGATGACTTGTAAGTTTGTGAATTTATTTAAAATCATCAATAAATTAGTGCGCAGGAGTAAGATCTGGTGGGGCAGTAAAAAAGGTTCTCTAATCTGCTAAGACGTCTAATTTTGTGAAACTACAATGAATTAGAGAAAATTTTATTAATCTTGACATACTTAGTATATGTTTGTATCAGAGGGTTTTCCTGATGGAGCTCGCCTGTCTTAGATCGTTTGACATCCGCCCGTTGCTATTCTGTCGCCTGATGGTGAATGTGCAAGACACACATATTGCTGCTCCGTCTTGATTGGGCCCACCTCGATTTCCCTGCTTTCTGCTTTCCGAACGAGGATTGTTCTATCATCGGACCCGCTTGCGATATTGTCTCCACTGGGAGACCACGATAGTGACCGCATGTTCCAAATATGATCTATCCGTCGGTCTTCCATCGCTGAACGATTCCGTCTTCCCTCCTGCACACAGTTTTCTTTCCGTCCAGTGAAAGTTCCATTGCCCATATCCTTCCGCCCTCGCCTGTCCATGGTTCTCTGACACGAAATACCGTGTCGCAGTTCCACTTGCGCATCGTGCTATGCAATGAATCACTCACAATGTGAACCTCATGATTTGATCATGGCCTGTCCGTGTGCTCTGAACCGAAAGCGACCACGCTCGAAATACTGGAAAGTTGGTTCAAGCACAGAACCTTCTTCTCCTCAGACTTTGTGCTCTGGTGCTTCGAGCACGCCATCTGAGTCACGGACGACTTCTTCTCCCCAATCCTTAGCCCCGACAATGGTCGCCCTGGAAAAATATGTGGCCCAGATTGTCTCGACGCTCTATACCCGTTTCTCCATCCTTTCGTCCTTTCGTCCTTTTATCACCCTTTGGGCCCTCTCAGCGCTCCCTCGAGTGGAGTTGACGAATTATTGTAATCCATGCTACTGTATGCGAATGAAAAACACACATGGTTTCTAAACGCATGCGTTTGAGATTAATGATCTTCTAAGGTGAAGTCGACACCTTCTCGAGGCACCGAGTTCAGGAATCGAAAAATCGTTTCAAAACTCGATTTGCTACGTTTGTATTTCCAACATCAATGAGAGGGAAGGTTCCTCCAAAAGTCGCGTGTTAAAAAAGACTTATCAATGGCTAAGCACGGAGCTTAAAGTCCCAGTAGCGTCGTCTTGACCATCAGCTTCCTTTCTGCAAGCACGGTCCATGACAAGCTCGAGTGTCACAGCCGTTCCTACAGTTGGTGGCGAAGGAGCAAAGATTCAAGTCGTGCGGCAATCACTGTGGGCCTTGCATCCCCAGATGCTCATGGATGAGAGCCCCTTTCCCTATTGGCAGCCTCGCAAATTATAACTTCTCGTTCTGTGCACAAGGATGTGACTAAGAAACGCCAGTAAGGGCTTCCAATTTAAATCAACAGCGTCTGCGCCTCGCTAACTCGGCCTGGGTACTTGAGTCTGCGAACGCAAACACGAAAGATAAGGTAGTGGCCTAGGGTTGGCCTAGGTCTGACTCGGCACCTTGTCCTGTGTCTTTCAACCCTCTTCGGAACAAATAACATACGTATTACGACGAAATATGTGCTAATACACATGTCTCCTTGAAATCCACTCTGCAACTCCAAATAAATAAGTACCACGACGAAACTTGTCAATCAAGAAAAAAGACAATTCTCCTGCTCCCTGCGGAGCACTAGACCACCATTAACTCCATCGAGCATCTCCCGTGCTATACGCCGCTGCCAGTCGATATATGCACGCGATCCTGGAAAGCGATTGAGGTCATGCCGGTTGCTGCATCAGAGTCAGCCACGAGCCGAGCGTGATATTCTCGGACGCTAAGGATGAGGCGTGGTCCGAGCACAAAGGCCAGTATGACAGTTACAATCTGAAGAAAACCAAGCAAAATCTGAGTTTCCAGGGAAAATTGGTCCTGTATAAATGATGAACCGCGGTCGCATGCAGAGGTCAGAAAAAGATTGCCATACCGCTAAGATCGCTGGATAAAAATCAACCAAGAGGCTGAAGCAAGACACAGGAATAAAACTAGCAGCACATTCAATCATTCAGCGGAAAAGGGAGACACATTCACAATATGAGCTCACCTCGCAAAGTAAAGCACATGGGATTTTATCAACACCTTGAAACAGTCGCCAATAAACCCTCCTGCAGATTCTTGTCGCAGTTCACGGAAGTGTTTTACAGCAATCCAGACTAAGAAACACAGCGCGAGGACCTCCCAGATAGTGCCAAGTATCCAAGTAATGGAATTCAGAAAATTCAGAAGTTGGGAATTGTCCACTGCATCAGTAGTTGTGCACGCATAGGTGCCAGAGAGAATGAGTTCCTCTAGTGTTCATCAATGAGCGCTATGCACGGTTTTTATTCAAAATTAAGTGTACCCCCTGAAACGTGCCTCGTTGCCATTACAGTGACCACTACGCTGAAAATGTCGTTAGCCGAGCACACGACGACGAGAAATATCAGGATGTTTCTGGATCGTTGATACATGGCATATAACCGAGTGATCATGATGACTGCAACATGTTTCGGTCAAGTCAATATCATAGTTCTTATAGCCGCACAACTCACCACCCGGCATTAGAAATGCCACAAATGTCGTCCAAGCAAACACGAGGGCCAGAATCCGGCCTGAGAAATCCGGTTAGTGATGGGCCCTAGGTGGATCACACACTAAAAACAGACTCACATCTGTAGCAATCAAGATAATAAACGAAGAAGCTGGTCAAGAATGACACTCACCCCTACAGGGTGTCGCGGTTAATTGAATGGGAATAGCAGGCATCGGTGCAGAAGACTCACTGCATCTGTCAATAAAATCGTCGGAACACTTACTGTATGCCATTGGTCAGAAAAACAAACACTTGAATGCGGGAAGACATACACACTATGTTCAGGCTGAGTGTGAGAGATAGCAGATTAGCACGGCACCAATTGTCAAGCCTTCTGAACATACACACTATATACAAATCCAAGATAGCGCAACTAGGATATTGTCAAGTCAGCAGAAATTCATGACAGGCAAACTACGTACACTCAGATAGAGAACGGTCACCAAGGACCAACGTTGTCTCTGTCGCAAATCAATATTGTTCTTCTGACGTGGAACCGTGCTCACCCAGACCAGTTCGACCTACAAACAAATCTTAGCGAGATGGCTGCTCCGGTCATAGCATCAACATACCTCTTGTCCGAACGTAAGGGCTGGAAATACTTGTAGGAAATCAGCAATTCTCTAATGTTATCGTGCTCACCCCAATCATACGTCAGTGCAACAGCAGCGGCAACTGGAAAACCGCAATCAAGGTCAGATCGAGACATGAGCGCCGAGATCTGACTGCTCTTCACGAACCTGTAAAATAGCTGCTAATACGCCAAGCGTTGATGAGTGGCCAATAACTAGGGTCGTCTGAGACTAGTGTCATACTGTTAGAGAATGGATGTGAGAGAGCGGGGAACTTGGTGGACATACGACGATGATATTCGTGCTAGATATACTACTTACCATCCAGTGCTTGGATAACCTATAGATATCCGTTGCTGTCAATAGATATGATGTCACGTTCGAAGTGATGTAGCGGGCCTTGAATACAATGCCGCGGTGATGTGAAAGTGATCAGCACGTGCACTACAGGTTCTAGTACTAGAATCAACAATATTTGCTCATTGCGTCGGAATGATGCCAGACCAGCTGTTAGAAATAGTAGGGGATATCCACCTACCCAGGCTAGCAATAACTCCCTCCAAGTACATGTCTCAACAGGTGCACTTTCTTGCTATCCTATCATGAGGATGTCGAAAATGATTAGCGCAGAATCTTCGATTTGCATGGTGGAGTTGGTGGCACCCAATGGTGATGAGAATCAGGTTTCACGGTCAGGGACGACCTAGTTAAAATTCTGTGATTGATATCAATCCCTAGATCAACTTGAAGACAGCACTAAGACGGCATAGGCGAAAAGAAGAGCCGAACACATGGTTATGACTGCATGAAGCTCGACTTGTTATTTGTACCGTACAGCTTAATCTTGTGGATCTTGATGGCGATATTATTAATATGAGCCTCAGCAGCATCTATGATATCCCAGCGCTGAAGGGGTAACACTATGTTGGCACGCCATCAGAAAAGTCAGAGATTTGAACAAGATAACACACTTGCCAACAGCTGCCAACGCACACCCTCAACGCTAATGAAAACCGATGCAAAATGTGCGACCTTAAATGTATCATGCAATTGATGTGAATGGGAGCCGAGCTCTACTCGCGTTGTTCCTACTTCCTAGGGTAGGGACGTGGATGGATTGGAACAACGCCTGTGCAGTGCTTATGTAATCAGGCAATAAAATACTGATTTACATAAAGATGTGGGGCTCAACGTACATAAATAGACATAAATCAAGTAACTTTGGTTTGCACGGGCGGAACACTTGAACACTGCAACTGCAAAACATGAAAGAACGTCAACTTGAACTGTCACCTTGTTTTTTCGAGATGTTCTTGTCACACAGCAGTCCATTATGACAAACCAATCAAGTAGTACTTCCCACATGCTGGTCGTGGTGGGCGTAGCGATTTCTGAGTTGGTGTTTCGGGTTGCCGCGGCGGTGGGGGCAGTGGCTTCCTCAATGGTCGGTGTCGCAAAGGATTCAGAATTCATCATGCTCATTAGGGTAAGCCGTCCGTATTCTGGACTCTGACACTGGCCATGAGAAAAACAGTTGCACAGTACTCGCTGCTTTTTCTGTTTGGTCCTCTCTGGTAGCGAAGTAACAATGTCAGTGAGTTCTCGTGTGTATGACAGGATTTCATGAGGCGGCGCTAACAGTTGTTGTGTAACAGGCTCTATTTTTGCCAAGCCACGCCGCTGCCTCGCTACAGCTAGGTTTATCCTCATGATCATTTGCTGCATTCCAATCATGCGATCTTCACACACTGGACATATCTTTGCCCACCAGAATCAAAACAACGATGTAAATTTTGATATTTGCTGTGTTTGGACTTGGCTCTTGGCATGCAACGGAAGTTTGCTGTAGAACATCAGAATCTACTTCTTGTGTTTTGCTACGAGAGCATCCACCTCACACAGGTATTCCAGATCGAACACATTATGCGATCACTGAATCACCTGCCAATAGCGGCTTTTTCATGCACAGCGATTCTTCTAGTGTGAACATAGCCCCATGGCATCGCACAAGCCCCCCAATACATTTTCAACCAAATCTTGCCTGAAATATCTTTTCACGAGGCGCCAGCAAGAGATATCAACTTGCGCAGGACAATCATACTTGTCACAGATGACACGCCCACGCCAACTACGAAGGACAATTGCACCTGCCTCCGCTTTTGTCGTACGTATCAGATAGACAGTACCACTTCAGAACTTGTTTGACCCTTCGAACAGCGACCTTAGACCTTTTTGACCACAATCTGCCTTCCAGCGTCAATGCAGGACTTGTGCTGTGCCTACACTCATTAGTAAGTCGAGATGTGCTTTGGATATTGGCTTACCTTTTTTCCCAGAGGTCACTATCTCCTACTCGTGCCGTGCGGGTATGCAGCCATCACCGCTCTCTAAGCGACTTGTATTCGGTGCGCCCTCATGTCATGAGTCGTGGACTGTACGACTGACCGTTGTGCATATCCCACCACAGCAGATTTGCTAGTATACATCGATCAAGCTGAAAACCCCTCCTTTAGCAGAGCTTTGGCCGTCAGCTGATAATTGTGCTGTGGCGTCAATGTCTGTTCGTGTTCCACGAAATCAGAGTCGACCAATCAAGTGCGTTTTACCGCGTCTGAGCATTCCACTATTTGCAAAGGCTATTGAAATATTGCAATACGCAGCTGAGACTTACCAGACGACGGATTGTATTCAAGAATGGCTGGCGGCACCATCATCTAACGTTTAGCACTGATCAGGACATGGGAATGACTCGATACCCCGCCAGACGAACGGGTGACTGATAGTAGTCCAGTGCGATGGGGCGCAGGACGGTGACAGTCTGACAGAGGTGTTCGGAGCTTCAGTTCACTCAACTGTCTTCTTGTGCTTTTTACAAGAATGGAACGTCCCATATACATTGTGTATTAGTGTGAGGTGGGCGCCCGCACCTGGCTGTACTTGGGGCACATACCACTTGTTACATATACTCGACAGATGATGCAGAGGGATAAGCACATGACTCAAACTGGCAAACCTATAGCGAGTTTTCGTTGTATCGAGTCCGAATGTGGCGTTAGAAAATCTTGGACAAACACATAAGATTTCAAACGTCAACGGTCACACTGGCATGAATTCGAAGGCCTGGGCTCCATTATATCTATTGTAAATGTAATGCTCTGTAGGCCATTGCTAGCACTCCCCTTCCTTCTGTTTGGTCTACCAACAGGAGTCTAGCATAGCGTGGTCCTGTGATCAATCCACCAGAATCTGCCTAGATGCTTGCAGGTAGCAGCAGCTGCAGTATATCGATGGGAGGCGCGCAGAATTCCAAGCGGCATCTTCCCTGTTGAAGTTTGTACAATACGAGTTAGTCGACGCCATGAACTCTTACTTATCAGAACTATCGTCCAATGCATTGGTCTACCTGCCTCGCTCTCCCGTTTTCCCTTTCATTTGTGGCGGGAGTTTCTACTTTTAATGCAAGGGCATATGCTGTCCAGTCCACTAGTTGCAGAGCTGTAGATCGCGCCCTGAATGAGGAGGTCGATATTACCATTGGTACACATTTACGCGCGTTGCTTATCCAGGGCCGGGGAAAGGCGTCGACGATGGTGAGAATGTGGAGTCAGATAATGCTGCGTGGTTGTTCAGGGCGTGCATCTGAATCTGGAGAGCGAGTTGCCCTTCGGTCACTGAGGGATGATTGGGGTCGTAGTTGGACGAAGGCGCGGTGTGGATGGGACAGCCACAGTAGGTATTATTGCGCCGAACGTGCGAGAATGGGTAGGGATAGGGCGAGCCTACTGGAGGTGCTGGGCTGGCTTGCATGCTTTGCATGCCAGATATCAATGGCGACCGGAGCAGCAGTCTGGTTGTGAGGTGTGGGCGGTATAGGTGCGACTGGACGAGGAGCTTGAAAGTAATGCGATATAAAGGCAGCTGCGGCATCATCGTGATTCTGATCATCTGAGTAGACTTGATTTTGCAGCGGGTGTGGCCGCCCGTTGCTCTGATGCTGTTGTTGATCTGCACCACGAGTGTCAGAAAACGTGCGGCTCTGCTGGTGCCGCAGATCATGCTCTGATACATAGTCAACCTGCTCAGTCGTTAGCCTCACCGGAAGTGCTGGTCGGTTAGTAGACGGACAAGAATGTGGCGAGAAACAGACATGGTTTTGTCGTCCAGTGAAAGCTCGTTGTCAGATCTGGGCAATCACAAGAACATTAGTCGTCTGGCAAATAGGATTTTGAAGAAGAGACGTACGATGTAGCATCAGGCAGGTGTGATTCAATGTGTGCTAGCGGCAGAAAGAACAAGACGTCAGCTAAGTCGGAGTCTGAGTCGCACGCTACATACCTTCAAGTTGCTCGAACGTCCAGTTTTATGGGGGCGACAAGTCACTGAATTTGGAGAGACAGTCGTTAAAAATGTGGGATAGGACTTCAGTTGGCAAGTCCGAGTCATAGAAGCGTTTTTGGGTCCGGATCGTGTCTGCGAGGAAATAATGTTCAGAAGCGTAACCTCCCGGGCAAACGAGCGTTCTGATGGTCCCTCCTGTGCATATCACCTTCATACTCTCGTTTCGTCCAAACACGGTTCCGTTTTGCATTCCGAGTTGTCGATCGACCTAGGTGGATCGCTGTCGTTCCTTTAGTATATAACGGGGTGACCAGAAAGTGCGTGACTCATTCAAGTTTCCCATGGGATCTTAGTAAGCAAGATAACAACCTCTGCTCTCCGCCATGACAAAATTGAACACTGACTTTGGAATGGGGAAACAGAAGACCCCACGAGAATGCCTATAGAGCCTATGCTGGGATGACCGCTCTTAAAATCTCCCCTGCATTTTCCTATGACGTGCAGATTGAAGGCACCCCGGCCGATCTACGTGACGCGGTTGCCCAATCACAGTACTATCTCGAAAATGACAAACTTGGGCGTCTCGTCGTAGGCCACGGTGCCATTTCTTCAAAGGCTGTGAAGCTCCTGGGTACCTGTAGCGAGCAGTACGCACTGACCATTACAGCAGACGGCTCAGCTGCTACTTTGACAGCGAACTCGTCGTTGGGTCTGTATAGAAGACTTACTACTTTCAATCAGATTTTCTACTACTATGGAGATGTAATTTACACTTTACTCGCCCTGAATGGAAAGCGACTACGCTCGAAATACTGCAGGGTTGGTTCAAGCAGAGAACCTTCTTCTTCTCAGACCTTGTGCTCTGGAGCTTCGAGCACACCATCTGAGTCACGGACGACTTCTTCTCCCTAATCCTTGGCTCCGACACATGGTCGCCCTAGAAGAGTATGTACCCCAGATTGTCTCGGCGCTCTATACCCGTTTCTCCATCCTTTCGTCCTTTTATCACCCCTCAGGCCCTCTCAGCGCCCCCTCTGATTACCATCCTTCTGTTAGCTTGGATTGGAGTTGACGAATTATTGTAACCCATGCTACTGTATGCGAATGAAAACACACATGGTTTCTAAACGCATGTGCTTGAGATCAGTGATCTTCCAAGGTGAAGTCGACACCTTCTCGAGGCACCGGGCTCAGAAATCCAAAAAATTGTTTCAAAAATCGACTTGCTACGCCTGTATCCCCAACATCAATGCGTCTTCGCCCCGCTAAGTCGGCCTGGGGACTTGAGTCTGCGAACGTAAATGCGAAAGATAAGGTAGTGGCCAGGGATGGTCTAGGTCTGACTCGACACCTCGTCAAGTCTCTTTCAAGGCTCTTCGAAACAAATAACTTGAATACATATTACGACAAAATATGCGGCAAGACCCATGTCTCCTTGAAATCGATTTCGCAACACCAAATAAATAAGCACCACAATGAAACTTGTAAAAAAAGCTAACTCTCCTGCTCCCTGCAGAGCACCAGACTACCGTTAACTTCATCGAGCATCTCCCGTGCTACACGTCACTGCCAGTCGATATATGCACGCGCTCCTGGAAAGCGATTGAGGTCATGGCTGTTGCTGCATCAGAGTCAGCCACGAGCCGAGCGTTATATTCTCGAACGCTAAGGATGAGGCGTGGTCCCAGCACAAAGGACTGTATGGCTGTCAAAATCTGAAGAAAACCAAGCAAAATCTGATTTTCCAAGGAATTTTGGTCCTATAAAAATGATGAACCGCGGTCACATGCAGAGGTCAGTGAAAGATCGCCATACTGCTGAGATCGTTGGAGACAAAAAATATACGAGGTTGAAGCAAGACACGGCAACAAAGCTAGCACATTCAATCATTCAGTGGAAAAGGGAACCATATTCACAATATGAGCTCACCTCGCAAAGTAAAGCATGTGGGATTTGATCAACACCGTGAAACAGTCGCCGACAATCCTTCCTGCCGAATGTTGTCGCAGTTCACGGAAGTGTTTTGCAGCAATCCAGACTGCGAGACACAGCGCGAGGACCTCCCAGACAGTGCTGAGTATCCAAGTCATGGATACCAGAAGTGAGTAATTATCCGAAAAGCCAGTAGTGCACGCATAGGTGCCAGAGAGAATGAATTCCTCTTGTATTCATCAATGAGCCCCATGCACGGTTTTTATTCAAAATTAAGTGTACCCCCTGAAGTGTGCCTCATTGCCATTCCAGTGACCGCTACGTCGACAATATTGACAGCCAAGCACACGACGACGAGAAATATCAGGATCCTTGTGGATCGTTGGTACATGGCATGTAACCGAGCGATCATGATGACTGCAACATGTTTCGGTCAATTCAATATCAATATCAGAGGTCTTATAACTACACAACTCACCACCCAGCATTGCAGATGATACAACACTCGTCCAAGTCCACGTGAGGTACAGAATCCAGCCTGAGAAATCTGGTTAGTGATGGGCCTTGGGTGGATCACACACAACCAAACTCACACCTGTAGCAGTCATGATAGTAAACGAAGAAGCTGGTCAAGAATGACACTCACCCCTACAGGGTGTCGCGGTTAATTGAATGGGAATAGCAGGCATCGATGCAGAAGACTCACTGCATCTGTCAACGGAATCGTCGGAACACTGCCTGTATGCCACTGGTCAGAAAAAACAAACACTGTGAATGCGAGAAGACATACCCAGTATGTCAATGCTGAGTATGAGACATAGCAGATTAGCACGACACCAACTATCAAGCCTTCTGAACATACACATAAGTGACAATTCCAAGAAAGCGCAACTAGGATATTGTCAAGTCAGCAGAAATTCACAACAGGAAAGCTACGTACACTCAGATAGAGAAAGGTCATCAGGGACCAACGTTGTCTCTGTCGCAAATCAATGTTGTTCTTCTATGGTAAAAATGTGCTCACCCAGACCAGTTCGACCTACAAACCAATCTTAGCGAGATGGCTGCTCCGGTCATAGGATCAACATACCTCTTGTCCGAACGTAAGGACTGGAAATACTTTTAGGAAACCAGCGATTCTCTGATGTTATTATGCTCACCCCAATCATACGCCACTGCAACAAAGGAGGCAACTGGAAAACCACAATCAAGGTCAGATCGAGACATCAGCGTCAACATCTGACTGCTTATCACGAACCTATGAAATAGCTGCTAATACGCCAAGCGTTGATGAGTGGCCAATTACTAGGGTCGTCTGAGACTAGTGTCATACTGTTGGAGAATTGATGTGAGGGAGCGGGAAACCTGGTGGACATACAATGATGATATTCGTGCTAGATATACTACTTGTCATCCAGTGCTAGCGCTTGGTTGACCTATAGATATCCGTTCCTGTCATGTCATGTTGAGTCGAAGTGATGTAGCGGGCCTTGAATATGCCGCGGTGATGTGAAAGTGATCAGCACGTGCACTACAGGTTCTAGTACTAGGATCAACAATATTGGCTCATCGCGTCGGCATGATGCCAGACCAGCCATTAGAAATAGTGGTAGCAAAGTAACACTGTCGGTGAGTTCTTGTGTGTATGACAGGATTTCATGGGGCAGCGCTAATAGTTGTAGGCTCTATTTTTACCAATCCACGCCACTGCCTCGCTACAGCTAGGTTCATCCTCATGATCATTTATTACTGCATTCCAATCATGCGATCTTCCACGCACTTGACATATATTTTCCCATCAGAATCAAAAAACAATATAACTTTTGATATTTGCTGTGTTTGGACTTGGCTCGTGGCCAGGGGATAGGTGTTTGCATGGTCGAATGCAACGGAAGTTTGCTGCAGAACATCAATTTACTTCTCGTGTTTTGCTACGAGTCTCGAGAGCATCTCACACTAGCAGGTATTCCAGATCGAACACATTAATATGCGATCACCGAATCAGGCACTATCTACGACTGACCGTTGTGCATATCCCACCCACAGCAAAGACGCGACACAGTTACCATACAGATTTCCTCAGCAAGGCTCTGATCGTGTCATACCCTTCGAATTTATGCAGCGCATCGTTAACACGAATTCTGGCGCAAGAATACTAACCCACGAGAGACCTTGATACACACGTACGCGATGAGTGTACCGGGCACGAATCCTCCATACAGGCCAACAATTTTGTCGGAACGCAGGATCTGGTATACGTAGAAAATCCCCTTTAGCGGAGCCTTGGTCATCAGCTGATAATCGTGCTGTGGCGTCAATGCCTGTTCGCGTTCCACGAAATAAGAGACGACCAATCAAGTGCACTTTACCGCGTCTAAGTATTCCACTATTTGAAAAGGCCGTTTAAATGTTGCAATCCGCAGATGGGGCTTACCAGACGACGGATTGTATTCAAGAATGGCTGGCGGTGCCATCATCGAACGTTTAGCACTGATCAGGACATAAAAATGGCTCGACATCCCGCCAGACGAATGGGTGAAGCTGATAGTAGTCTAGTGCGATGGGGCACAGGACGGTGACAGAGGTGTTCGGAGATTCAGTTCACAAACGCTCAGGCTGGTCAACTGTCTGCTTGTGCTTTTCACAAGAATGGAGCATCCCATATACAAAAGGTATTAGTACTAGGTGGGCATGCAAACCAGCTTGCTGCACTTGGGTACATACCACTTGTTGCATACTCGACGGTTGACGCAGAGAGATAATTTGACTCAAGACTGAGTCTTCTTTGTGTCGAGTCCGAATGTGGCGTTAGAAAAACTTGGACAAACACATAAGATTTCATACGCCACACTGGCATTACAGTACATTATCTCATAATGTATAGCGACGGGAGCTGCCTTTTCGCTATACAGTATGAAAAATATACACTACCAAACAATTCCCACGGTGGGGGGTCAACCAAGATTGGGGGTGTCGATGCGCGCTACAGTCCAAAAATCAATACATTCAGCGAGTACATCGAAACGGTATGTTACTTGATGTTCCAGAATCGGTCTAATGTAGCCTGCTTTGCATTCTGCAATTCCTCGCGCCGTAGCGCCGCTCGGAATGCACGAAGTTTGTGAACAAGATCAAGTGAAGAATCAGCACCAGCTCGCGCAACACATGCAGCCTCCAGCTTTTCACACAGCGGAATCAGTTCAGCGGCACAGACCTTGGGCTGGTCACCCTCATCCTCATCATCTGACTCCACTTCAACCAGCTCCCCGCTCCTAATTCCTTGCCGGCGCTGAATTTCTGCAACAATTGCATCATCATCCTCGTAAGCAGTTACTTCCCCGATGTTCTTCTCCTCTCGAGGGTCGAGAATCTCGTCAACAGTCAGTGGTGTGCCAATGATCCGTCTTCGTGTTGTGAGCTCCTCTATGGAGCTCATCAATTCATTTTCGAGAGTTTGGAGTTGAGGTGCCTTGGTAAGAGACGGAATTTTGACAACGAGCCCAGTTCGTCGACATGCAACCGATGCGAGTTTCTCAACAGCCTCGGCCGCTTCGATGTTGTCACCCTCCGCATCCATAACAGCTTTGAGGGCATCTGTCCAGTCCTCCTCGACATAATGATTGCCGAGGTGTTCTTTCAGGCGAGCTTCGGCCTGAGGCAAGGTCATGGAATCAATATCCGCGAACTCGCGGATGATTTTCCATGCACCCGGGTCTGCGTGGGCAGGGTGAGACGAGGGTGCCAGAGAGTTGGCTTGGATTTCGGCGTGATTCCAGCAATGCTGAATAGTGGATGGTTCAACGGCATCCCATGCCTCTTGCGCCATAACCATGGCTTCTCGAAGGTTTATTTTGTAGATATCGCGATTACCGGCTTCGTCAAGTTCAATAGCGCGGAGACAGAATGCTCGACGGTAGTGAGCCTTGAAGCAACGAATGACTCCAGCATCGAGAGGTTGAACAAATGATGTTAGATTTGGCTCGAAAAATTCGAGCTGGATGTGGAGTGGTTTGTACGTGATTTTGTGCCCAGAGAAATTGTCGATGAGAAGGCAGATGTAACGTTGTTGGATCCCCATCTTGACATCGAGTACCTTAATCCACCTTGAATTTAATTGTAAATTTGTATGTGAATATCTAGCGTGTACGCGGTGCTTACTCATTAAACAATTCACTTGTCATCCATGCTTTCTTGTTGTTTCGATAGTAAAACCCAGCACTCTGTGGTGACTTGCCACCAAAGCATCGGGGCATTTTGGAGTAACCAATGAACAAAAGTGGAAGCTTCTCACTTCCATCTGCGTTCGTAGCAAAACCAAGAGTCACCCTAAATTTCTCTTTTTTCTTCCCACTCATTTGATGTGTAGCAAGGCCACGATCAGGAGGTGCCCTGATCCATTTTAGTTCCTTTTGAAATTTGAACTGAATACTTGTGAGTGACTTACCTTGCAAACAGACCTGATTCATCAAAATTCCAGCGGTCTCGCACTGGGAAAGTTGACAGGAGACGTCCCACCCGCAACCGTTCGTGTTTCACTGCTTCTAAATCCACTGATCCGGCCTCGCCATGACGCCGGTATTCTTTGATATTGTATGCTTTGCAGAAAGGGGCTATCCAGCCATCACCAAATAGCTGCTCTGCTTCTGGAACACCAAGCTTCTCTTCGAGCTTCCGCCGCTTCTCCCGGAGCATTGCTCCAGTGTAACTCTCACCCTTCTGCTCCATGCTTGTGATCCATTCCACAAGTGCTTCTTCAACATCAGGGCGGGTAACGACACGTGGCCGTTTACTCGAGAGAGCCTTGGGGTATGACTCGATGCGTTGCTCAAGGTGCGTGCGGTCCTTTAATTTTCGCGATAGGGTCGCTTGGGTAAATTCAAGCACCCCTTCTTTTCGTGTCTTGAAATGCTGAACAATACGATCCTGGGGTAAGTCTGGATGTTCATCAATGTATGCAAACACCACCAGCCAGTCGTTCAAAGTAAGATTCTTCCGCCCGTTAGTATCAGAAATCTTTGTAGATGTTGCAGGACCATCTTTCTGACGAGGTGTTTTTGGTTTCCGCTTGTATGGGGCGGGATTTGGACGTGGCTGGCGTTTTTTAGGGCTGCGCACCATTGGGACTAGAATGACTATAGAATTGTTTATCTTACAACGTTGTTATGCATCAACTTCCGGCAACTCAATAGTAGTCCTACTCGGTACAAACCATATCTCATAGTGTATATTGGACCTCCAAAGGCTATACATTATACAATATACAATTTTTTGGGCGTCTACCCGCAAACCACGATGGGAGCTGCCAAAACTCGATACAATATGAGATTTATACATTACTAACTCATACATTATGACATAGTGTACTGTAGTTCGAACTTCGGCCAACTGGGCTTCATTATATCTGTTGTAAATGTAATGCTCTAGCCTCTGTAGGCCTTGGCTAGCACTCGCCTTCATTCTATTTGGTCTGCCTACAGGAGTCTATCAGAGCGTGGCCTGTGATCAATCCGCCGGAATTTGCCCAGATGCTTGCAGGGAATATCGATGGGAGGCGCGCAGAATTCCAAGCGGCATCTTCCCTGTTGAAGTTTGTACAATACGAGTTAGTCGACGCCATGAACTCTTACTTATCAGAACTATCGTCCAATGCATTGGTCTACCTGCCTCGCTCTGCCGTTTTCCCTTTCATTTGTGGCGGGAGTTTCTGCCTTCAATCCAAGGGCATATGCTATCCAGTCCACTAGTTGCAAAGCTGTGGATCGCGCCCTGAACGAGGAGGTCAATATTACAATTGGTACGCATTTACGTGCATTTCTTGGCCAAAGATGTTTATCGTGGTCGTAGATTATGTAGACGTCAACCCAACCGCGGAAAAGAGCATCATCATGGTTCACGGCTGGCCCAGTCTTTGGAGCTCCTGGGGGTACCAGATCGACGAGTTCAAGGTAGGTATCTCTTCTGTCAGCCGATATCTTTCGATGTTGATCTGCTCCAGGATGAGTATCGCATGATTGCCATCGACGTTCGTGGTTTCGGAGGTTCAACGCACCCCGCTGATGTTCAGTCGTCCAGTACATTGGCCGATATCACTGGCGATCTCACTTGTGTTCTCGAACATGTTGGGATCGAAACTACTATTTGTCTCGGGTATGTCTTGTAGAGGAACTCTCCCGACTCACCTGATATCTGTATAGTCACGACTGGGGTGCTGAAGTCTGCTACGAGGCCGCGAGGAGACGACCTGATATCTTTTATGCCTTGGTTGGCGTGACCGTTCCGGTAAAAAGACCACTGCTTCCCAATTTACCTGCCTGACCATCATGACCAGTATTTGCACGCTGCTGGACCCTTTGCGGACAGCTCTCAGCTCTCAGCAGTCATGCCCAAGCTAGCCTACCAGGTTTTCTTCGAGAACCGCACGGCAGAAGCCGTCGCTGAACTGAATAAGGATGTCAGGAAAAGCCTACGCGCGACTTTGCGCACAGTAAACAGTGCCCCTCCAGATAGCTTCCTCACAAGCACAAGTTCTTATCTCACTGCGTATGATAATGTGACGGAGGTAATATTCGGCCTCGTTCTAGGGTGAAGTGTACTAACCTTTGACTAGATTCCTTCAATCCCATTCTTCACCTCGGATGATGAAGATTATTTTGTCGAACGATTCAGCATGCAGAAATTTGACCATAGTACGGAACAGAATTACTTCGATACTGTACTAGGCTAATCAATACCCCACAGCTCTCATATTCTACACTCGCGGAGTACGTAGATATCTTCTCATAACGCAACCTTAACTGAATATGAGACGCTTAGAACCGCTATGGAGCATGGCAATCTACTCAAGCTCAAGGAAATTACACCATTCCCCAGCCCGTCTTATCTGTTTTACCTCTACATGTGAGTCATCTGTCCAAAGATACAAGCCCTTACTCATGCACGTCACCGCAGGATCCTGTCGCAGTCTGGGTGTTCGCTGCAAATTACTTGAAATCTGCGGCGTTCCTGCCACAACTGACGACCAAGGTGCGTGATATGACCTTTTCCCAAGGACTACGGTGACAATCGAATGCAGACGATGGAAGGCGCCCATTGGCCCCACCTCGAGTACCCACAAGTATTCAATGGCATTCTCAGAGCATGGTTGGAGACCTTGGAGCATTCGCTCACCCCAGCCCAGCGGGTCTTCTCGGACGAATTGTAATCTACGACCTATTCCATAAACTTATTCACAATTCAAGGACTCAGGAACGTAGGGTAGACACTCAAGGACAAGTGTATAATAGCAATAGCAAGCATGATGCATTATGTACATACATGGATGAGGGGGAGGTACATCACCCGATGAACATATCTAGACGTGTGGGAAGAGGAGTTACTGGAAACAGCATGGACAGCGTACATGGGTACAGTACAGCATAGGACAGTATGGGTTATATGGAGTGCATACATCGGGGTAGATCACAACATTCGAAAAGTCACGCGTCAGGAAGGCCATTACCGTTCTGCAAACCGACACCCAGAGTCTGCCGGAGCAGCATCTCAACGCGGTCCCGCTCATCACTGATGCGCCCCATCTCGTCCTCCCAGCGTGCGACGCGGTGGTCGTATATCGAGCGAAGGGCACCAAGGCTGCCGAGCGCAGTCTCAAGTGCACGCTTGAGGTCGCCTTCGCGGGATTCTGAGCTGCCGTCGGAACCATCGCCGGAAGAAGTCGAATTAAGGAGCCTCTCAACCAGCGTTGTGCCCTTGGCGCGGGATGCTCGTCGACGAGCAGCGATGCCCCGGAAAGAGTTTCGTATATTGTGCATGCTCGGAGATTGTGTCCCTATTTCACGACGAATGGAGCGTGATGTCAGCGCGTGCAGTTTTGTAGAATGCGAGGGTGCAGCGAGAAGGACCATCGTCGTATCCGTCTCGCAATCAAGCGCTTGGAACTACAACGGCAAATGTCAGGGTCCACCCATAGCAGTTGACAACGAGTCATCTCACCGCTTGCTGCAGAGCCTCCCACCGTGTATCCCACCTCCTCCGTCTCTTTTCGATGTTGTTGACGTAGTTGGGGTGATACTCCAAGTCTAACAAATCATCCTTGTCGTCCTCATCCTCATCCACCCACTCAGTGCCATCATCAAGCACCGTCCCATTCACCCAGTTACCCTCCTCAGCAACCTCGAAACGTTCCTCACCAGCGGTCTCCTCACCAGACGAGTACGGCTCTGGGCTCGTATCCCGCGGCTGAGTGCTATCCACACGAGGCGGCGGCTTGATCTTCCGCTTCGTACTCTGGACCCGCAGATCCGAGGATGCCTGACGCCGCTTGACTCTGCTAGTCGGGAACGGAAGGCTGACCGGTTGGTGGCTGGGGCTCGATTGGATACTCATCGTTGCAGTAGAATCAAACCGGGGCCGTACGCCTCCCCCGAACGCACGAGATGCTTGTAGGAACGTCCATGGGTTGTATCCAGGGCCGGGGAAAGGCGTCGACGATGGCGAGAATGTGGAGTCGGATAATGCTGCGTGGTTGTTCAGGGCGTACATCTGCATCTGGAGAGCGAGTTGCTCTTCGATCACTGAGGGATGGTTGGGGTCGTAGTTGGACGAAGGCGCGGTGTGTATGGGATAGCCAGAGTAGGTGTTGTTGCGCCGAACATGCGAGAATGGGTAGGGATAGGGCGAGCCTACTGGAGGTGCTGGGCTGGCTTGCATGCTTTGCATGCCAGATATCAATGGCGACGGAGCAGCAGTCTGGCTGTGAGGTGTGGGCGGTATAGGTGCGACTGGACGAGGAGCTTGGAAGTAATGCGATATATAGGCAGCTGCGGCATCATCGTGATTCTGATCATCTGAGTAGACTTGGTTTTGCAGCGGGTGTGGCCGTCCGTTGCTCTGATGTTGTTGTTGTTCTGCACCACGAGTGTCAGAAAACGTGCGGCTGTGCTGGTGCCGCAGATCATGCTCTGATACAGAGTCAACCTGCTCAGTCGTCAGCCTCACCGGAAGTGCAGGCGACTCACGGCGCTCCTCAGTAGGTCTGACGGGAGGCTTTTCAAAGACGGCAGTGTCGAAGCTTCGGAGGCCTAGTCTGTCTGTGCTGCCGTTGCGGTGATGCTTTGTGAGGCTTGAGAGGCGTTGATTTGCGGGCTGCGGGGCGTATTGCCTGGCCGAATATGGTTCGGGTAAGCTGGCAGTAGGTGAGCGCGGGGTGTATGACTCCAGTTCTCCGTCGTGGTCTCCGTTAGTGTCGACGGGGAATTCATGGTCGTTTTCGATGAGAGTATCTTCGTCCTCTTCATGATATTCATGCCCCTGAGTATAGTCGTCGTTCTTCGAGGTTGCAATATCGTCTTCTGGTTCTTCTTGGACAGGCAGTGACTTGTCGGGAGTTCGGGTCTTCATGGCCTGCAAGGGAGGAGTGTTGCTGGCAAGTTTGCTGACCGCAGGTGGTGTCACACGAGCGCTGTCGGCGGCATTGGCTTTCCGCACCGTGGGCGGCGGACTGGGAAGCCTAAGGGAGGAGCTTCCATTAGATTGATACGAGTCCCGCTTATAGGAGACGTAGTCCACGTCCACTGCAGTCACACTCTCACCGCCCGACGAGCCGGTAGGCGTGTGGTAAGGGGGAGAAGTGCGCTCAGGAGAGGGCACACGCTGCTGGGGGTGCCCCAAGGGTGAGTAGGACGGAGACCCAGTCTGACTGGACGGGAGAGGACGCTCGCGGGCACGAGCAGTATCGCTCGGCTGGGCTTCCTTCTCGCGTTCGACAACGCGCATGGAGCGGGAGCGCTGCAGGCCGCCGCTCCCTTGCCCGTCGGCATCCTTTGGACTGGATCGTTCGTTCGCACGGACGCGGTCACCGATGGGGTCTTTGAGAGGTGACGGCACCTCGCGTACATAAACGGCGCCGCTCGTTGCGCCACCGGCGTAGGCGACGCCAGACATTCCAGGCACGGGCGGCTGCTGACTCAGGGCCTGCGCATAGTCCGCTCGCTCAATCTCTGCCATGAGCTCTTCTGTCATATGCCAATTCTCCTCCATGGCATGGAAGTGTGTTAAGAACTGGGGAGGAGGGACCCTGTTAATAGGGCGGGGGGTAACCCATTTGCGGATTCATGAGGTGGGCGTGGATGTTGGGTTGACTGAGTGAGTGCTGGGGGAGAGGAGGGGGTTGATGCATGTTGGGCTGGCTGAGTGAATGTTGAGGAGGAGGTGGGGGTTGGTGCATGTTCGGCTGGTTGAGTGAGTGAATAGGAGCCGAGGGAGAATAGTGCCCCTGGATTGCTTCTTCTCGGAGATGAGAAGGCTGATTGAGTGGAGATGGGAGTTTAGTCACATTGGGTGCGACCTGCGTGAGGGCCGGTGGTGAAGAAGTACGTTTTGACTGCGGGGATATGTTTGCAGTGGTGGGGCTAGCTTGTTGTGCCTGGCGTTGATTCGCAGACTGAGCTGCCGCTCCGTAAATCTGCATGACGGAGGGCACGATAGGCAGGGATTGGGCCTTGATCGTCCTTTGTCTTGGAGATGGGGACATCTCACGAGGTGGTGTGTTCTGGGACGAGCCTGATATAAAGAGTCAGTTTTGGGCGTTTGAAGTGGTTATTGGATAAGAGAAGATCCGGTACGGTTGTAATAACAATGGAATGTGGTCAAGAAGCGTGAATATTGTACAAGGAGAAGAAAGACGTGAAATTAACGATGTGAAGGATGTATCAGCACGCACGAACGCCCGGGTGATGCTAATCATGATGGTGATGACGGATCCACACTTTGAGAAGGGGCTGCGATGGGAACAATAGGCACCAGAGCAATAAATAAACATTACAGACCTTGAACCCCGGGATACATTTGAACTTTTCTTTGTTTGTGTGGGGACTGTTGACTTGTCATGGGCTGTATCTGAGCTCGCTATGACTTGTTATGCTGGCTGTAGATGGGGGAAGAAAGCAAAGGTTAGATCTGAGAAGATAACGAGCTGAAGAGTGCGCAAGTCAAACGTACGCGCGTTTCCAACGTGGCTTGCTGCGTTGCAAGCAGACTGTAGGGGTGGGTAAGGGCCGTGATAGGAAGCGCTGCCTCGAGGCAAGCCTGGCAAGGAAACACGCCCGGTCCGGGTACAATCACATCATTTCATTCAACCTGTGCCTCCATTATGTACCTAGGCTAGCTGCAGACCAGAAGGCGCTATCAGCCCTAGCTAGCGGCTATCGTGATTTCCTACGTTCATACCAGTCAATTCAATCAGAAACATCATTATTGCACTCACGAGAAGTTTGACCCACAAGTCGGATTCCTGGCAGAGAATGGAAACATGGTCACATAATCGTCACGCGCATATGTCACATTACGGAAGGCGTCCAAGCTCATCGTCCCATCTGATGGCGTCCAGCTCAGCCAGTGCAAAGTAAGCTCTACCTTCATTTCCATGATCATTCTCATATTACTTCAGGTTTCTCCTGCTATACGAATCCCTTCCACCTGATGAACAGTATGCTCTCGTAGAGAGCTCGCTTGCACCGCTCCTCAATGTGGTTTCTAAAGAGAAATCAAACCGCACTCTGGCATCAGCAGCACGTATGCACAAGAAATATGTCAACATGCCGTCCTTGAACTTGAAAGCCAAAAAGATGGAGGTCACTTCACTCCTTGATGAGCTCGCCCGCGACAACAAACGTTCTTACGTGAAAGAACAGTCGCGCAAAGAAGAACTCCTTGCGGAAGTCATCGAGAGCGTCATCGACTGGCTCAATGATATCTGGAGAGTCGTATACGAGTACGGTACAAACTTTTCAAAGGCCCATGCTTGTCTCTTGTACGCGTCTCAAGCGGTCGAGCAGATCGGGAACGCGCGCGTCGGGTAAGGTATCCTGCAGTTCTCATCGGTCTGGCTTATATTTTGTTTCAGATGCAAGTGTTCTTTCATGAACATGTACATCTCTGTAAAGATCAGACGTGCCTCCGGCAAGGTCGTCAAGTCCTTCCATTTCACCGGCGCGCACAACCTCGAGCGTGTCATGCTTTGGATTTGGCGCGACCTTTTTATAGTCATACTTGCCGATGGCACTAAGCGTCAGAAGGCTACTATTCCAGATATGCTCGACGATATTCGCGCCGAATATGGCTGGAAGGCTCTCGAACGATTACTCTACGGTGGCCAAAAACGTAAGCTCCACTGACTTAATTAAACTGTCATGACCTTTACATCATGACACCAGCCGATGACGACGACGAAGATGATGACTATGACTACTATGATGATGTTGATTATGACGAAGACCACAGCGAAGACTACACTGACACTGATGCAAAATCCGATGGCACCGCTTGCAGCGATTCTAACTGTCCTTGTGGATTCCACGCGTCTCATTGGTCTAACAAATTCAACGACGTTCGCATCTCTTTGCGCAATCTCATCCGTACCTCCCTCGTCTCTCTCTTTGCCATCATGCCCAGTCCAATCCTCTTCGCAAGTATCGGCGACATATCTGAAGCGGATGGAATGGACGATGACGACCTCTGCGAAGAGCTCCTCCCCACCCTCATGCGTGTAGCCACCTACAGCTCCGAGAATTATGCCACAGCACTGCATATATGTGCACTGCATGCGCATACAGATAACCTTAATAGTCTACTCACCAGCCACGCCCACCTTCTGCGTCCCCGTGACACGCCCGCACACCAGCTAGCCATCATAGTCCTTGCCACACAACCATCCTACCAGCTAAATGCACTGCGCATCGTCGAGAAAGAACTGCTCGACACTGTGCACGCCATACGCGCCGCTGTACGGAGCGCATTTTGCCATATCGATCTTGAGGCCAATAAGACGGAGCTCGCCGAGATCGTAGCATTGCGTCTGGAGGCACTGGGGCGACGAGGGCGGATAGAACGCTGGGTCGGTGCTGTGGTGACGCCTTCAAGTGATACCGCCCATCCGATGGCGCTGGCGGCACTCATGATGGGGCTTCCTCTCCCCCCCGGGATGGAAGGGGCTATGGACGATTCCGATCCGCTCGGATACATTGACATGGATATACAAGATCCGGAACTGGATGACCTGCGGGAAGATTTCCGTCCAAACCTGAAGGCACGCCTCGATGGTTGGATAGAAGCGGGCCGAACAATCAAGGGAGGGGTTTCGTTGTTGTTGAAGGTGTATACTGTTATTTTGGAGATGATGCCGTTCATGGGTGTGCCGGATATAGTGGATGAGATGACGAGAGAGTAGGTTCCTCACCCGCTCACCTCTTTGATCGACTGACTGAACTGACGACAAAGACTCTCCGAAAGACCAAGTAAAGTCTTCCTCTGCGATGCACTTGATGCTCTTTGGGATTTCTGTAGGCAGCAGAGGCGCAAGTTCGCAAAACCTAAGAGCAAGTTGAAGCCGCCCTGCACCCCCAATACTTCGCAAGCATCAGGCCAATCGAGTGATTCTGGGGGAGTGACTTTCGTCACGATAAATAACCCGCAGCAGTCTTGTCCGGGAGGAGTAATGGACGATGTCGATTGAGTTTACTCCTTTTTTTGTTCTTACAGTGCGCATTCTTAGCTTACTACCATGTTATTTTCTGGCTTTATCAATTAGATCAACTAGTCCAATATCCTCGTCTTGAATAATAAACCATGATCTAGGGTTAGGGTTTGCAGCCGCAGCCTTGTTTCCATATTTGGGACTCACCTTGTCAGAAATGAACCTTGTATTCGGGATGAATGAATCGCCCGCGTGGAATTTGGCAAAGAATACAAAGACTGTGTGGGTTGACAAGCGCTACAACTCCTTTATGTAGGTGTACCCATGGCATCTGTTGTCTGCACCCACCAATATCAGCAGGAACATTCCCTCGAAAACACCAGTGCCTTTCCTCGATGATACATCTTCCCAGCAGTGATTTCCCAATATGACGCGTCTTGTCGCGGGTACCGGGACTATATAGGCGAGTCAACAAGTGCCTAGCACATCAACCACACAGTAACTGCTCGTACTTATAAGTCTCAGAGCCGCCTTCCTTTATTCTCTTTGTATAACAGAGCTTCAATTGGCAACGATACCTTGAGCTCTCCACCTCCCGTTCATTCATTCATTCTACCTATTCGTTCTTTCAACCATACTTGCAAGCCAAGATGATGTTTCTTTTCCGCTCGACGTTCATCACCGCCATCTCAGCGTTCGTCGTAGCTCTCTGCTTGTTTTCAATGTCTGGTATGTTCAGCCGCTGTGTTTCTTTGTGCTTGTGCTTACTCCAGAACCATAGCCTCTGCTGTACCACAATTTGGCCGTCCTATGCTGCATGCATTAGATGCCGTCACAACACTTTCTGGGTCTGAGGCGATTCCCACATCAACAGCTACCAATACGGGCACGGACCCGGATCCTGATCCTCAGGTCGTTGAAGCAACGTCATCTACATCTACATCTACATCTACATCTACATCTACATCTACATCTGTACGTGTTTATCATTTCGTGGCTGTGATGGTGATTCTGATGCTACATCTAATTTCAGGCGTCGAGTACAGCTGTGACTACACCAACTGCCAGCAGTACCAGTACAAACGGCGCGTCGAGCAGTTTGCGCGGTGGTATGGGCGTTATGCTAGGTGTTGCCGTGAGTGGGGTGTGGTTGGCGTTCTGAGCTGTGCAGTTGTTTGTTTAGATGTTGGCGTTTGAGCCGACGGTGACCCTAGTCTGATCTCCCTTGAGAAACATTATTTATCTCTGACTCATACACGCACAGTCGTGCTATCTCTCCATCGCTTTCGTTTCTGCTGTGTCGCTATCGTTATTTGGGTAAGTCTATTACCATAGACTTTCAGCATGTGTCATTCCATTGCTGGTATGTATGTACTAGTACTAGTATCCGTGTCTGTAGCCTTTACTTTATTTGGGACTTGCTGTATCCATCATTTCCTCTGTTACATACCCTTTCTCGTGCTGCAATACAATGATTAATTGTATCCGTGAGACTACAAGCACTCGGGCATGAAAACTCGACTTTTACACGTGTTTAAAAATTGATTAGACACCATTTGGATCCGCAATACAATATAACCACCTGGCGGAGTGCGACACCCAAAAAGAGGACAGGTAACCCTGCGATGGCAAGGCCCTCTGATAATTGAAATGGCATTGACGTTATTGGCGGTGCTTGGTCGTATTGATAATTTAAACATTTAAACAAACGACCTTAAGCTAGGTTGAGCTATATGATACAACGAGGAGGTCAACCGAGACACCATTGACAATGATGAAGCAGGGCGCCGTTAGGGTTACTATACCATCCACGAGCTGCACTCAGAAGGCGCAGATTGGTGTTGAAACGAAGTCAAGACTCTAAGGCCAGTGCAGAGTGCAATGAGATGCCGTGCATGAACATACCATGACAATTGAGTTTAGTATCAGCCTGAGGGCCACCATCTCCCCTGCCAGCGTGCTCGACTGAGCCGCCTTGCACCATTATTCTCAATGGCGACCATATTGGCCATCACTCTCGAGACTCGGTGATTGGCTGAAGTGACAATGCCACTCCAACAACGACATATCTGCAACTCGTCAGACTGCGATTGTAGAAATCAGTTCTAGTCTCAGCAGTGGACTTCACATCAGATGTTATCGAGTCAAAGTCCTGGTGGTTCGGGAGTGCGTCATATGCAAGAAAGATCGCCTTGCACGCCGTTACTCAAACTACTACATGGCAACACCTACTTTGACCGCCCAGACAATATTTCTCCAGTACTCGTCTATGCGCTTTCGTGTACAAACTGAAGTGGAGGAACAATTAGCCACAGAGTAGCTATTCGTTCAAGGAATTACTGACCGGAATGCGAGATCCAAGGGATCAGAATATCCCACAAGCGTGACTTGAAGTGTACATCAGAGCGCATGCCGACATACTCGAACCAAGAAGGGTAAAATCCAGATCCTTCCCAATCCACCATATACACCTTGCCGTCGCGCGCCAACATAATGTTCCTAGGACACAAGTCCTGGTGCGTGAAGACTAGTGGCCATGAGTTATCGAAACGAGGAGCATCAGGGGGCGCGTGTTTCATCCGCTGAGACACATCCAACTTGTGGTTGAACCATGCTGTCATCTCGTCATAAGAAGTGAATGGACCTGCGCCGTAGTCGGTGAAGAGCAGTCCCGTGCATGCGGCCCCATCAAGGGTACCTGGAACAGACCTGCGCAGACGGCGAAGCTGTCCAACGTAACCACGCAGGGTCCAAGCAATTTGAAGCTTTGAGAGAAGAGAAAGACGATGCCAGCAGCTGGCTAGTGTCTCGCCGTCGACATACTCCATGATTATGTAGGTGTTGGAGGAGGAGTTCACAACGACTTGTCGCACCTGAGGAACAGGAATAGTCGTCATGCCCCGAAGCATACTCAGGTTGATCGCCTCCGTGATGGCTTCATGAGCATCCAAGTGCACTTTGGCAATAGTGTCGGGGGCAATTCTGTGCACACGGATCCACTGTATCTTCTTAGACGACATCTGTCTTATCCTGCTCCTTGATTGCTTCACCATTGGGGGAATTTCTGCAGGAAGAAACCGAGGCGACTGCATCTCAATGGTAGAGGCATGCATGGAATAGCACTACAAGCCTGATCAGATGACTAACTCAAAATAACCAGTTCACACAGAAACAAATACCTGCGGTTTGGGTCCATCAATGTCGAAGGGAGAGGGCAACAAAGTATCACTGGTATCGAAAATCCAGCAGAACCATTCGGGGAAGGAAAACAGACGTGGGGGAGGATGCGGGCCGCGCAGTGGGGGATTGAAATGTGGGAATAAAGCAGCAGGCTTCGTGGTTCGTGGAACTGGTTGAAATTTAGATATCCACAGGCAGGACATCACGCTTCACGGAGATTCAACATTGCAACGGTCAACTTGCAAGAGGGCATCATCTCGTCTGGATTCCGGGAGTTGTAAGCCCGGGGATCACGTGCTCCCAGACCACACTAGTTGTTGCCAAATATGACTGGAAGGCTCTTGTCCTTGTGGATTCCACGCGTCCCATTGGTCTAACAAATTCAACGACGTTCGTATCTCTTTGCACGATCTCATCCGTACCTCCCTCATCTCTCTCTTTGCCATGCCCAGTCCAATCCTCTTCGCCAGTATCGGCGACATCCGAAACGGATGGAATGGACGATGACGACCTCTGTGAAGAGCTCCTCCCACCCTCATGCGTGTAGCCACCTACAGCTCCGAGAATTATGCCACAGCACTGCATATATGTGCACTGCACGCTCATACAGATAACCTCAATAGTCTACTCACCAGCTGCGTCCCCGTGACATGCCCGCACACCAACCAGTCATCATAGTCCTTGCCACACAACTATCCTACCTGCTAAATGCACTGCGCGTCGTCGAGAAAGAACTGCTCGACACTGTGCACGCCATACACGCCGCTGTACGTTCTTTGTACCTGCGCTTAACCCACCACCATAGCCTCTGCTGCACCACAATTTGGCTCTCCTGTGCGATATATATTGTTGGATGCCGTCACAACACTTTCTAGGCCCACTGAGGCGGTTCCCACATCAACAGCTACCAATACAGGCACAGACCCGGATCCTGATCTTCAGGTCGTTGCAGCAACTTCATCTACATTTACATCTACATCTGCACGTGTTTATCATTTCGTGGCTGCGACGGTGATTCTAATGCTACATCTAATTTCAGGCGTCGAGTACAGCTGTGACTGCACCAACTGCCAGCAGTACCAGTACAAACGGCGCATCGAGCAGTTTGCGTGGTGGTATGGGCGTTATGCTCGGTGTTGCCGTGATTGGCGTTCTAAGCTGTGCAGTTGCTGGTTTAGATGTTTGCGTTTGAGCCAACGGTGACCCTAGTCTGATCTCCTACGAGAAACATTATTTATCTGACTCATATACGCATAGTCGTGCTACCTCTCCATTGCTTTCGTTTCTGCTGTGTCGCTATCATTATTTGGGTAAGTCTATTACCATAGACTTTCAGCATGTGTCATTTCATTGCTGGTATGTATGTACTAGTTAGTATCCGTGTCTGTAGCCTTTACTTTATTTGGGACTTGCTGTATCCATTATTTCCTCTGTTACATACCCTTCCTCGTGCTGCAATACAATGATTAATTGTATCCGTGAGACTGCAAGCACTCGGGCATGAAAACTCGACTTTTACACGTGTTGAAAAATGATTAGACACCATTTGGATCCGATGGGTAGACTGTATACTATTCTTGATTCGGTGTCCATTTCCTTTAAACAAGCAATCGCACGTAGCTAACATCATCGTGTGTTGACAACGTTTCGAGGGAGTCGGTAATTGAAAGCTGATGTTGTTTGCGTCCGTGGGGTAACTCTACGTAGGAATTCAGAATACACTATGGAACTAATCAACGGCTGTACCGTGGAACAACTGCATCGTAGCGCTGTGGGCGGCTAATCCCCGTCTCGATTGTGCACGATGCGTGTCAGCAGGAAATATTGAGCTACTCGAGATATTCTTTGACTAACCCCGCTGGCCCTTCATAAGTGTTTTGAAAGAGGTAGTTGCTTTGCTACACGGCTCAACCTATGACCTTTGTCCTGTATAACGTGCGCCCGAAAAAGAAAGATAAATCCACAAACTTTTCGACGAAGATGTGCTGTCGCAAAGTTTGCGGAAGACATAGAATATGATGATACGCTCATCGTTCGAAAACTGACGATCTGCTCAAAGGTTCAGAAAGATGAGAATGCGAGACTCAGTGGCCTACCTCCACTGATTGCATCAAGATGTCTGTCCTCACTCTCGGCCGTTGTCCAGGCCGCAGAAAAATCTTAGCCTGAAGCGTACAAGTATAGGTCGACCGCCCTAAGATAAGGGTGTACAGCCATAAACGATCATCTCCAGGGCTCGAACCATGAACTGGTGCGATAATGATGCCTAGTATTTACATCGCCGAGTGACAGTGCGTCTGTAGAAATTTACGTCTCGATCATAACAATACATCAAGAAAGAGAATATCAAAATCAACGAGACAGAGAGCTCCTTGCACGTATACGTTCACCAGCGTAATATATCCAGATGGGGAACGGTATACCGATGACAATGGAAAGACCTGCAAGAAGGGTGTTGCCTCCCCCATAACCGAGTGCGGCGAACATTTGTTGTCCAAAGAGAGGGAATGCGAATGCGAGCAACGAACGGAGCGTCTGATGATGCGTTCAGTGAACGCTGACGATATTTAGGGTGGGGAAACTCACAGAAGCAGCTGCGCTTGCGCTTGCAGCATAGGTAAATGTATCAACGAGGTATAGTTGAATTGGGAGGCTTCAAAGAGGTTAGCCGCGAACGGTGCTATGGTATAGGACACACTCACAAAGTTGTCATTAATCCGAATGAAAAGATAGTGGTACCGATGATAGGCATCATGAAGTGGAGCTCGGCTTGAGCAGACCAGCCATACCAACTAACGCACGTCAGATTGGGAGTAGCAAAAATAACGCTTATGGATATCTCACAGTAGTCCCACCGGGGCGAATAATGAACCGAATATCAGAGCCGGCACGCGCATCTCTGGCTTACCCTTTCCTCCATTTTTTGCGGCGAGCTACATAAGAGATGGGCTTCAGCTAATGCGGCCGAAGTAGAAGGCAGTCTTGACGAACACGTATGTATATCTTGTCGGAAATTTTGGCACCGAAAATGGTGGCAGATATGAATCCAACGCCAAGTCCAAGGTATGTCAGACCTCCCATTCCGATGCTGAAGTGGTATACTTCCGCAAAGAGGTCTGAACGCAAGTTTGTCAAATTCGTTCCCATAATACTGGGGAAATATGATCTTACTGGGGAACGTAGCAAACATCAAGTAGTAGATACCTGACAGATGATTTCAGTCCACATCTCTTTGTAGGGTGCCAAGTACTGACCATAAATCCTGAAATAGATGACATCAGTTAGCCGCGTAATATTAAATGAAACTTACAGAGCCATGTATAGGCTCAGGATGAAGCATATAAAACTCCGAGTCAAAAGGATAACGGGTCGTTTGAGATTGATCCATAAGTAAGCCCATTTATTCATGTGGTGTGCGGCGAAGACAGGATGTCCTTCGGCTACCTTTTCGAGATCCGGAGATAATTTGTGACGACGAAGGCGAATAACTGGTGCATAGGATTCTCTCATGAGAGGGATTCCAAGCACTGCGGCGACACCACAGATCGCTACGACGATATAGAAATCATATTGTACGCCAACCGACTCTGCGATGAAGCCTCCCATGACGGGCCCGACAACGGGACCTTGAGAGAGATAAGTGTGAACTTGAGTCAAGGTGGTAGATTGTGAAACGCACCTATCAAGGGTCCGATATAGTATAGTGCCATAGCGGAGGCACGATCGTGTTCGGAGAAGAGGTCGCTAACGACACCCCCGCCGCATGCTATGGGCGCGCTCCCCGCAAAACCAGCTTTGCAGAGAGTAAGCGAATTTGTGACAGCAGTAATAATTCCATGACGTACCTAGAAACCGAAAGACGATGAAAGATGCAGTGTTGGGTGAAAAAGCACAGCCGAGATTAAACGCGAGGAAGAAGAGGTTCGCTATGTGGAGAACCTTGAACTGGTTCAAGCAGATAGTTCCACTGGTCTTAATGAAGAGGACGACGCACCCACACACGACCATAGACTTCGGACAACGGTGCGGTAAATAGAGGACCGATGGCGAATGACAGAAGGAAAATGCTAAGAGTCAACGCTGTGACCGTTGGATTGGTTATCCCATATTTTATGGCCACGTCCGGTAAACTAGGTGCCATGATAGAACTTGCTAACGGAGCTACAAACGTGTAGAGCGCAAGCTGATATGAAACCGAAATTAGGCTTCATAATTAAATATCCGATTATGACGGAAAAACTGACGATTGCAGTGGTTGTCCATTTTTTTGCTGAAGGCCAATTCATGGGGTTGACTGGGTCATGTTGCCATTCGTCATCTAACTGTTGAAGGCTGTCCAGAATTTTGTCCTCCAAGATGTCGTCTGGGATCGTGGAGGCGCCATGGAGCTGGGGAAGATGATCATGATGGTCCTCCGCATCATTCTGATTTGGTACGTGAGTATGGGGGCTCTCAACACGAACCGTTCCTGAAGGAGAGGTCGACATTGACCAGTGCTGTAGGCAAGAAAACCTTGGACGCAGTGAAGATAAGACATGCCCGGGGACCGACTGTTGATTATATAGATTAGAAGGTGGTGACTGAGCAGGTATTACACTAGTACTGTACCGTGACAATTATACCTTGACAGGTGCGGTAGTCGGACCAGAACTTGAAGATAAGCCTCGTTTGATTGGCTGGTCAATTCGATAACAACCGAGGCTGTCATAGTGAAAGCCGTCCTGGCGCCAAATCTTGGCAGGTGGGGCGCATACGTAGTAGTTAGCTATTTGCGAATTGTCATGATGGGCTTACAATCACCGCTTCATCCGGCTACCCCCACCTCGTCGACCTCTCGCTTGCCACCAGCAGGTGCGCCATACTATTTGTCTCTCCTAGGCTTTATAGACGAAGCTTGGGAGTTAGTCGTTCCTCACAAGTTCCCCCGTACTTACGCTCGGGGAGTGCCAGTAGTTTGAAGCTCCGCCCCGCATCATCTTTGACATTTGCCATCAGTCCTAATTATAGTTCCGAACCTAATATTCTACTTCTAGGCCCTAGACTCCCCAAAATTCTAGAGACGTCCTATAGTGGGCGCAGAGAGGCCTGTGATCTGGTCACGGGAGACGACTTTTTTTTGCTTTCTTCCCGTCGTATCGCTCAGCAAGAACTCGTTGCCATGACGCATGAGCAGTAACTGCATACTTTCTGTGCCAGTGACACATGCACAACATCGTGACTCCTTAATTCTGCTCTAGTCCAGGCCAAAACGTGCACCTCCACTTCCCTCTCCATCCCGCTCAACGCGAGTCCAGACTTGTCAGCATCCCAGCACAACGAGAAAAATGCTCCTCTTGGAGGTGGTGCTCCGATAATCCGAATACCAAGCCCTATAACAGTTCGCCTGTGGCTGCCTGTGTGTTCTGGCTTCTGCATCCAGATCTGTAGCCGCCTCTCCCACCCTGCACTAAAACCTGTGTCTATGAAGTACCAACGTTTCAACATCCGAGTCGGGTTTAGTGAGTCATTGTACAACTTATCTGTTCCAGTCTTTCTGTGAACACCAGAGGAATCAACTGTCGTGCGTCAGATCAGTGCATCGAGACTCCATGCGATGACAGTGGATGACGAGTCGTCCTATATCGACGCATGGCGTCTCGAGCTGATGCTAACGGTCTCGACGACAACCAGAAACATTAGGAAAGGAGAGGTGCTCACCTTTCCCCAGAACCTGGGTCGCGATATTCCTTTCTCCTCTTGTCCAGGTGTTTTTTTTTTTGTTGGCAATGTGTTACTTTTGTTTTGTTAAACCGGGGTGGGCTTACTCGCGCTGACGACTCGGCTCTTTGAGCCTATTGGCGCCGAGGAATCAGACTTATTTGTGACGACGCCACCCCGGACCTGGCGGGCACTGAGGGGCGAAAGGGATGGAATGTTAGCAACACCTGCGACCTCAACCCAACCGGGAGACTGAGCTACCCGGCGGGTGTCCTCGGCTTCAAGAGCAGGGCCCACATTCCACGTCCCGAGCCATCCACTAGGTCCCGACCATGGACGTCAGCGACCACTGATACCCTAAAGATGGTGCGATGTTAGCGGCAGGCCAGGAGATAAAAGTGGAACGTACCCTCTCATCTCGCGCCCGAACTTACGAAGCAGCGAGAGTGTTGAGTTGACGTGGGCCGGGGTGCCTAAGCCACGGTGCGGGCCAGTGCAACCGACCAGGGAGATGCTGAGGAGGTGAGCAGGGCGGAGAGGTATCAGACTCCTGAGAGCCCCTGCGAATGTGGCCAGCAGACGCAGCTTGACGAGGGTCAGGAGGACCCAGGTCCTATCCACTGCGCCGTCCACGCCGCGAGCGACGCCCGTGAAGGTCAGCAGCTGAATTGTATTGTTCCATCAATTGTCATCATGTTGCTAGTTTGTGGCGTCTTCAAATCGTGAACCTTGGTGCACGCTGGAGTTTCCATTAATTTCTGGGCGTGGTCGATGTCGGTTAGCAGGCAGGTAGGAACGCAGCGAGAAAAGAACATACCTGTGGCTTCCAGTGGAAGCTCGCTGTCAGAGCTGAGCAAAACCAGGAGAACGTCAGTATTCTGTCCTATAGGGATACCACAAACAAGAAACATACCATGTGGCGTCGAGCCGTGCTGGTGGCGCAAAGATGAGTGTGTCAGTAGGATGCCATGTACTCCGAGGCCGAGTCGCACGCCACATACCTTGCTCGAACATCCGGCATAATGTGGTCGCGAAAAATTAGGATTGTGAAGATGGTAGAGAAAAAAGAATGGACGGAGGGCTGAAGCAGGACTGAGAATTGTTTTTATAGTAGGACAGTGTGACGGCTCCGCGGCTGACATTATTTGGTTGTCGGCACATGAATAAAGAGATGAATTGCCACATATGGAGTGGTTGCGGGGGTAGGTAGGAGATGTCATACCGTGTCACTTGGTGTCAACTGGAAAGCCATCATAGACTTCATGGCTTTGAGATAGATTGATGTTTTCGAGACCACATTCGCATCCACCGGCCGGGAAGCGCACATCCTGAGCTAATTCTTCTTATCCTTGGTGTGGCGTTGCAAGGAAGGATCTAGGCATAACTTATTCACACAGACTTCATAACTCCATATGTCGTATCGATGGCCCTTGGATATGCACGCAATTGGATGGATTTGAAATTGATTGACGCGTCCAATTGCAAGACGCGCCGGTCACATGATGTAAACCTTCTGTTCCTAACAGTGCCAAACATGCACATGGACTTCCGTCCAGACCAACTTAAAAGTCTACCGTATAAGAGCCGATTCCCGAGAAGACATCCGACCCCAATTCGACTTGTGGTTCTATGAGTTCCCGTGCCAGTAACAAGGTGAGCAGGTCCTCGGCAAGGGGGCAGTCTGGCGACACAGGATTTTCTACTGCTGCTTGTCAGTGTTCATTGTCACATTATGAACGTTGTTCAAGTTGTCAGGTCTTCTCTACAGTTGAATAATGCTCATTCATATTGTTATGGATAACATTGTCGACGATACCCAATGATAGATGTTGGTGCCACCATATCGTGGCAAAGCAGCACAGATTCGTCCCCAAGATATCCTTCCGTAGAGAACACAACCCCCTCCTTTGCAAGCATTTCCATCCTACTATTACACCACACCCCAACATTCTTTTGTCCTCCTCTTGCATTTGCACCCGTGCCCCTACTCTCCGAAAAATATACCGATGTACAGGTCTGATGCGAAAATGCAGTGGCAAGACACAAACAGTGCGAAGAGGTTAGTTCGTATCTATCTAGGGCGTGTCCCTAAAGCCCATCAGGTACTGCATAATCTGGAAGGAGGCCTGAAATCATCGATCTTTGCATTAGATCACGTCTGCATGATAACATTCTCGACTTACCACTGGCGCAAACTGCGGAACCCTACATAAGACATTAGAAATGAGACGCTGCATAGTGCGGAGAACTCACATGTGTCCGCTCAGGACTACTTCGTAATAGGTCAGTTTTCGCTCAGAGTGCATCGTCCCAAAGGCACCCACGCCATCGACAATGAAGCTGTCTTTGGCGATAGGCGTCTGGAATCCTTGCAAACCACCCCCTTGAAAATAATATGAGTGACTGGTAGCGTACATGAAACATTATTAGTCACGCACAGGTCATGCTACAAAACATTCCTATCAATCGAACGGATAACTGTCGCGGGTCAAGAACGCACTTACTTTTGAATGGCAATTCTTGCTCTAAGTCATCGAACCACGCATCAGGATATACGAAAAGGAAGGCTACAAACGAAGTCATACCCGTCAGCAATGAGAATAAAGTCCGCAAGACCGTGCACGATGACGCTCCGCTGGCTCTTCTCGATAACACTCGGCAACACGGTGAAGGCAGGGGGTAAGCTGCTGTCTCCGTTCGGGAATACATTGATATTGGTGCAATCCATCCAATCGGTGTTGACGGGCGCGTGGATAGCTATCTTCACATCCGTTTGATTAAAGTAGATGGGAGACTGCGTCTGTGCGAATGAACCTCTAGATCCGCATCAGCTGAGCTGCATTGAGTCAATGATTGAATGACGTACGGGAAACCTAGGACATCCCATAGAATCGGATACTTGTGTGAAGAATAAGTTAGCATAGTACTGGTCGAATTCTGTTCGACTCACAGTGTCCCAGATACGATAGATATTGAAGGCGGGGTTGATAATCAACGCGGCATCGAAAATGTCTTGCCAGACATCACAGCCGTCGACAGGGTTGATAGACCCTCCTGGCAGAGGAAAAAGGCCTGTTGGAGGGTATGTCACGTACTTATCCATGTAGCCAGTGTAATTGCACTTCGCGGCCTTCTTCTCAAGATATTTTGTGAACGTTTGACTGGATCCTATCGGTGAGTAGCTTGCAAACTAGGTTCGAGTGAAATGAACAAACTTAAAAGAGAAGAGACCAGCGTATTTGTTCACGAAGTCCACTGCAGGGATCTCCTGTTGCACCACCAGCCACGAGATTAAAGCTGATCTCCATGTGTAAGTCCTCGAGAGTAAAGCAAGTCAAAATGTTACTTACGATCATTGATCCATATCCCTTGCAACGAGAGGTCCAATAGAGTGGGGTTCTCGTAGATATAGTTCGCGATATCTTTGTTGGCCTTTCAGATATGACCAAAGAAAAGTACTGTCCAACTAACAAGGGACGTATACTCCAGCATACTGGATACAATGAGCACGACGTTTGAACAGACTGTCTGAGAGAGACAAACTTACACTTTCACCCGATAAATAGAACTTCTTGCCTTGTAGTTCTGAAAAGACCTCAAGGAACTGCTGCAGAAAACCGACGAGTTGAGCAGCAACATCGTCCTCGTTTTGTGCGTTCGGAACGCCTTGAGAAAACCCTGTGCCAACCGGTTGCTCCACCCAAAGGACGGAAGAGAGGTTGGTCCAACTGTGTTCATTCACGGTTGGTCTGGCTTGACCCAAAGACCAACTGAAAGGCTTCAAGCTGCTCAGTTACACCAGTATTTACGTAAAGAAAGAGGCTTACTCCATTCTCTTCTAGCAAACCTCTGAGGGAGGAGCAGCCAGGGCCACCGTTTGTCCTTTAGGTAGAACGCGTCAGGTCAGCAACCAACATCACGTCGCTTCTGATGACGCACCAAAAAATCAAATCATCAAGACTTCCTTCGGGGCCGGGAGGGAAAAACCAGAAAAAAAGCTGTCGGTCCCGATGTCAGCAGAAGCCATGCATAAACCACTCATATACACACCTGACGCGTCTCGTTAGGGCTGTTGCTGATGGGTAGAAGACCTGCCCAGCTAGGACCAACGTCGAAGTCAACGAGAGGGATTGATGTGCCATCGACGTAAAATTCTGGACGAACATGGATCAGACCGAGGTGTTAACTTATAGCACTTCATTAACCTGAGGCCTTTGGGTTCGTGAATGTGATATTCTGAACACCACCGCGCTTTAAATTCTGAGGACCGCTAGTCTGCCAACGCTTTGCCGCCTCGAGTTGGCGTTCACTAATCTCATGCTTTGTCATCCTACGAGCGCTGGCGGCGACCACTGCGAGTAGAACCACAAACACGGTGGGAGGACGCATCACTGTAGAGCAAGCTTGAATCTGAATCTGTGAAGGGAAAACAACGAATCGTCTGGTGTTTTCGGTACATGGGGTTTTTATTTAGAATGGGCATCGCTGTGATGGCGGACGCGAACAATCAGATGGACCACATGCATGCGATGGGGATCACCATGGCAGGAAACGTACAGCATCACGAGTTCTTTTGGTGCGCAGCCCAGAATTTATCCGACCTTGGGGTCCATGGGGGAGCCCCGTGTTTCAATTGTGAAATGAAAGATGATTTGTAAGACCATCGAAGATATCGGAAATTAGAGTGATGGGCCACTAGCAGGTAATAGGCTAGAAGGCGGCTCCGGCTATCATCGAGGAACCGTAAGTGAGTAATGTGTACCTGACCCCAAGCGCAGCATCTTCGCGCGCCACAATGGCCCGTAGCCTTACTATGTTACGTGTCCCTTGTTCTGCTATACTTATACATAACAGAATCTCAATCTCCAGAGGGTCCACATAGCGCTTCTCTCTGCGAAAGCGCCCTCAGTGACAGTGCAGCAACACACGACCTCTTAGCTACAGCCACGGTCCCATCCTCATGTCCAGACGGCGAAACAACAACCTGCTCAACAAGAAGACTATAGTTTTGGGACAATTTTTGCCTCGCACTCGGTTGAATCTCACACCGCACTCTTCCCGCTGTCTCCAATGTGCAGCCTACTACCTCGTACTTTACGAAGTCTGTTTCGTCTCAGAGTCCAGTTCGAGACTATAGTTAGGGTAAGTAGAGGGATAGGGACGCGTGAGTTATCTCATCGACTTCATCTGTCGTCACGTGTGCCAGTCCATGTCGACTCCACATTAAAAGGCACTGCAGCATTCCCAACATACAAGTACCACTGATTAGTAATTTATAATAGGAATCGTGTTCAATGACCAAATGCTCATACTTGGTCCGCTCCTTGGAACAGTGGTGCCACGCGCACCTCCAATTCCTCCCGTATGACTTGATCATATCGAAGAAAAAAAAAATCACATCTAATAAGGAAACCCATAAAATCAATGAGTAAAAGAGCTCCTTGCACGTATACGTTCACCAGCGTAATATATCCAGATGGGGAAGGGTATACCAATGACGATCGCAAGACCTGCAAGAAGGGAGTTGCCTCCCCCATAACCGAGTGCGTTGAACATTTGTTGTCCAAAGAGAGGGAATGCGAACGCGAGCAGTGAGCGGAACGTCTAGTGATGCGTTCAGTGAACGCTAACCAGATTTAGGTTAGTGAAAACCCACAGAAGCGGCTGCGGTCGCGCTTGCAGCATAGGTAAATGTATCTACGAGGTATAGTTGAATTGGGAGACTTCAAAAAGGTTAGCCGTGAACGGTGCTATGATACGAAGCACACCCACAAGGTCGTCATCAGTCCAAACCCAAAGATGGCGGTTCCGGTGATTGGCATCATGAAGTGGAGCTCGGCTTGAGCAGACCAGCCATACCAACTGACATAGGTCAAATTAGGAACAGCAAAGAAAAAAGGGTCCATCTCACAGTAATCCCACTGGGGTGAACAACGAGCCGAATATCAGAGCTGGCACGCGCATCTCTGGCTTACCCTTTCCTCCATTTTTTGCAGCAAGCTACATATGAGATATGATTCAGCTAATGTGGCGAGAGTAGTAGGCAGTCCTGACATACGTGCGTGTAAATCTTGCCCGAAAGTTTGACGCCGAAAATGGTGGCGGATATGAATCCAAAGCCAAGTCCAATGTATGTCAGACCCGATATTCCGGTGCTGAAGTGGTACACTTCCGAAAAGAGATCTGGTGCAAGTTTTTAGTAATCGTTCCCGTAGTACTGGGTGAACATGATCTTACTGGGGAATGTAGCAAACATCAAGTAGTAGATACCTGATAGTCGATTTCAGTCCACATCCAGCATAACTCGGTGTAGGGCGATAAGTACAGACCATAAATCCTAAATATATGACATCAGTTAGCCACGTGATGTTAAATGAAACTTACAGAGCCATGTATAAGCTTAGGATGAAACATATAAAACTCCGGGTCAAAAGGATAACGGGTCGTTTGAGATTGATCCATAAGTAAGCCCATTTATTCATGTGGTGTGCGGCGAAAGCAGGATGTCCTTCGGCCACCTTTTCGAGATCCGGAGACAATTTGTCACGACGAAGGCGGATAACTGGTGCATAGGATTCTCTCATGAGAGGGATTCCAAGCACTGCAGCGACACCACAGATCGCGACGACAACATAGAAATCGTATTGTATGCCGACCGACTCTGCCATGAAACCTCCCATAACAGGGCCGACGGCGGGACCTTCTCAGATCTGAGCCTGAACTTGTGGCAAGATGCAGAGTGTGAAACGCACCTATCAATGGTCCTATATTGTATAGTGCCATAGCTGAAGCACGTTCACGTTCAGAGAAGAGGTCGCTGATGACACCTCCACCGCATGCTATGGGCGCGCTCCCCGCAAAACCAGCTTGTCATAGAGTAAGCAAAGATGTGAATCCAGCGATTCCATGACATACCTAGCAACCGAAAGACGATGAAAGATGCAGTGTTGGGTGAAAAAGCACAGCCGAGATTAAACGCGAGGAAGAAGAGGTTCGCTATGTGGAGCACCTTGAACTGGTTCAGGCAGACGATTCCAAGGGTCTCAAGGCAGAAGACGACGCACCCACACACGACCGTATACTTCAGACAACGGTGCGGCAAATAAGGGGCCGATGGCGAATGACAGAAGGAAGATGCTGAGAGTCAACGCTGTGACCGTTGGGTTAGTTATGCCATATTTTATGGCCAGGTCAGGCAAACCAGGCGCCATGATAGAACTAGCTAACGGAGTAACAAAAGTGTAGAGCGCAACCTGATAGGAAACGAAAATTAAACCTCATGATTAGATATCGCGAGGGACGGACTGACGATTGCAGTGGTTGTCCATTTTTTGGCCGGAGGCCAATTCCTGGGGTTGATTGGGTCACATTGCCATTCATCTTCTGGTGGCTGTTCAAGTTTGTCCAAATTTTTTTCCTCGAGGTTATCATCTGGGGTGGCAGACACGCCGTGGAGCTGGGGAAGATGAAGGTCGTTCGTATCATCACGGTCTGGTACGTGAGCATGGGAGGTCTCGACAAGACCTATTCCTGGAGGAGAGCTCGACATTGACCAGCGCTGCAGTAGGCAGAAAAAACTCGGACGATGGGAGGATAAGCCATGCCCGGAGATCGGTTGTTAAATAGTAGACGTGACTGACCAGGTATTACACTGTATTACAGCATTGTACAATTGTGCTTTGACAGGCGCCGTTCTGATTGGTTGGACTCAGCACCCACTTGTCACCCCAAAAGTCGCGATCCGAGTTCAGAGGGGTGTTGCCATGTAGGCTGTCATCATCGTGACAATGAACGTAAAAACTGGAGGTTAGTAACGGCAAGTCTGGTGCTAAGGAGGCAAGCAGATTTCACTAGTAGTACAGTACTGCCATAGTTAGCCGCTACTGTTTGCAATGATGTGCTTACCATTGCGCTTCCCAGTCGCACTAGTACCATCGCCTTTCTCGCTTGCCAACAATAGGCACACCTGCTTCTCACAGTGTTGCGCGCGGGAAGGTGTACTTACTGCAGCCGCTACGCTCCGGGCTGTGCCGGCAGCTTCAAACTCCGCAGCTCTCTTGGTCAAGATAGAGTTAACATGTGGAGACCACTGCCAGACCTTGCAGTCTTGCATCCAGGTCCCAGACCGGCCAAAAATTTAGAGATGTTCTCCAGGAAGCGAGGTTTTTTGATGCTCTGAGCTGTCGAGAAGGTAGGAGAGTTTTTTTGTTCGAATGCTAGGCCACGGAAGGACTCGTCGGAATGGGCTGCTCGATCATGGAGATGAACCTTTGGTAACCGATCCGCTTACTGTTCATGCGCATCCACTAACTTTCTGTAGACCTGTCCTTTAGGCCCCTTGTGCCCACACTTGCGAACACGACGACGGCGCGCTACTTGATATGAGTAGCGCCAACCCCTGTGCTGTTGATCTATCTAAAATACGCAAATCAAATTTCAATCGAGTGTGGTCATACTCCCTTTATCGAGGGCTCGAGCAACTGGCCCGGGAGAAGAATACCAGCTCGCCGCGTGCACAGGAATGCCTCATCCCACTCGTCCGGGCCAAAACCATGCACTTACACTGCCAGTACCATCCCGCCCAACTCAGCGTCTCGGAACAACGAATACGATGCTCTTCGAGGAGGCAGAGTTGAGGGAACATCTTGCGTGAGTGCTCCCGCTAATCATACTAAGCCCGACATGTGTTCTTCATCCAGATCCGCAGTCGCCTCTCCCGCCCGTCCCGCAATAAACCTGCGCCCGTGGTGTTTGAACTTCCAAGTCGGGTTTAGTGAAAACGGGGACAAGTTAAACTAGCGATAAGTCACTTTCGATTGGTTGTCACAATGATCCCTAGTTTCAGGAGCTGCGTAAACCCTTCAGAGGAAAAAAACCGTCGAACGTCAAATCAGCTCATCGAGACTCCATGCGATGACAGTGAATGACGAGCTTATTCAATGGCATCGAATGGCGTCTCGAGCTGATGCTAACAGTCTCGACGACAACCAAAAACATCAGTAAAGGGAAGTACTCACCTTTCCCCATGACCTGGGTAGCGATAATTCTCTCTCCTCTTGTCCAGATTGTGTCTTGAGTCGGCAAGTGGCCATCTTTTTGTATTCAACCGGGGTGGGCTTACTCGCGCTGACGACATCAGCTCTTGACGCCGAGGAAGCAGACTTATTTGTGACGACGCCACTCCGGACCTGGCGGGCACTGAGGGGCGAAAGGGATGGAATGTTAGCAACACCTGCAACCTCGACCCAACCGGGAGACTGAGCTACCCGGCGGGTGTCCTCGGCTTCAAGAGCAGGGCCCACATTCCACGTCCCAAGCCATCCACTAGGTCCCGACCGTGGATGACAGCGACCACCGATGCCCTGGAGATGGCGTGATGTCAGGTGCGGGCCAGAAGATAAAAGTGGAACGTACCCTCTCATCTCGCGCCCGGGCTTACGAAGCAGCGAGAGTGTTGAGTTGACGTGGGCCGGGGTGCCTAAGCCATGGTGCGGGCCAGTGCAACCGACCAAGGAGATGCTGAGGAGGCAAACAGGGCGGAGAGGTGTCAGACTCCTGAGAGCCCCTGCGAATGTGGCCATCAGACGCAGCTTGACGAGGATCAGGAGGACCCAGGTCCCATCCACTGCGCCGTCCACGCCGCGAGCGACGCCCTTGAAGGGCAGCAGCTGTGTTGCATCATCTTGTTGTCTGTTCTTGGCATCCTTAAATTGTGAACCTTGGTGCGCGCTGGAGTTTGCCGTCAAAAACTGGGCGTGGTCGACGCCGGTTAGTGGGCTGTGGTGAGAAGGCGACGAGAGCATGACATACGTGTGGTGTCTGGTGGCCTCGCTCTTGGCAGACATGGAAATCAAGACAACGTTAGTTGCCTGGAAAATAGAGAATACTATATGGAAGAAACGCACCTTGTGGTGTCGGGCGAGCCATATGAAAGTAGTGCTGGTGGCGCAAAGGACAAGAGTATCAGTAGGATGCCATGTACCCCCGAGTCGCACGCCACATACCTCAGGCTTGCTTGACGTCCAGCATGACGTTGGCACACAATAAAATAAAAGCTGTGATGAGAATGTAGAAGTATGAGCGGATGGAGGATTGAAGCACGATAGAAGGGGTTTATATAGGATAGCGCGGCTGTTGACATTATTTGGTTGTCGACACAACAATTCAAGTTCCAAAGGGGTGAATTTCAAGAATCCACCGACGGTTCTGAGTCTTGGTGCGGCGCTGCAAGGAAACAATCAGGTATAATTTAGAGTGTTCATCATTCACATATTATACCTAGTACCTCATAACTACGGATGTGTGATATCGATAAACTCGCATGGACTGGATGAAATTGCAATTGTTCGACGCGTCCACGTGCAGGTCACATGATGTAAATTCAACAGCGCCAAACATACGCGAACGTCGACGTTCAGAGTACTTAGGGCTCCGTTAAAAACTTCGGAGTTTTTGATGTTGGAGTTTTTGACCGGTTTTTAACGTGTTTTTTTGAGTGTGTCAAAAACTGGTCAAAAACTAGTTTTTAACTCGTGTCAAAAACCCCTCGAAGGTGGGGGTAGGTTAAAAACTCGTCGATAACTCCGTGGGGAGTTTTTCACGGAGCCCTAGTCCAGAGTCCAGACTCCAGACTTGTAGGATTCCCAACAGACATTCAACCACATGTGGTTCCTCGTGCCAGTGTCATCGGCCCACAAGTTTCGAAGACCTTGGAAATGAGGTGGTGAGATCAGACATTCAAGGGACTGTCTCAGACGCCTTATCATCTACTAAAATCACAATGATCAGTTATTGTTTGAACGTACGTCTCGACTTGAATGTGTCCGCTAAAAATCGTGCCTGAGATGAATAACACGACAACACCACGAGCTAACTACAACGCGGCAGACAGCATAAAATCTGTACATATCGTTAAATGGCGTGGCTGGTTGTGTGCATCGTCAATGCATCGCCAGCTCAACTAACGTGCTCCTCTGTTTACAAAAAAGAAATTGAAAAAAAGTTTTTTGAAGAGCAAAGCAAGTACCTCTCATGACATGGGTGCAGAGACTCGATACCGGAACCAGTATAGACACAGTCCATCTTCACATCCGGCAGCGGGTGATCGCTCGTCCCTGTTTGAAAATGTCAATGTAGTATCATCGTGACCATATAAGTATCCTACCAGCATGACAGTACGGGATCCCGTCCTCCTTGTGTCCCCACCACATCACAGGCGACCACTCATCCACGAGGTTCGCAAGCGTCTGGATGTGGCCATACGCGGCTGGCTGGGGGCCCCGCGGTCGGTGCAGTACGACAACAGTGAAGAAACATGCAAATATAGCCAGCGCTATAGATAAGTTCCATATCTGCACGAGTGTGTGAGGATATTGTGGCGGTTTGACATGGGCAGTAAGTGCAAACCTGAGCAGTGTACATGCCTATCGACATTATCACTAGTTCCATGTCAAAGGCGACGCGAGATACAATGAACGAAAGCCCAAACATCCAGTCTGTGATCGTCGATGATGGTGTTCATAAAACACTAGATGCGAGTGACTCACGGAAGAAAGGCTTCGCGACGAAAAGTATGAGACTGATTGGATGACTGAAAATCGACTTCAGTGGGTTTGTTGTCGTTCTAAGTCCTTTTCTTCCGGTAGCGCATCTCCACTGCCTTTCATCTCGAATGACATTCGCGATGAGCTCCGAGCAATGCAGCCCGAGTGTCAACGGTCCCTGAACAACTGCCATGTTTACAAAGAGCAGAATCCACACTTGAGTATTGGCACCTGGCATAGCATACAGGATGTAATTGGACGGGTTGCCGGGCAGGACCGAATTGGGAAAGAACGACCACGTTTGTGTGGTCAGCGCAGAGGGGGACATTGAGCCCGTGCTGGTGTACTTGTTCCAGATATACATGACGAGTGCGGCCCATCCAGCACATGCTACAACGATCCCCCAAAGAAAAATGACAACCTTTCGGATGCTGGGGTGAGCATGCCACGCAGAAGGCTGTGTCTCTGATGGCTGTGATGGACCTCCATCAGCGTCCAGGTCAGATACACAACGCATGCACCGGAAAGTAACCGGAGTCAACTGTGTGTGGTGTACCAGTGCGGCAGTCAAGTCAAAAGGCGAGGAGCTCCACGTCAAGATTTTGACAGCCCGCATCCCTGACAATGCGATAATCACCTGGAGGAGGAGTGCAACGCCAAAAAAGAGGAGAGGTAACCCTGCGATGGCAAGACCCGCTGCACTTTGAGGTGGCATTGATGTCATTGGCGGCGTTTGTTCGGTTTGATAGTTTAAACATACGACGAGTGAGGTTGAGCAATAGGATATGATGAGGAGGATAGCCGAGACACCATTAAGCAGGGCGCCGTTAGGTTTATACCATCCACGAGCTGCAGTCAGAAGGCGTAGATTGGTGTTGAAATGAAGTCGAGACTCTGAGGCTAGTGTAGAGCGCAATGAGATGCTGTGCACGAAGCCTATGGACTCTGTGCATAACGTGACGATTAAGTTTAGTATTAGGGACACTATCTCCCCCTGTATTTTCAAACGAGCCGCCTTGTTAACACTGTCAATGACGACCATATTGGCCACGATTACTCCCGAGACTCCGTGATTGGCTAAAGTGACAATGCTTGCAATGATGCATGAGCAGCTGAAGATACTTGAGCATGTCACCCCAACAAGGGCATATCTGCGACTCGTCAGACTGCGGTCGTAGAAATCGGTTCTAGTCTGAGCAGTGAACTTCACATCAGATATTATTGAGTCAAAGTCCTGGTGATTCGACAGTGCGTTGTATGCAAGAAGACTGGATGGATGCCAATTTTCTTCTGTTGGTTTGGAAGAGGCTGACATGGGAGGCAGATGCAGGAAGGTCGACGTGTTACGGTCCTACGGACGTGCAGATAGGGTTTATAACCATTTGCTCGGATGGAAGAGCGGTCATGCGACCCAGTATTTAGTGAGCATCACAACATCATACGAGAAGATAAGGTTATATCACGACTTACTAGCACATACAACAGGCCCAGAAGGTACCAACATGACGATTTTGCCCATCTTAGTACGCGACTTCTGATTGTCAGAATAAATTGCATGTTTCAGTGGCTCATTTTCAGCATCTAGAGCCGCATAACGCCCTATGTAAGGCTTCAGTTTACTTGTGTCTTCAAGCCGGATCTGCCCAATAACATCCTGCATCTTCTCATGAAGTCAGCGCTGACAATTATGTACACTACTATGGTTAGTTTGCGCACCTCGGATAATATACATCCTAGTAACTCCTTTCGACGAGTTTCTTTGTGTTACCCTTAATGAGGGCGCGGAGGCACTGGCACTTGATAAAAGACCAAAGGCCTTTCAAGGTAAAAAACCGAAGCCGCCGGCTTATTGTCATGTAACCGAACAAGCTGCCGCGCGCCCAAACTCAAACGACTTTATGACCGCGGATCTTTACTATCTGGCTTCTATCTCATTTTGGCCCTTCGAACACCTCCCTTGTGTACTGGTACGTTTTTCGTATTTACTTCCTCCTACTACTTGCTTCTGATAGTTGGAACTGCTCACACAGACAGCGATAATGAACTTCTGCCGTGCCGAACTACACAGCAAGACGGTTGGATGCACCCGGGGTTAGCCTACAATAGTTGTAAACAGTACAATGTCAGACTGAAACAGATTTTAAAAAGGACCAGTGCGCCTCCGTATTATTGAATCTGAAGTGCGACGTTTGCTGTGACACTCAAGCTCGTTTACCACGGTGTTTGTCCCACGGGCAATGTAGTTTGGACCTGAGGACATTTTCAACTTTAACCGCTGGTTGCAATGTTATTTTTATCCGGGGGACGAGGGTGATTGAACCTGATTACCAGTAGTTCCAGAACATGAGGGTCAACTCGCTATGTACTAGGAAATTAAACGGTTATAGAACTGATGTAAGCCCTGGAGGAGCCTGTCCCATCCATCTCACCAAACCTTTGCTCAGGAGGATTAATGCTAATTACTAAACGGTATTGATCTTCAAACTGAGATTGGCGCAGTACTGGTCACCAGTTAGCGTTGATCTTCAATCCGAGGTTTGCGCAGTACTAGCCACCAATTAGCGTTGATCTTCAATCCGAGGTTGGTGTAGTACTGATCACCAATTAGCATTGATCTTCAATCCGAGATTGGCGCAGTATCGGTCGTCAATTAGCGTTGATCTTCAATCCGAGATTTGCACAGTACTGGTCACCATTCAGCGTTGATCTTCAATCTGAGATTTGCACAGTACTAGTTGAGTTGTCTTAAGAGCCTCAGGTGAATATCGTTCCTCGTCGACTAAGCTAGCTTTGGAATTATGGGGGATTTATATTAAAGAAACTAGCTATAGGGTGTTGAAATTTCGAGTCAGAATTCTAATGAACGTGCTGGGCCTATGTACAGGTGTTGGCTCCCTCAAACGAGCCTCAAAATGTCCTCCATACTTCCTAGGGCCTTCTGCTTCAGGGAAGCAGCAGAAGATCCGTGTGCCCTGTAAGCCTCTGGAACAATGACATCAATCATGAACGGATTTTGGACGACTGGCCTCTGGTAGCGGTGGGTATCGAGCTCGATGGTTTGGTTGATGTATCTATTAGAGGCTAGGTCAGCTCGATGCGCAGCCAGACAGTGGGACAAACATACGAAGACCAGCCTGTTGTCCCCCACGAGTCTCCCCACTGCTTCTGTCGTGCCTCAAACCACATTTCGACTTTGGACCAGAAGTCCTCGCCTTTGACAATGCGCCCGCCTTGACCACGCTTGCGCTTCTTCTTGGCTGGTTCTCCGATGGGTGAGTCTTCGCCATTGTCCTCTGCACTCGGTGTTGTGGGACTTTCATCTTCTTCCTCTGCCCGGTCAAGCAAATAAGGGTTTTCGTATGCAAAACGGCGCTGAAATTTGAATCAGCGAGAAAATTTGGCAGTCATAAAATAGAGAAAGACTGTACTAAAATGGCCAAACGGGCACGGGTTGCATGTCCAAGGTCTGAATTTCCACCTGCCCGACGGAAACGATTCGAACTATCATAAATAAAGTCTGATAGTGTGCTTGTGTTATCGCCGATGACACTGTCACGTAGCTGCAATAAGGTAATCAGTTCGAGAACGAAAACAAACATCAATCACTGGTGCGCACCAACTCGCGAAACGAATTACGGATACTAGAACACTGACGTTTGATATAGATGGTCAGGAAACGTTCCCTAGCTGGGTTTCCATAGATATTTGTGAGTTTAAAGGCCTCGCGATCTTCACGTAGATGATCCTGTGGGATTAGAAAATAAGCATATAGCACTATCTAATGACTCCGGACTTACCGCCACATCAAAGTGCAGTGTCATGAAAGTTATTCTATTAGGATCAAAAATGAGATCACATCCCACAATGCGTATGTTTGTCTATATGCTTCAGACAGCTGATAGATGACGGCGCACACAAAAGACTTACTCGTTGCTCCGGACTAAGCGAAAATGTGGCTTCCAGCCGGATTTGTAAGTCTGCGAGAAGTGTTTGCGTTGACTGGTGAGAGGCAGCAATCATGCGTTGCTCCTTGAGAATGCAGAATATACTGCCGAGGAGATAAGTTCTAGTTGCAAGGTCAGATTTGCTCAATCCATGACCGAGCTGCGCAAAAAATCTCAGTGCGTGGATGAAAAATCAAACCATTGACGTACCTTAGCAAAACCATGTAGGTTTTTCCGTAAGTCCTGTTCTGCGTCGCCAAGGCCAAATTGGTTGGCAAGTGTGTCCACAAAGAGGGCAGACAATTCGTCTACAAAGAGATTTGGGTCAATTTGTGGTTGACGTGAACTTGAAGGCGGGGATTCAGAAGTGCGTTGGTAGCCAGTAGGGCTCATCAGCAAACTTGAATTCAAAGGAGTTCCTGGCTCGGAACGGTCGGGTGAACCAGATAATTGGAATGATGATAATGCCCGTGGCTGGGAACCAGCAGGTGGGATAGAGAAGTCGAAGGACATATTTGCAGACTGGGACGGTGAAAAGAATGAATGACTTGGACTTTGCGAGTCGCTGGAAACTGCTCTACTAATGAGATGTAATGCTTGTTAACATATTTATACGAAAACCTGACTTACATTAGTGGGTTCTGTGCAGGATCAATGACGGCCTCAAGGCATATCTTCAGTTTCCTATTACTTGTAATAAGGATCATGTTTGGTGGTAGCCGGCACAGGAAGGATGACCTCAAGGTATAATTTCGGTTTCGTGGTTGTAATAAGGACCATGTTTGATGGTGGTGGGCGACTGTTATAATGATGGCCTTGAGGCATAAGAGTTCCAGTTTTGAGTCACTGTTGGATGGTATTAATCTGGTGGGCTGCAGCCAAACGGCAACACCGCATAGCAGCAAGTATTGGTAATCAACTAAGATCAAAACGTCTCGAGGCGGCACAGCAGATGATAATATTATTATCGAGGTGGGATACTATAGCTAGTAGCAGATGATATGTAGAATGGGGATATCAATATTAAATATACTAGTAGCAGATGATATGTAGAATGGGATAATATTAAATATAGTAGTAGCAGATGATATGTAGAATGGGATAATATTGCGTTACTGGACTTGTAATACAGACCGGTGTTGCTGCAGCGATCTATTAACTTGTAGGCCTCGACCCCGTCCACGTGGTCCATGTGCTGCTGCCTGTAGATGTCACGGAAGCTCCACTTGTGGTATTGTTACGTGTCCGAATCTCCCTGGCAGCACCCTCGAGGATTGCAAGGTTCATATCGGGTGGCTGAACAGGTACCCGAAGGCCCTGCATGTGTTTTGCGTCTCGCATCCGTGCGGTGTTGAGAACGAGGTCATCAGGATCCCCGATATGACGTATCACGGCCTTAGCTTTCGACGTCTTCGCTCGTTCTTCATAAACAAACTCAATATCAGAAGGCGAGCTTGTGCAGTTGTGCGCTTGGCACTGATGCTGCAGATTTGCTGCGCATAAAATTTGCTTTCACGGAAACAGAAATTTAGTGATTGACAACATGTACAGATAAACCACGAACCTCAACAGGATAGAGCAAGAAACCGCCGTGTGCCCTGACTGCGGGCATAGAGTAGGACACCGCTGGTTCACCAACACTTCCGCGTTCCAGAAGAATCGCATCTGGACGCAGAAGTTTATCTGCGTCCGAGCCTTGGCGCTGGATGATTTCGCGAATGCACGCCACAATCGGAGACTCCTCTGCTGTGCCCTTAGCTGCAATGACCCAGTCTCCTATCTTGCAAATGTCCCCGTTGAAAAGTACCACGGACTTGCAGGTACGAAAATTATGTCCTCTGAGAATGTCATTTGGAAGGGACCGGAGTGCGTTTGGGAATAATTTCCCTGTCTCGGTAGTGGAGTATGGTTGGAGTGGTAGGTTGCTACGAAGGCATTGACCTAAAGGTACTTAGTATTATATTTCTCAAAGCCGGAACTCGTGTAAAATCAAACTTTACCGTATTTCGTGGTGTCAGCCTGTGTATCAAGTCCGAGGTAGTCCGTGATGATATTCGGCCGTTGAACGAGTGACAATGGACCCTTTCCGACAACTTGAACATTTATAGCATCCGGCGGCTTGTCTGACAAGGGATTAGAGACCTGCAGAGTAAGATCGGGAGAATCAGAGTGGATATCGTTAGTATTATCGTGTATCAGTATTCGTGCGCCCGAGAGAATATGACGAATCCGACTCCCATGGGCAAAAGAACGCGCGATATCTCGAGAAGGAGCACGGTGGTTCGAATGGATGCTTTTTGCGCGGATGACAGCATTGAAGGACTCAAATGCCTCTGTTGCAAATAAAGTGGCTGGCCCGAATCGTTGAATGTGGTCAACAACATGCAATAGAATATGGAATTTAGGTTTATTGAACCATCGAGGAGTCCACCTGGCAGTGCACGCAAGGAAGTTATTGATTGATGTCGTGAGATTGCGCTGAGACGAATAATGATCGAATAATATCAATATCAGCAAATCAAACTGAAAAGTACTGTGCTACATACCAAGTGTTCCGTGGAGTTTTCGATTTCAGGCTGCCAGATGAGTGGTATCAGGTTCGATAATGCAACCCAAGTATCATAGCATTCCGTGGGTACCAAGTCGTGAAGCACAAAGGGTGCAACCTGCGCAATGGCACGAAAATCACGACCAACAAGAGACCCTGCATATTGAACGAGGGTGTGACCGGCAAGATGGCTGAGTCCAAGACCCGAGACGTCGACAGATGATAGGCGAGTTTCTAAAAGCTCACGCTTCAACTTGTCTTTTCCGATCCTTACAGAGACCACATCACGCCAAAGGTATTTGACGAATCCAAGAAGGACCGTGTGGAGGATTTCCACGGGTGTGTCAGCGTGAGGATCGATACCTGGGATATGTCGAAGTCAATCCCACGCTGTGAAAATAGTTGAGATACCTTTTATTCGCCAAACGGGACTTGTGACGTTTTCGGGCAGCGTCTCTTTGACTCTATCGAGCGCTTCCTGTTTCGCCTTACCACCCCGAATTTTGCAGTGTGATTCAGCTAGGCGATTCAAGAATGAGTCCAGAAAGGTGTCCTTGATGCCCGTGGAAGTCTTCCACTGCTTGATCTGGGTCTGATTCCCAACTGTCGATGCATGACTGAACATTGACTTGAGTTCAGAAACGGTTTCATTCTTGTGACGTGGTTCTCCTATCTGGTACCATGCTTCGTAAACAAAATTATATTCAAGACTGCGCAGATTTGTTACCTTTACAAACCGCTTAACCCGTGTTACCATCTCCTCCATGGTCTCCTTTGCTCGTTTCCGTGTAGATTTCAGAGGAGCATCAGTATGGGCTTCGGGCTCACTTCCACTAACCTCACCAACACTGTGGTCGGTATCATCAGGCTGTGCAGCAGCTGCTCGTGCAGGATTGCTCTCCGCACTTGCATCGTGCCCCTTCACTTTACACATACGGCAAAAGTATTTTCCCATCGACCCAATATGACAGGCCATCTCACTTTGCATGGGGTTGTCCCCAAGCAAAGCTAAGACAGACGGAATGACAAGAATGTACTCCTCGTGGACACAGTCCCAGGCCCAGATGCCTTGCTTCCATGATTCTCTAAATTGTACCAGCATCATTATTTCTACTCGCCTGCTTGTGACAAATCTCACTCACTCGAGTTGGTCTACAATACCATCCAACATTTCAAGCGGAGGGGCAAGATTTGATGTACAAAGAAAATGGACGTTGTACTCGTGGTGGACTTCTGCACGCGGCAATCCTGCAGCGGTAAAAAGAAAAGAGTTGTGTTTGTTCCACTTCTTCGACAAGTTTCCAGATGTGTCGTCACAGTATAACCAGAGAGGCATCGCATAGACACGAGCGCCCGATGCCCGAACACGCCATTTGTTGCCTTCGGAAGGATTGGTTAATGTCCATGGCTGCAATTCGCCGTTTGGTTCACGTTCAACACCTAAACAGATGTTTGTAAGTGTAATTGTCAAAGTGATAAATGATTCTACCATAGATTGAGTGTGCGCGAGGTAGACCAGATGTTGCTTCGCTCGAATCCCAGTTTTTGAATGATACAAGAAGGTCATCTTCTGATACTTCGAATGAACGAAAATCTTCTACAACCCAACCACAGTCCAGTTCATGGGTGACGGGCCGCAATGACCAAGCTTTAGTGTACATCTTCCCACCACGTGTGAACCAGCGAAATGGAATGCAAGCTCGGCCGCTCAATAACAGTGCAGGCTCGAAAACAAAGAAATCTTGGTTGTGCAGTCTGGCGACAGGCGTAAGCAGCTCCGGGTCGAGTTCCTCAAGCCAACGTTTAGCTTGTCGAGCTTCATTCAGTTCCATGCCAGTATCTTCAGGGTAGAAGTGTAACAGTGGGCGAACTCGAGGATTCATCATTTCCTTCAAACACGACTAAGTGTAAAATATTAATTACAAAACATAACACACCTGCCGAATAATGTCAGGCAGCGAGTTAACATAGTACTTATGTCCAAGAGCACCATCATAAGGGATTGAGCGGATACCACATAACCGTTGAATAGTGTCTTTGATGAGTTTGACAGACTTCACCGAAGGTACATCGTCTACATTGTTGACCCGAAGTAGCCAGAGCAAAATGTCAATCTGTCGTTCTGAAAAAACAGAGCGCGGAAGGTGCATGAGAATATCAAGCGTGCACGTCTAATACAAAACCATTGGATCAACAACAGTTGGCAGGTTGATACTAGAAGACCTTACAATTTTATCGGGCCACGGAAACCACTCCTCATTCACGATTTGATGTCGAGAACGTGTTCTATTATGACCGCCGGTTCCAATAGCAGTCTCACTAGCCTGGCTGCCATCTGCTCGAAATGTGAGAGTGAGCTGCATACTGTGTAGTTAGAGTAACATACCGTCACGAAATGCCCGCCCCATAAAAACCTCTTCATCTTCCGATATTTCAGCTCCCTGATCATCCGAGAGGTCAACTTCATCTAAAAAATCACTTAAACCTTGCGCAATCATTGCCGTCGTGATCGAGTAGTTGCTAATGTTGTCTGCTGAGTCGTCGCCCAGCTCAAAATCGGGAGTGCCAGCCATGTCATCGAGAAGACCACGTAGCTCGACAATGGAGTTGGATGAGCTGTTCCTGCGGTGCTGCTGTTTTCTCGCATGGTGTTTGACTGCATTTTGATGAGACTGGGTCTTCTCGTGCTTCTGAACTGCCCGCCGATCATGGGGTTTATTGTCCTGACAAAGGTTGCAGACCCATTTGTTCCCCTTATCAGCAGGCGTCCAAACTGGCAAAAATTAGATCCTGGAGTTGCTAGCTTATCTGAATCGCTTCGTACCATCAAGATCAGGCATAGTAAATTGAGCAATGGGCCTGTTGATAAAGTGACTATTATACCGAGGATAAGCAGAACAACGGCGTCAGGATATCTGTAAGATGCCCCATGTATATAGTACTTACAATGCGGAACTATAGAACAATATTGTCCCCAGTATATTCTGCTTTTGACCGCAGTGAGATGACTAAACGAGCCTGTTGATCCAACGATTATTGTGCCGACAATGTGTAGAGACTGACGAAGGATAATTCAAGGACGCCCTGCGCAGATAGTGCCTATGGGGTGCAGCCCTTGTTTGGCGTTGTTCCCAGGATAAATTGTCTATGGCTGACAGACCAAACAGTTTGAGCCTCAGTTTAAACTCGCGATGAACCTGAGGTAATCCGCTCGGTAGCTGACGGACAACTCAACATTAGCACTTCGTTCTCGTTTATGCTTAACTGACGGATCTTGTCCTATCTCAGTACTCCGTCTCTATTCAAAAAAGTACAGCATACAAATTATATATATATAATGAGTACTAAAAGGACCGGCTTAACCACAGGTTCAACTAACTTCTTACCGTGTACATCATCTCGACGATATTGGATCAAATGGACCTCGAACGGTTTTCCGGCTGATGCAACCTTTCCAAATGACTAGTATGGGGTGTACATGATACTTGTCCAGGAAGTTAAGGAGACTACTATGCATGTTCTTGGGCCGGAGCACACTGGTCTGTATTTCAATTTCAACGTCGAGAACTGAAAGGCGCAGCGCTTTCCACTGATGCCGAATGTGGTTGGTGCACCACGGCGCCACCACTCAGATTATAGATTCCTGAGCGCGAGGTCGACTTGAAGGGGAGAACCCGGACCAGAAACCTGTCAAAGGTTCACTTTTCACGGGTTCTATCCAGTCATCATCCGCGCAGTCACAGTAGTTGTAGCCTGACGCCCAAATCACAACCTTTTCTTTTTACACGGCACGTTGTATATTCAGGAACATCCACCCCAACGACTTCCCACTGACGCTCGTCCGCGAGCGCATCGAAATCGGGGGTGTTGAAGAATGTTGCAGGAAGCATGCATAGTCAAAGCTTAGCAGACTAGTGCGGTACATACCACCGGCTGATATGCGCTCTTGATTAACTAACATCAACTCGTCTGAAGTTCGCAAGACTCTCAGATCTATGCTCTATATCTCACCTAGGAGATCGGGCATTGATTTTTAGTAGAGTTGATTCTCGCTCCTGTGCTCGTGATGCGGTTTCTGAAGCTCAGTTTTTTGTGCTTGCGCACCCCCTGAAAGCAAACTCAGGGTATCTAGGATGTATGATAAGTTTGAATCTGACTGATTTTTGTGGATGACGTGACCAATTGCGCGTTCTAGAAATTATTGGTACGAAAGCAATACCTAATTACAGTGGCTACATTAATTGTGCCCCTAATCAATATCGCGGTCGATACTCTCCAATTCCATACACTCATCACTCATGCCTCGACTCAACTTTCGTGCCCTACGTAGTCTTCACTCTCGTATGGCGGCACAACAAATACTCGATATGTTTGCTGAGATTCCAGCTGATACAACCATCCCAAATAAGTACTATGGAGCTTACCTCGCGGTTCTTTGGAAAGCATTTGGTGAACCATATACAGTCCATCCAATGTATGAACTCCCAGAGTGTTACAAGGATCCCAGCCTCCTTCCAGAGGGAAAGACTGCCAAAGACTTCTTCGTCACCTACGCCATTACACTCAAAAACAACCCTCTCCTCTTCCTCGAAATAAAACCTCCTGGTCATCTCAATGACCTCTCGGCTAGGTTCGCTGCAGACAAGCAGATGAGGGAAAGATTTCATAGCCTTAGACCCATAACCACGACATCCAGACTCCACGGTATCAGTGTCATGGGACAGAGGCTTGCCTTCTATTACATGGACAAATCCAATGGCTGCGTGTTCCCCAAATCAGGAGACGTTCCGATCGATTGGTGGAAGACGGACATCACGACGAGAGCTGGACAACAAGAGTTAAATATGGTTGCACGGGATGTTAGAAACATGACAGAAGCTACAACGTAATAACCATTATTGTGTTTGCTGGTGGCACTCCTAACATGTTTTGCTTGGTCTAGGGCTCTATGGCGTCTGGACCATCCTGATTATGATGGCACCTAGCATGGTGTGTTCAAGACCATGCGAAAATTAGCTTCACTCTGATCCACGTTCTGATAGTAGGCAAAGAGATTGGAGCACATACTGGCCTGTATTTTAAATCGCCGTCGAGTCTTTGATCACAGTAGTTGCATATATTATTATCATCCTGTGTAAGATAGGTACACTTACGTTCTTGCAAGGGGATTATCAAGTCAACTGCGACGCAAATAGGCAAAGCAAACATACGTCTAGGGGATCATGAAGCTCATGGACTGTGTCCGTGCGGGAGGATGAGGGAAGGAGTTTGCGTTGAAAGCATGCTCCGTACCACGCACAGCATGTGCTTTCAACCCCCTCCCTTCCGTAACCAGGTCATCAAACCTGCCTCTCCATTTCTGGCTTAGCCGTATTCTGTGCAGGAGCGCTCTTCCTTGCCTCCTGGGAACCAACGTGCGCAAATTCAGTCCCCACATGCAGTATGTTCTTTTCCACTTGAGGTCATCTGTAGGCGTTCGCAATCATAGTTCTGTCGAGAAAGATCTCTGCTTGGAATTTGAGCTACGACATACGCAGCACCAATATTTACCGTCGGAATATCTACATGCCAGTGTGAGCTCGAATCGTACACTTGACTCGATATCACACACCTTGTTGCAGTATTAATACCTGAGACCTGACAGACGTCCATAAGGCTGAAACGTATATAAATCTAGACAATTAGAGTGAATGCACCGATTGCGGACCATCCCAAACTTACATGAATCATCCATGAGCTTCCCGCCGTTAGTGGTCGAACACTCCCAGTCGTCAACGATGTTCAAAAAGTCTCTGAAGGGAGAGTCTGGACAGTACTAGTGGTCCAGGTCATCGGGACATGTGCTATGGCGCAAGAGAGTTCCGAATAACCCCCTATAGACCACCGGTACAAGTGTGCGATTCAATCATTCGGATTGAGTGAGTACTTGTTTGAATATCTCGACGATATTGGATCAAATGAACCTCGAACGGTTTTCCGGCTGATATGACCTTTCCAAACGACTACTATGGGGTGTACATGATACTTGTCCGGGGAATCAAGGAGACTAATACGATGCATGTTCTTGGGCCGGAGCACAAGGCTGGTCTCTATTTCCATTTCAACGTCGAGACCTTGATAACAGTAGTTGTGTACATTAATATTGACCTCGGTATGATAGGTTCTCTTGATCAAGTGATATAAAGGTCGCCACGAGATATTATGGTACCTCAGTCCGACTCGCGCATTCTCTCAGGCTCGGTGTTTGGTAGCACTGAACTTTGTAGTGTTTAGGTTGAAACAAGCAAAAGAGTACCAGCAAGTATTGTTTGCCTCAGTGACTCAGAGCGCGAGGCTTTGCGGTGCTTAGGTCAGTGCTCACTAGCACTAATTAGGAATATGACGTTTATGTCATAGGGTATGTAATTCCACATCGCAAGATACTTGATACAAATGAACAACTAGAAGTTCAACCTTCTCGGACGACCTCTTTGACTGACTCGGCAAATATCTGACAGCCTTTTTGCAGATCGCCCTGTGAGATGTTCAGAGGGGGTATGAACCTGATGACTTCATACATTGAAGTCGTGAGAATTAGAAGCCCCTTCTCCATACAGCGTTTTGCCACACGGCTTGCAAGGTTCTTCGGTGCGGATGAAACCAGTGCGGGATCTGTTGGAGAATACGACGGGGATGCAAACTCGACAGCAATCATCAGGCCTTGACCCCGGATATCGACGATCATGCTTCCTACTTCTGGGTCATCACGGATGGACCTTAACGAAGTTAAAAGTTCGGTTGAGCTGGAAACTGTGAGACTGCCGAATTCTGGATCACGCATGTAGCAATCTTACCGAACAGAAACATTGTCGAGCACCTTCTCCTCACGGAAGGCGTTAGCGACGGCCACCGCGGCGGCGCATGATACAGCGTTGCCTGCATATGTACCTCCCTTAAAATGCCGATCAACGGGACAGTCAGACATGGGCTAGTGATAATAAACTGACCATGGAACCTGGCACCAACTTATCTGTAAGCTCCTTCCTGCTGACCACGCCACTCAATGGGAATCCGTTTGCAAGACCCTACGGTCAATCAATCAGCCATGACTAATAATTACAGAAATCCACTGTACCTTTGCGATGGTCAGGATATCGGGTCGGACACCGCTATATTCAATGTTGAAGTACTTGCCAGTCCTGCCGAATCCGCTCTGTACTTCATCCACAATAAGGAGGATGCCGTGTTTGTCGCAGACGGCACGCAATCCTTTCAGGAAGGATGCAGGGGCTGGTACATATCCACCCTCTCCAAGTACAGGCTCAATGATGATGGCAGCTGTGTCCCTGGGAGCTGTTTGTTGTTTGAGAACAAGATCTAGTTGATACAATGAGAGTCGGACGAGCTCTTCTTCGCTCGTATCGAGTGGTAATCCAAGTTGGTGCCAGTACGGGAATGGTATAGCGAATACCCCAGGCTACGATGATGTTAGTCTAGTCACCGATGTCCTGAACACCAATATTACCATCAACGGAAAGAATCCTTCACTATAGACTGTTTTGCTCTTCGTAACAGCCATGGCACCAAACGTTCGACCATGATAACCACCTGGATGGCGCAATTCTTCATGAGCTCTTCGCTACGCGAATACTCACGACCAACTTACCCTGCATGGTGATAATGTTCTGCCGACCAGTAATTTGTCGTGCCATCTTGAGGGATGCTTCAATGGCTTCAGAGCCTGAGTTCCAAAAGAAGAACGAGTCAAGAGAGGGATCAGGCATGATTGGAAGGAGTTTCTCAATCAGGCGCAAGTAAGGGCCATGGAATGAGATGCTGCACTAGAAGAGTATCAAGGTGAGTTTATCTTGACCAGCATTCAAAGTTAGAACATACTTGAGCATGAACAATATTCACACATTGGTCTGCTGCAGCTTTGGAAACCTTCGGGTGGCAATGGCCTGGTGTTGCATGTCATTGTCGATCTTATCATTCATGGGGCGCATAGCCACTTACCAAGATTTGTCACACCGATACCGCAGCTGAAATCTAGCATCCTACGCCCATCCTCAAAGCTCACGTATGAACCTTCACCCTTCGTCATAATAGCTTCCGTGAGGCGGCCGAGGCCTCTAGTGACGTGTTGTTGTCCAAACGCAACGAGGGAATCGGAAGAGGTAGCCATCGCCCTCGACTGTGATTTGGGCATGCTGCCTGCAGAAGCCACACGTTCACAAGGTCGGGCATGATCGTTCCTGAAATGGAGCAGATCAGGAACCCAGAGTGACTATAGATGCGTGAGATGTCTACCTAATCACTGGAGATACAGAACATTTGGCGACGCCAGAACTGCCCGTTGAACGGATAGCTCTTGCACAGGTGGATACTCTGTTAAGAAGAGGCATTTGTGCTATGCGCAGTGTAGCTTTGACGGCCAATCAAAATTTTAAAGGCCAAGTTGAAGTATGTCGACGAAGCGAAGTACAACTTGGCTTGGAGTCTTGGACCAGATTACTGATACGTATACGTTGTCTGAGTTTTATGTATAATAACACGTTCAGTAGTTCTAATTATAGCATGTGGGGTTCGGTCAGGGGTTCACCTTCGACTTCCAGTTATGAAGCGCTTGTCTTTAACTAGCTAGTTCCAACGGAACAAAAGACGGCGTTCCGAAAGATTACTGGTATAAAAATTCGCATGACTACTCCCAACTCTCATCGATACTTGTGCTGAATGTGGAAGAGCTGGGAAAAGGAACAAGACTGCAGCGCACTAGCAATCACAAGAGCTTGCCGATGGGAGTAAGGCCATCAAAGCCGTTCTTCGTCCTATCGTAGGCCACGCGGCCCCGCAAAATTGTTTGCTGCACAACTCCATTTAGCACCATCCCTTCGTATGCGGAGAATTTGTTCTTGAAGTGGAAGTGTTCCTTCGACACCTATCATCATTAAAGAATGAATTGGAAAAAATGGAGTGTGCTTATAATATACCTTGAACTCGGCTGCAGGGTCCCAGATGACGAGGTCGCCGTCATACCCTACTGATAACTGGCCTTTGGATGACGAAAGCCCAGCATGCTTCGCAGTTTCCTCGCTTGTCCAGCGAATGATCTGACCAAGGCTGACGCCCCTCCTCTGACCTTCTGTCCATAGAAGGCTCAGGCCAAAACCGAGACTGTTTATGCCTCCCCAGGCGGTCATGATATTACCCTCCTCGAACTTCTTCAACTCTGCTACACATGGACTGTGATCGGATACCACACAGTCAATGGTCCCGTCTATCAATGCCTCCCACAATGCATCTCTGTTTGATTCGGAACGGATAGGTGGGCAGCACTTAAATTCAGGTCGGCCGTGGGGTATGTTGTCCGCCGAGAGGCACAAATAATGGAAACATGTTTCCACCGTAAGATTCAACTTGCGAGAACGCGCAGCACGAATAATAGGAAGAGCGGATGACGCAGATAGGTGGACGACGTGGCAACGAAGGGAGTTGTACTTTTCCTGCAAGAGTGTAATCAGAGAGATAGCGTTCACCTCAAGCTCTTGAGGGCGGGAGGAAAGGAAGGTCTGATATGCGGTTGGATCGTGTTCCTCGTGATTTTGCACTGAGCAGGAGTCGCCCTCAAGTTCTGCGTGGAACAAAAGGACAGTCGATTGACCCTGCGAGAGAACAAAGTTAGCTAGCTCGCTGAGTCCTCATATGCTGTTTGACCTGGAGCTCTTGCATGTGTGCATGAAGATCATGCTCTGAGACGCAAGGGAATTCCTGAAAAAATGGTATTGGTCATTGGATGGATGATAGAACGAAATCTCTCCCTCACCTCGACACCACTTTCAATCAAAAAGCACTTAAATCCTTTGACTCCAGCTGCCACCAATGGTTTCAGGTCAGCCTTTACTCCAGTTCAGCCGATCTCCTCAAATAGTATCGAACGCATGGCTTGCCTGGTTCCCTGGAATGACTCCACCCCAGAAACCGACGTCGGCCCAGCACTGGCCTTGTGCAGTTTGTCGCTTGATCTCAAGGTTCTGTATAGTGGTTGTGGGTGGTATAGAGTTTAACGGCATATCCACGACCGTGGTGATTCCTCCTGCCACAGCCGCTCGCGTACCGGTCCAAAAACCCTCCCAGTCCGTTCGACCAGGCTCATTTAGATGAACGTGGGCACTACAAAGGCATTCAAATCATCTGTTTTCTCGACGCTATGGGACCAATCACTCACTCGACTAGTCCAGGAAGAACAAACTTTTCTCCTGCATCAATAAATGTTGTCTCTCCATCCGGACTTCGTTCTGCATACACCGTCTGGATGTCTGTGATCTTACCTGTGCCGATGTTCACCGTGATCGTTGCTGGTTGTAGCTGATCTGAACCAGGCAGCAGGACATTCCGGCTAGTCACGACTAAGGACTGGTTACTCATTGTCTTTTCGCTTTGTGGACTGACAGCGCAATGTGATTGACTATAGATACGATTAAGCTCTGAAATACGACAAAGAGATGTTGCATGAGCACTCACATCGTATGTACTGCGATGTGCGCAGCAGTAATCTAGGTCAACGTTGGTTCGTACTACTAGGTACCCAACCCAGCTGACCAGTGTCCGACAGCAGACTTCTTGCTGGCCCAATCAGTAAATTGCATCTCTACAATATAAACTTCCTTATATTGGTCTACCTGACCGAAAGTTAACCCGTCACCGCTGGTACTCAAACAGTGTGGTTAAGGACTTTCGACAGTCACCGAACTAACACAGGTCGTCGCAAATTCGAGACTGCAAAGATCTGCCCAGTTCACAACACACTGCACACAAGTAAGCATTGTTGCGCAAGTGCCTATAGCAGCTCTCCGGCAGGTCGGAGACCTTTAAAACCATCTTGAAGTGCCGAATCATAAGCCAATCTACCACGAACAAATGTCTTGTGTACGAGGCCTCTCAAAGTCATGCCTTCATAGGGGGTCAACTTGTTCTTGAAATATAAATGCTCTTTCGAGACCTATCGCTCGATCGGTTATCGTCACGGAAGCAACAGCAAAACTAGAATTCACCTTGAATTCAGGTTCCGGATCCCAGATCACCAAATCGCCATCATGTCCCATTTTCAGCTGACCCTTTGTTCCAGACAATCCCGCTAACTCGGCAGTTTTAATGCTCATCCAACGAATGATCTGTCCAAGTGGGATGCCTCTCTTCCTTCCTTCCGTCCATAAGAGGCTTAATCCAAGGCCTAGAGAACTGACTCCGCCCCAGGCTTCCATAAAATCACCGCGTTCAAGCCCCTTCATCTCAATGAGACAAGGACTGTGATCGGAAACTACACAATCAATGGTTCCATCCACGAGAGCGTCCCAGAGGAGGTTTCTGTTAGAGTCCTCGCGAATCGGAGGGGTACATTTGTACTCGGTCGCGCCATCCGGAATATCCTCCGCTGATAAACATAGATAGTGAAAACAAGTTTCAACAGAAAGTTTTAGTCCGCGCTCTTTGGCAGCACGGATGATGGGCAAGGCAGACGCGGCTGATAAATGGGCGATGTGACAGAAAACTGAGGGATACGCTGCTTGAAGGCGAGTAATGAGAGTGATAGCATCCACCTCGAGCTCCTCAGGACGCGAGGAGAGGAATTCCTGGTACGACCTTGGATCCAGTTGGTGGTGGGTCGATGAAGAAGCGTTCTGCATTTCAGCATGGAAAATCAAGACAGAGTTCTTTGAAAAATGACGCCAGTCAGATGATAGCTATCGTTTTCATGCTCTACAAAGCCCTACTTGGAGATGGGACATGTGCGCACGAAGGTCACTCTCAGAAACGCGAGGGAATTCCTATGTGAGGCAAGTATAAACATAGATATGCACGGAATTTTGGTTTTCAATTACCTCAATGCCTGTATCAACCAAAAAGCACTTGAAACCCCTGGCGCCAGCGGATAAGAGGGGTCCTAATTGGGCCTAAAGATGATGAACACCTAGCGCGCTAGAATCTACTGGTGCCCGTACTTGATTATGAGGAATTGCTCCTCCCCAGAATCCAACATCTACCCAACACTGACCACGAGCAGAATGACGTTTGATATCAAGGTTCCCTGGTGTGGTGGTGGGCGGACTTGAATCGACAGGCATATCAATTAGAGCTGTAACGCCTCCAGCAGCTGCGGCTTGTGTGCCGGTCCAAAAGCCTTCCCAGTCCTGGTTTCCGGGTTCCTCCAGATGAACATGGGCACTGTTAGTACGACAATCAGTCCTCGTGCTTTGCAACGAGAAACGACCCCCACTCGACCAGCCCCGGGAGAACAAATTTGTCCCCGGCATCAACGAAATGTAGATCCCCGCTTTTATTACACACTTTATCACCGATGTACCCCAACAGGATTTCGATGATTTTGCCAGTCCTGAGGTCGATATTGATCGTCGCAGGTCGTGGCAGATCAAAATCAGGAAGTAGTACGTTTCGACCGGTCACAGTGAGAAGCATGATAATTATGCCTAGTTGATGGGCCACAGATGCCAGTCGTGTTCTTGAACGATTACATTAATAGACTCGTTCAGCTTGGCAAGTGACTGCATGATCATGATGAATTACGAACTTATGTCCAAGGCAAAAAAACGTACTTGTGACCAAAACGCTGTGAGTGCTTTGAGTCCATGAGCCAATATTGCACCTAGGCCTCGCCACGTTGAATTTTGAAAGATGGTATATGTAGCACATTCAAAGTTAAACCAACTTTTCAAAGAGATCAGTCACTACTCGGGAGAGCCACGTGACAATGCATGATCGACCATAAATGAAGGTGCCTGAACAAGAAGACTTGGAACCTGGACTACCTTGATTTACTAGCCGTGTGCAACCAGTTTGATACCCATGTACCATCTTCCAGCATAATCTGTTCAAATGTCAGAAGGAAGTACCGGAAATAATGGTTCTGTCGCGGTAGCATCACAACCGGATCCACCTTCACCTCTCGATACCTTGCTTTCCCCGAAGGGCCTCACATACGATGAGCTTTCCCCAAGAGGATCTGTCGCCGAGTCCGACTATAACGATGTAATCCTTGATGATGATCCAAGCTTCTCAACTGTCTCGCTCTCAGGAAATACCAGCCTTGTCACTGAGGCAGAAGCGGACGATACTACGCTTCCCAAGCTGAACCGCAGGACAACTATTTCATCGGCACCCTCGAAAGTTTTGTCTTCTTTACGTCATTTTTCACATAGGAAGTCTGCTTCGACGATTACGATACCATCTGCGCCTGGAAGTAATATCCTTGCGCGTATCGGGTCACAGGGCACCCGTGATGAAGGCAGTAGTGAAGCATTGCGGAGTGCTGGAGAAGGGCAGCAGAAGCTTCACGAAGAATTTTTGCGCCTTCACAACGAGCGACGTGCTGAGGCAACAGAATCTGAACAGGGAGGCATAGATTGGGGTAAGAATGACCATGCACCAATTTTCAGTTCTGACTCTAGCGCAAGGTTTCTGGGGAGCCGTCATTTCAGGTAATCTCCCAAGCCATCTTGTATACCTGGTATTCATCCCGCATCGTAGATTATCAGGGTTTCGCAGCCTCGAATCCCCAAAAGCTAGCCAAAGCAATCGAGAAAGGGATTCCGGACGCGCTTCGTGGAATGATGTGGCAATTAATGTACGGTGCTTCCTGACATTCAAATCCACCACTGATATGCTGCTTGAGGTAGGGCAGCGTCAAAGGACATTGAACTAGAGAACACATACCTTTCGCTCCTTAAAGAGTCCAGTCCTCATGAAAAGGCAATCACGCGAGATCTCGGAAGGTTCGAATTTACTTTGGATGTCCACATCTGTTGACTTTCACTTCACAGAACCTTTCCTCACCATGATTTCTTTACCGATGGACAGGGCATCGGCCAAGAACATCTTTTCAACGTTCTCAAAGCATATTCATTGTACGACCCTCAGGTTGGTTATTGTCAAGGTCTTCCTTTCGTTGTGGCCGTACTCCTTCTCAATGTGAGCTCCTCGTTGCTCCAATTCAATTTGTGTTTACTTCGTACAAACTAGATGCCGGACGAAGAGGCATTCTCGCTCCTCGTGAGGTTGATGCACTCCTACGATCTCCGGGGTCATTTCCTCCCAGAGATGCCTAAACTGCAGCTCCGACTTGTATGTAGAGGTCCAATGCAACAACTAGTTTCATTCACACTTACTTTCTGATGTTAGTACCAGGTATGCCCCTTAGTTGGATCTGCGATCCCCGTCTCAAGTGACATCAGTTCGACCGGTTGATAGAAGAACTATCACCCGTGCTTCACGTTCATTTCCTCCGACAAGGCATCAAATCTAGCATGTTCTGTTCGCAGTGGTTTCTAACGCTTTTCAGCTACCGGTAAGTCTGCAATTTCCAAGGCGCATAGCGTGACTCAGTAGTGGAACTTCAGATTTCCACTAGAAATCGTAGTCCGGATATACGACAATTGTTTGGCCAGTGGTATAGAAGCCATCTTTGCATTCAGCATCGTGCTGCTCCAGAAGAATGAAGAAGTTCTACTTACCCTCAAGTTTGATGATATCCTCGCGTTTCTGAAGAACAAGATTTTTGATCGGTACAAGGTACGTCGCGTTATTTTACCATCGCACTTTGCTTCACAGCGAAAATTGATAGATTGAGGCCTCGGATTCGCCTGAAGACCACGGTCCAGCCAAGAGCGTTACGTATGATGTAGACGCGTTCGTGCTGGACGCCATCTCTATGAAGATCACACCGTTCATGTTAGACGCTTACGCACACGAGTATGAGGACTTTGTCCGTGCCCGAGATGCTCATGCCATCGAGATCGATACGTTGCGAAACAGCAATCGCAGTCTGTCTGCGCAAGTGTGAGTACTCATCAGCAATTACAGGTGACCGTCTTTGAATGCTCGGACCGTGACGACAGGAAAGAACTTGATACAAATATGGCGCAATTAAATGCAGAGCATGTTGAGATCCTTGTAAGTCGTAACGCAAACGTTATTAGTTCATATATGACTGAGCGGTCGTTCAGAATCAGCTTGTAATGGCTCGGCTACGAAACGAAGAACTTGAGGAAGAGTTGGTTAGATACAAACTACTGTACAGTACCATTTCCTTATTTTGGGCCATGGTTCTGATATTCACGACAGTTACGCCGAGGCCATGCATGAGAACCAGGACTCCAAGTCATCTCACCGCTTGTCATCTCCTCTGGCTAGCAGAAGGGGAAGTCGTCACTTATGATACAGAAATTGGAATTCAGCACATAGAGATATGCGTTCCTAGGGCGGTACACGTGTTATAAAGAAACTTCTGATTCCACTACAGGGCAGACCCCCACAATGTGATACAAGTAAGACGGCCGACAAAGAACTACTTGGAATGAAGCCCTTGGGCAAGTTGAACCTACAGACAAATATTAAATTGCGGCCGATGATTCATTTACGCAAACACCGACCTCTTCCTTGCTGATGGTGCGCAACTCTCCAGGAGACGTAGCCTTGCCCGTGGCTGCACCCAAAGCGACTTGTGCCGTACGCACCGCAGATGAGTGCTTCGTAATCCAGTACTTGATCTCGTCCGGGATGATCTCAATCACGGCGACACGTGGGTCATTCTTGTCGCCCTTGTGGACACCGTCCTTCAAGTCACCAATATAGCCAGTAATGCTACGCTCAGTCAACACCAAGTCAATGCATGAAAACGGTTGACGCACAATGAGGACCAGTGCTTATTGATAAGATCCTTGTCCTGAGTCACTCTGGCTCTACCGGAATACGACGCCCAGTTCGTGGAGGATGGGTCGCAGAAACTGACATTGACGTGCGCATCATTCTCGATTTCCTCGAACTTGTGAGACACGTTGTTCGCGAGGAACACGAGGTTCAGTTGCGTGTCGCTGTATGCTTCAAAGGTTACGTGCATGTTAGAAAAAATCACAGTCTGGTGAGAATTGGATTCGTACGCGTAGCAGGAGTCATTGCTCGGGAATGCAAGTTCCCATTTGCATCGCGCGTGACGAGCATTCCGATTTTTGCATTCTTGATGACGGTGTGCAAGTCTTACGAGTTGTCAGTGTGACGAACTAGTTGTTCGCGAAACTAAATACATACCGGTGATCTTCTCCTGAAGAGTAAGATCCGTATTTTCTGCAGCGCAGGTGTAAGGATCCAAGCGGGCTTGTTCAGGACTCAGATTAGACATTCTTTATAAAATCGATGTGATAGTTTAGGTGAAGGAGAAGATGGCTCAGGGGCGAAAGGGTTGGGGTTTATGTAGGCGACGTTTTGGATGGTGTCCCCTGACGTCGTCGTGCTGGATCATAAACCATGACGTCAGACTGCTGAACCGCAACACCTTCCATATCGGTATGGGTCCGGGAAAGCCCGTAAGCCAACAGTACAGTTCTGATATTCACTAGCATATGCAGGAATAAACAAAAAATCACCTCTGAACTGAATTTTTGATTACCCTGAACTGTAGCAATTACAGCAGATGCAGCTCCCGTTGACTGTGTTACTGAATGAATGAGCTCAAAACACACATCGTTGGGTATATACAGCTACAGACCCCATGAATAACATTGATACAGTCCCTGTGTGTAGCAATTCACGAGTCCCAAGAAACATCAAACAACAAGACTAATACTTCGACCAAGCGGGAGTCTGGGGCTCCGCTTGCAATGCTGGAAAATCGCTTGCCTCCCACGTTCCCGGTATGAGGGCGATTGGGAGGATCCAAGTGGCGGTGAGAACGACTCCATATCCTACATTTGATATAACGTTATGAAAGCAATCAGTTAAGATTCAGTCAGTCACGTTGACGAATGACACGTACCTTTATCAAATACTTTGACTGCTGACCAGCTCCAGGCAATGAAACCTCCGATGTACCCGAGGTATGGTACAAGTCGGCGGAGAAAACTCATCGGGATACGCAGCTGCGGCGGCATGAGGGTGATGGGCAGATGATCTAGTAGCCATTTCAGTGCGGTTGTGATCATGGCAGCACGTTTCGCAGCTTCAAGCTGTTTGTCATTGAGCGCATCAAGCACGGGGGGTGGAAGGTAACTAAGATCAGTCACATAAGTTTTGAAGGTATGCGATTATATCGGGAAAAACACCTACATACGGAAGCCCCACCACATTGCTTGAATGGAGATTTTTGTGGGCGATGGGAGCCAGACACGATATTCTGGTGTCAATTCCATTACACCAACAGCAGACATGTCCTCTGGTTCGACTCTGCTGCTGGATGCAAATTGCTCAGGGCCCGCCCTTTGTTTCCCCTTGCGTCTATCAAAACTCTCGCTCTGTGCGAATACTTGTTCAATAGACTCTGAAGGAAGGGGAACGAATTTCAGCTGGGGCGTGCGGATCTCTTCTCCATCTCCATTGAGCGAGACAATCTCAGAGCGTGCTATCTCTATCTCCGAGTCCTCCGTGGGTTCTAAAGGCCCGTACATCATCACCGATCCATTGTCATCTTCATACTCCGCGCCTATGCGCAGTTCGTCTGTATTTGGATCAACGATGCCATCCTTCTTGGTGAGAGGGGATCGCAATCGGTCTAATACAGACCACACAGACTCTCTTCCACGATCAATTGACCCATTCATGGCGGTGAATGAAGTGAGGAATGCCATCAACTTTGAGTCGGAAACTCCTGTGGGGGAGATTGAAGGGTCGTCATTGTGATCTATGACTTGCCCTCCCGACGGTGTAGTATGAAACTGTGGGAAAGAAGTGGATAGCCCAGATGGCATGGAAGGTAATGATGCGATCATAGCTTGGATTTTGCGAGCGAGTGTGTCAGGTTCTGGTGGTTCGCTGTCAATGCCACCTTCTGCTCCATGGAATTGAACCAGACCATCAGTCGCACTGCTGCTTGCCTCCTGGATCTCATCATCAATGATGGGGGTAGCAGGAAGGGATGCAGCAGTGGGAGTGGTCGGTTGTTGAACTTGGTTGTCTTCCTCCACGAACCAGGAGGACGGAGGAAAACTTGCGCTCTTCGCCCTGCGTGCATACTTTAAGAACTTGTCTACTGCGTTTATCTTCGCTTTTGGAAGTTTTGATGTGGAGGGTGATAAAGCTGCCTCAGGCTCGTCTGCATGTGCGGTGGACGTTGATTGTTCTATTGTAGCGCTGCCCTTGCTGAAGGTCCTGATAAAGCGAGGAACGATACCAGGGGGCGGGCCTGATTGCGGAGGCGATGCATGCTGTTGTTCCATGGAGGCGATATGGAAGCAAGCCACTGCGCGTCGTATACAGCGTGTGTTATGTGTGGCTGTGCCCAACAGTTATTACTTCTTGATTTGGTAATCGATTGCTTGACAGTTTCCTCGAGGCTCGAGGCTCTCTCTGTGCGCTGCGAACGTTTGTGATCATACGAGGGCGGCAAGTTCTAGGCTCCTGCAAAGGGCTCCAAGCCTACCACAGACGACTATTCCTTCTATAGTACGGTCAAGAAGACAGTGTTTTTCTGGTGCGCTCAAGAACAGTACTAATAAAGTGCGCCAATCTCTCACTGCGCGGGCTTGTAGGTAACTGATTTGGTTGTTACGGCGGCCGAGGAATTTGCCCTTTGACCACAGATCTCAAACCGTCCTCGCTGAATGAAGCCTCTTAACACCACGTCCACTAATAATCTGCTCGAAAATTATGCAGCATGCTGGCAGTTCGAACTTCGGCACCCGATATATACAATCGCGCTTAAAGCGATCTGTATCAGTCTGGATCGATATGCTGTGTTATATACGTATGATAGCAGCTGGTTGTAGCCGGGCATAAGTCGGTTAAAGTAGCAAATCAGGCTGATCATGATGATCCATGATGTGATAAGATTAGATGTAAAATGTGCGGTAAACCAAAATGGGAAGTGGTTCGTTCCGTTAACGTTGAGCTCGCTGTGCACGACGGCGGTGCTAGGACTAGCAACGGACGGGACTAAGAAAGTGTAGTGAGCAGCTAGCTTGGAGCTAGCTAGACGTTGTTGTGATTTTTATTATGTTTCTTTGTGGGAGAATAGCCGCCGCGTGTTCTGTGGATGAAGCTCAAATGGGAAAGATGTGCGAGGCGTGGCTTGCAGCCGGCGCGCTGAGCCATGCAGAGGCCCTGCATTTACATTTACCTTTGACCGTCATTTGACGTTGCTTTATAGCTTCGCCCCATCAGACATCCTTTCATCGCGTGTACATCCAAAACTCCTCTCTTATTTAAATCTAGTCTAACTCATCTACCATCACCTCATATCACTTCCTGGGTTTCTATATCCTTCCCAATCATCATGAGCACCCTTGGAATCCCAGTCTCACATCAAGATTCTTTCTGTCCACAGATTCCTTCCTTCTCTCGCCCGCAAACTTATCCCCGTCCTCGTGAGGTGCTGGCCATAACCATGAACAATGTACTACCAAACCCCACATATATCCACGACTACCCAATACATCCCTCTCGCTTCCCAATCTCCTCCATCCGTCCAGATGGTCCACAGAATACACCATCAGTCCCACCACGCACTCCCCCAAAGCCTGTTTTCCCCCGTTATGACCCTCTCCATGTCCTCTCCCGTGAATCCACACCACCTCCACCCACAAAGCAGTCCTTTCCATCAATCGTCCACCCCCTCCAGGTGGCGCCCGGTGTCCTGGCTAATGGCGTCCTTACTGTGATGCTGCCCGCTGTCCGCGAGTTTCTCAGTGCTGCTGTCACTGCGCCACCAGCCGCACCCGACCTCCCGAGCGACAGCAGAGTATTAGCGCTTGCTGCACTTGCTGTCTTCTATCGTCCAATGCACCCTGCACATTGGGTCTTTTGGAATAAGGAACAGAAGAAGAACACTGCAGCAGTCGTGCAGAGTGTACTCGGTAAGTCTACTCGACGTATTCACTCTTGTGCACTGTAATATCTGGATTCCTGCGTCCTTGCCTTTGATGCCCATCGATTCTACATTTCATTACACTCAGCATGACTCCGTCAATTGTGTACTAACATCCGCTTCAGATACCACTCCCACCCCCATCATCTCACCCATCGGCTGGATAGCCACCCAAGACAACCTCTGGATTCTTGGTTCCCTCCAACACGCTTATTCCAGTGCACTCTCTTCCCAACCCTGGTACGCCGCATACGTCCCATCTGAAAGCGAAACCCGCATGAGTCTGCGCAAGCGCAAGCCCACCATGATCCAAGAACAAGTCATCGAAGATGACGATGACGATCTCCTCGTGCCTCCTCCTCCAAGGAAGCGTGCAAGGACGCGCAGGACTGCTACAGCTGCCAGGAGCCCGAGGAAACCGGACGAATCTTCCCTTCCTGACAACGCGGAACCAGAAGAGGTGCCCGATGATGTCGAAGCAGGCACCGAACTACCGGAACCGGAAATGGAGCTTATGTTAACGCGCGCAGCAAAGCGCGAGCTCGTCGAAACGCCTGTGCTAGCACAGGATGTGGAGAAATCTGTCTCTCCGGAGCCGCGTAGGAGCCAGCGGAAGAAAGGCGAGTCGCCGGCATCTTCGGCGACCACTCTCACGCGCACCCACTCGCGGGAGTTGTCGGCGGAGTCCGTAGAGGATGTTGAAAGTGCTGGTAGCAGCACTGTTTGTGAAGAGGAACCGGACAAGTCAAAAGCAAAGAAGGGCCGTGCGGACAAGGTCGTTAAGTGCCTTGATACAGTTGTCAAGCATCTTGACGATAACGGCGAGGAGGAGGAAGATGAGGAGGAAGCAGAGGAGGAGAAATCTGCTCCCGCCAAGAGATCCCGCCCTTCAGCTTCTCGTGCAAAACCGAGGTCCAGGGCCCCACCAAAGAGAACCAACTCGACCAATACCAATTCCGAGGAAGGCGGCGAGCACGCAGATGCTACTCCCGCACCTCCTGCGCCTAAGCCAAAATCGCGCTCGCGCCCAAAGACGCGCAGGCGGTAGACTGGCACGGATTCTTCTTGTTTCAACACATCAACGAATTTCTGACGCATTGGAATGACCGAATCATTATATCAAGAATTGCATCGAGTACCGGAGCACATCGCACATCACATCACATCGTATCGCACAAGCATCGCGCTTCGTCACTGGGTCAGGATAATCTGGCCTATTGGATCAGGATTAACAGAAAGGAAGGAAGGAAGCATCTGAAGGAATGAATGCGTAGAATGTACTATCATCGATTTTCAGGACTGAGAAGGTTGTTGCATCATCAGTTCTTTTCCTATTCTCGTCATTTTCATTTTCCTTGTCCTCTCACCATCATCTCCCAGTTCTCTTTTCTTTTTCTTTTCTTTTCTTCTTCCCCTTCTCCCTCTTTATTTCCGATCTTCCTCCACTCCTCTAGCTCAGGTGCACAGTCACTGGATTTGTCAAGGGCAAGAACCCATCGCTTGTTGTCGCACTGCTATCGTCTTCATTTTTTTTATCATTGTCACTTCCATCACTATCATCACCTTTTTCTTTTTTTTCTCGCCTTGTTTTGTGTGTATCATCACGTTACTAGCAGGTGTGTGCATGGCGAACTCGCCTTTGTAGCGGCAGAGAATCCTGGTGTATATGTACTACTACGACTGCTACTATAGATTAGCTGGAGCTTAGGCTGCACACTCACAGAGTTGAGAGCGGTGTATATCATATTTTCTTGGTCTTTACGTTGTGCATTGCAAGGCCATTATATCATATAGATTTCTGAACTTGCGATCTGGCTTCTGCTCGCGCGCGGCGCGACCATGAGAACACGGTGTGACAAGTCACGTGCGTGTGAGTGTTGGTGTCACGTTTAGCAAAACTTTGCCAGATCCTCCTGTGCCTTCGTTGTCATGGACAAGCACTTATTTCTCGCATTTCTCCTCTCGATGATTTACATATGAATGTGCTAATGGCACATTAACACTCTAATCACGATGTGATCACACTAGCTGAGCTTGGCTGGGACCCTACCTGCCGTACGGAAAGTCAAGTCTAGTCTCTAATAGCCGCCGTCACGATCACGATCACAGCAAAGGACAGACATACACAGGCATATGATACATCCACGCGGATCTGCTAAATCGATGCTGCTGAAACACCCCTGATGGCATCCTCAAGCCCGATTGGCAATTGTTGTAACTTGTGGCTGTATCGGATTCTCTTGCCTTGTTTCAGGCTACGTTTAAATTGGCTTCCTACGTTGGGACGTTGCCTCCTCTACGTTCCATCAGCGATACTCCTGACTCACACTTCAAATGTAAGTATGTTTTTGTTTTTGTTGTTTCGATCGCGGTCTGACAAAAGTTTCACAGTGGGTTGGGAATGTAATTGTAGCCTTTGTCAATGATTCTGGTTGCTATTCCTCAGTACTCTTCGGGCGGCTATCCTTGATGACTGGGATGTATTAGCGGCTGATTTGAAATGTCCGCCGGGGAGTTGGGTCGTCAATGCGGCCATTTACGCTGCACCCGGAAACCGGGATACCTGCCAGGATGGTAAATTGTCAGTTGGCAATGCAGTCATCCACCCCGCGCTCAAATTATCGTGAAACCTGCCTGGATGGTGGATTGTCACTGCGGCCATGAACGCCGTTCCCGACATATCCCCGAATACCACACTGAGGCGCTGAGCCTCAAATTAGCGTCTGGTGGATTTAAAGAGGCTATATGTTTTGGATCCCTGCACGGAACGCATTGCTTCGGCTATATGCGCTTTGAAGGCGTTGGCGCGCGGGACCACATATTCAAGGCTCCTACGTAGGCTTGTGACGCCCTTCCCTGGCTGCGTGCCGCGAAGGATAACCCTTTTTCAAGAATACCGTGACAAGGTGCCTCTTTAGATCCCCTACACAAGACTTTTTGGGTTGCCGAACGGCATCCATGGTTGGTTTCGTTCCATGCTAGCGTTGCCTTGGGAGGATAAATAAATTGCTTTGAATGAGCTAAGATGCCTCAAAAAGGAAATCACGCTCTCGACACGGTGTGCAGCACGCATGTACTCAGGTTTCTCGCCATCCCGCTCTTTGCAACCACGGTGATGTCATGGCGCCTGTTTTTACCCTCGGATGACGCGGCTGCGTATTCTAGCGAGGCAACGAAGGCTATAGGACCGCTCGCCGGACGTTCTTACAGATAACTTCGGTCCACTGCTCTCTGGTTCTACAACCGCGCCTCCCACTAAACGAGCAATGCGATCCCAATAGACTCATTTGCCCACGTATCTGTGCTTTCAGGATCAGACAGGCCGCGATCGTGGCTGGGTGTCACACGTTATCGCCCATCCAAGCCACCGCCCGTCACGATATCGTGCCGTACATGAAATACCTCCTTTCAAAATCCCGTTTTTTCTAGACTTGCTTAATATCAGCGGTTTATTCCAGCCTTTGTTGAAGCCGTTCCATGACATCCCAGGAACTCCTGTAATGCTGGCCTTCTCGTCATTATCAGCTCCCGCTGACACAACTTTCCCGAATCTGCAAACCTAGATACCTTCATGAACGTTCATCCGTTCCTGCACCCAAACATTGGCTCTCACTCTGGAATAATATCGCAACACCAAACTTTATAGGAAACGTTTCTCCCGCCATTGTCTATGGTTCAACGAAGTCACGCTAAAACGTTTTAACCGGACCTCTGGCTCAAACATCTCTCGTTGGTTATCATGCGAGCGTTATCGCGCCTAATTGGACCTACTGATTTACGTCAAGATTCCCAACAATCAGGATTACGTCTGGTGCGGAGATCGTCGGCGGGTTTGTTCCCCTTCCAAACTGAAGGATTCACGTTGACATCCGAATCAGTCGTCTGTCCACCCCTTGACGCCCGCACGTTGATGTGCCCCTCACCTAGCCGGCGTTGACACAACTTAGAATCTTAGTTCTCTGCGGTTGCGCCCCGAAGAAGTGCGCTTCACGTTCACTTCGAATTCCTGGTCCTGGGTCACGAGACAGTCTTTTCTCATTCTCGATTCGGTTGATTTCAAATTCACCCTCGGTCTTTCTCGATATCTGCATATTATTGGATATACCATTAACATTCATCTCTTCGTCTCGGTGGAGCACGCATCGTAGAATGGAAGCCTGAATGCTGCTTATCCTCATTGGTCCCACTGGCGAAGGAATCAAATGCCTGTTTATCGCGATGCAGATAAAGCTAGAAGATAAGGATATGAACGCGCCATCAGCTTTGCGTCCAAAACGAGGCTTCAATGGCGGGGTGATAACAGCGATAACTGTCGTGTTCACGCCACAGCTCCATTGGACACAGATCACGCAAACGTATACATCTATGACAGTCCCCAGGATCGTAACGTTGCATGTCCAATTACATGTAACAACCGATGGAAGACGCTCGAGAACTCCATATCCCGCGAAGCTCAGGGAGGGATACATTACTCGGCTTATTGCGAGCGAATAGGCCCGACCAGGCGTTATGAACGGCAACCGGGGCCAAGCGCCGGGGTCCAAATTAACCTGACGCACATTAACGCAATGTCCATTTTTGTGCAAGTCTCTCCGCGGACCCCCTGAGAGTGTCGAAATCACCGACGTCAATAAACCATTTAGTCCGCACGCCGCACGCCAAATTGTATGGTCCATCTCAGAGACGCTGCACGCAAGCCTTCAAATATTCATGGCCCATCGGTGGTGGCTGCACTGTGACGACTGCATCAGCGGCAAACTGTCGCGCGCTTGCCGGTACCGCGGACAAAACTTCCCACGACACTGCATAAATGTTATGATCGCGCTCGCCCAGTCCACCGTGGTTAGCTGTGCTTGGCAATCAAAGCCTTGTGTGAGGTATTTGTATTTGAGGACGCCTTTTACCAGCGACTGAACGAACTACTTATAGGGACGGTCCGGGGAACGACGCTTGGTGAGAAGCGTACCAATGCTGAGTATTCCCTCGCAGGGTTCGCGGGCCAGCGCTGATAGTCCGGGGATTTATAGAGCCCCACACTTGGTGTAGCTTGCAGGTCGTTTAAAGATTACCCGGCGATGGTCTCAAGTGTTTTCCCGGTATCATTCCATGTACCATTAAGGAATGGGTTTGCAAGAAGGGTTAGACTCGGATATGGTCGGCACCATTTATCATCATGATATGAAGTCACACTGAGATCGGAAGTCTTCGATCGACCTACCGCCGCGGGAGAATAGCGAGGTTTGGATATCAATAGCAAGCCAATTGCTTGATTGTGAATAAATGGTCCCCCCTTCAATTCGAACAAACGTTCTGCATGGCGGCGTTAACTGTGTGCGGGGTATGGATCATGCGCACCACAGACACTGACTTGTATCTTGTGAGCCGCCACCAGAAATGCGGGCGGAATTTCAGGGCATCACCGGTGTGTCATGGTCTTTCGATTTCGCTTAGATGAGATTGGCACGATAAGTTCGTGCCGAGCTCCTCGCTTGTATGAAACCACGCTGCCAACCCCCCTGAATGCTAACTCAAAGATTTGTCACTTGAAGGACATACATGCTATCCTTGTTTCAGAATTGGGGAATTTTTATGTAACGTTTTCCCCATAGATGGAACGACTGAGACCTTGTATGGTCTGCCCAAGGAAGATCCCATTCTCCCATGTAGTATGTGGCACTTGAATAATTGAACTGTATTTCGGCGCGCATGATCGATATATATATCGAGGAGAAGTGGTGCTATATTTCTCAGAGTGGGTCATGATGTTCCTGAGCCAGAACATGCTACTATAGTAGGTTATGTTAGGCGAGACATGTGTGAACGGAATTATACTCCAATGACTTGAATAGCGAGCAGGGTTTGGTATTGATTAAAGGGCGGGGAAGTGACGCATGTGCGTCTACATGGTACTGATTACGTCGAGCTCCATAGATGGAGGGCCGCGAAAGGCGTGGCATTTAAATCAGGATTCTAGCCAAGGTCGGAACCTTGCAATTGAAAGACTTGACAGTTCTCAGCCTTTCCTAAGCCGAAACTTGGGAACGAAGCGGGGTCATTCACCGAAAGTGGATATGAATGGAGTGGCTAGCAGTCCCAATTCGAATTTTGGCAAGACCCGTATGGAAGCCGGCTGAATTTGAACCAACGTGTTAGCTGTGAAGATATAAACGTGCCATTTACTGTCTCTCACTGTCCATGTGCACCCACATGACCCTATCGCCGTCGACAGCGGTGCAGTCAGTTTAGTAGGTAGTTTAACCCATACGCTGTCCTCGGAGAGGGGAGAGTCGGTGAATGTCAGTCCCGTGAGCCGAAGGAAGGTACATACCGATTAGTATTTGGGTGGACGTTGGACAGGGAGTTTGGAAGCTTCACCCGATAAATTCAAGGAGGCTATGCATGGCGTAACTGGCCAGGCCCCATGCCAATGAGCAACACGGACGACAACCGTTTAGCACGTCGACTGCTGTGCATTCATGGAGGATGAAACAAGTAAATACTCCAATGAATAATTAGATAGAGCAGCTGTGAAACAGTTACAAGGAATGGAAAAAAAGACCGGTGGTCCAGAATTCAAGAAGAATGGTTTAGTTACAATGTAAGCGCTGTGACCTGGCAAGGCATTACCAAATTCTGCTTCCGTCTTAGCGGGTCACCCAAACTCACCAGCCATTGTTGCGCTGGCCACCGCTTTCTCTCTTCCCACTAACACCATCACTCCTCAATGTTCTCCCAGTCGTCCTCCTCGTCGTCTTCATCCTCCTCGTCGCTCCAAAAGATGAAGAAACGGTAAGTCAACTTCTCTACCTCATGCTCCCCAATTCTCACCCTTCCTCATCCTATCTCTTCAGTAGATGGACGCGAGAACAACTGTTAAAGAGTCTTGAGGTCATTCAACTTCTCCATTTACAAAACTATTCAACGTAATTAAACTCTTTCTTCGTCCCATTCTAGATCTTGGGTCCTCTCGCAGCACCGTTGCCACCAGACCTCCCTCCGTCACCCCCCGCATCCCGGTCAAACTCCCCTACACTTCCAGCCGTCAAGAGGAAGCACGATTCCACCCTGGAACATGATGTCGTCAAGCGCTCTAGAATCAACGGGCTTCCAGAAAAGCCCTCGTCGCATCACCATCATCATTACCACCCACCACCTCCGCCACCTCCTCCTTCTCAACCGCTCAGGTCCTCCAACGCAGTTCCTAACTTTAACTTGCGTTCTGAGCCATCAGAGGATGGTGAAGTACGAGAAGATACCACTGCCTTGACACCCCGGGGTCCGGCGCCTGCAGTCTTGTCAACCACTGTGCCTGTGCGGCGTCCGCGGCGCGGACGGCCAGCACCCGCTTCCTTCGATGAAATGCATGACATATACCACAAGTACGGTAGAATGCTCAAGTATTCAGGCGATGCTCGCTTCTGGTCGACATATCCTGCCACACACAAGGAATATCGTCCTCTGGCTAACCCTCCGCCTCCAAACTCTCCATATCATAAGCATGGAGGGCTCATAGCGCGGCTTGAGCTCGTAGACGCACTCGTGTGCTTCACCTACTCGTTGTGGAGCAAGGATTTTAGCAGGAAATCGTGCTTCCGTGAGACTTGGGCTACCATCGAGGCATTCCTCGGGTGGTGTAAAAATAAATGGATCGCTGAGCTTGACACGATTGGCGATCGTGAAAAAGCCCTATTGGGCTTGATGTAAGCACTCACTTATTGTGGTTTTTTGTTCCGCTCACGCATTTAACGCACACAGCTGGATGATTGAAGGATTCATCCACGGGCGAAAGTTCTTCTTTTCAGCAAAGATGGTCATAGAACCTGAAATGGAACGCACATGGGCCAAAATGAAGAATGATATGGCAGTGCTCAGCAAGGAGGCGGAGAAAGCGGATATGAACGGCATGGTGGGCAGCGCAGGCCAACAATCCCTCGTCTCACAGCCCACACCACCAATGCTTCCTTCTCCCGCAAGCATAGCTCCTGCCAACAGCGCAAACTCTACTCCTATAAACAACAGTGCGAGTGGCACTCCAAACGCGAATACTTCTAACAGTATCAATCTGGTTAACTTGTCCGCTCCCTCACGCCCAGCGCCTCCGATTTCCACCGCACTCCCACAGTATATGCATGGACTTCTGCCTCAGACCGCCAAGGGACAAACTGCGAGCTATAACATGGTCGAGGCATCCGCCAAGGCAACAGCAACCATTGGTCCCGTGTTCACGTATTCCGTCAAAGAGTTGTCAGGTGGCGTTATGGCCGCGGGGTACTGTATGGAGTTTGCGCAACGCACTCTGACCCTGCCCATACTGGCGCGGCATTATCCCACGACATTCGCACGGATGATGAGCTCGAGTCTGACTGCGCATGAAGAGCACGAGCCTGACATCGAAGATGAGGAAGGGGAACTGTTTTGGCCTGGCCAGTGTGTAACTGGAGAGGGTCTCGGTTGGGTTTGCCTGATGGGTAAAGCCATGATCAAAGAATTCGGCCGAGACATTGGTTATCTCGGACTTGCCGGCGTCGTCCCAAAGCCCGCTCCTGGACCGATTACAGGCGACTCATCCCGACACGCGTCTGTGCTCCGGTAGCAGGCCTTACCATTCCACGCGGTTCTCATTTCTTGTCGGCATTATCATCTGGAGTCATGATTTTACTTGCTATCCACGGAAGATCTTGGATGGATTTTCTCGGATTTCGTTACAAAGAAGGTTTTCAAGCCTTCCGGATCTCGCCCTATCGCGCCAGCTTTCCTCAATGGACGTTGCCTACGCTCTAGCGAACTCGTCCAACCTTTCGTAGCACCAAGCCTGCTGCAGACCAGTGCATTTAGCGCTCCCAACATTAGATCAAACTTGTATTATTACTCATATCACTTGTCATCGATATCACCTCTGCCCTGGCCATGCCGAGACCGTACCTTTCCCTACCGTCACCTGCTGGTCTGCCGACTCGTACCTTGGATCGAGAGGATGTGCTAATTGCATCGTCACCGCCACCTGCATTCTCATCCAACTGCATTTAGCACTGGCCTCTCATCCCTTGTATTTATCCCGATCTACACAACTCTCTCGTCCTCTCAACGCGGTCCTCTTCTCTGCTGTTTGTGAAGGAACCAAAACGTACATATGTACTTCTACTATTATTTCGAGTGCCGTCGAAGACAGGACACTTGAGGCTGAGACGGCTTGGTCCCCGCGCCCCATCAGATTGCATGGGGTGTATATCTCATTTTTATCCCTGGGGTTGAGAATTACTCTGCTTGTTTGTACACCTAATACAATTTCCTGCAATTTGCCCTGAGGCTTGGAGCGCGCGCAGAATTCTTCCGTGATCAGGTCCGATCCATGTGAGATAACCTCCACAAGCGGTGATGGTTTCATATGCAAGGTACAGTGTTCAAACGTTAAGGCGTTAACTTTCCCTGTTGTTGTGGGAACATTGAGATCATAGGCACCCATTCCATGCGATGTGATTGATGCGGGTCATGTGCATGCATAATGTCATCGAGTTTAACATACACATAGAGAAGCATGGGTGCAGCATGAGCGCGGCGTTGATGGTGAAGCAGAAAAAAAGAATATCCAGAAAGACCATAGCAGTCACACTCAGACCGCGCAGGTCCTCCCAAGTATGCGAGCAGCAGTTTTCACCGGTTAGACTTGGCAACACGCTCGAGCTCATCTTTTTTCTGTCAAACGGTGGAAATGAGGCCATGATTGTTGACATAAGATCTTGACTTACCTTGATAGCGTATGAGTTCGAGGAACCCTTGGCGGCGTTGATGAGCTCATCAGCAAGACACTCGGCGATGGATTTTACGTTGCGGAAGGCAGACTCCCGCGTCTGATATCGTATCAAGTAAGTGACAATAATCTTGAAGGTCGGGATATGCTTACACCGATAGTTAGGAGGGAGATGGCCTGGTTGACTCTCCGCAGGGGTGAGACATCGACGGCTTGACGACGGACGGTACCCTGAGAACCAATACGGGTGGAGTCTTCCCGAGGGCCAGTGTTGACGATAGCATCAACGAGAACCTATGTGCTGATTAGCATCTTGAGTCGTATAGCTACTTCCGCTCGACAGACCTGGATGGGGTTCTGGTCGGTAAGGAGGTGGATGATCTCGAATGCATGTGCAACAATGCGGACAGCCATAAGCTTCTTGCCGTTGTTGCGGCCCTTCATCATCAAACTACAAACGCTCAGTGTCTTCGCCTTTGTGGAATGGATATTTGGCGCACCTGTCAACCAATCGCTCGACGATGGGCATTTGTGCCTTCTTGAACTGCTTCTTGGCATAACGGCCAGCAGTGTGGGGCAAGTAAACGGCATGGCGGACTTGGATGTAGTCCGTGAGGGAAATGTCCTTCACTTCGACACTGGACCAAAATCAGTCAATATAAAGACAATGCGCCGACAAGTCCAAACGTACTCTTGGGTATCCCACTTTCCGAACAATTTAATTTCCTGACCGAGCTTTGAGACGTCCTTGGGAAGGGTGGTGGCCATTTTGAGGTGCTTGAGGGATCTTGATGCAAGGTGGCCTTAGACCTTTTGCGCGACGATGAGCGGCTGTTTGCTCCTGTTGTGCCACTACAGGAGAATAAGGTTTACCAGCCATCCGGTAAAGGCCGAGAACTGTACAGTTCCAGGATACGCGCCCGCGTGTCAGCCTCGTGTGGGGATCATGTCCATGGTGTGTAACTTCAAATCTTCCAATCTGAACCGTTTTGCCGATGGTCTCATATCCGAGAAGTTCGTATTATGAAATCAGATCGCTGCGGTTCCCGAAGGCTATTCCTGTTATTTTGATTGTTTCAAGTCTACTTTCTGAACAAAGCCCCGGCATATGATGGTGTTCTTCTTCGTCTTTATCTGGCGCCGCAAGATATGACGGGGGTTCTTCGTCTTCGTCTAGCTCAGCGAAGAATGCTCATCTTATGTCGGAGCTTCGTTGCTCCACTAAACATCGTGTGCTCTCGCTGGTTTCTGGTACGTACATGTACCACATCATGATCATGGCGCAGCGTGATTGATTTCCTTCAAGTAAATCTGATTTTGCACAGTGTGGCACTTGCTGCAGGATATGCTATATCTGGCATCCGGCTTGTTTTTCTTCTGACCGGTTTCATATTGAGTCGAAGTAAGTTGCATCCGACCATCATCAATACCACATCCACTACCCTCGTGTCTCGGCCTCGGGGATAGTCTCTCATTGGAAGACTGAGATATCTTACGTGGGCTGGTCGAAAACATCTTTTTTGACGATCTTGTCCTTGACATCAATCAATTGCATTGCCCCCTAGCTGAGAGCTTTGCTCTTATCTATGAATTAAATGAGAAAGCACCCAACCTTTGTAATTTCACCCATGGCTGCCCAGCCAGCTTGGTATGTTTACTTCATTATTCAACATGAGCTTGATGGATGAAGAGTAAGTGCATTGAATCTACGGCCGCGAAAGTGATAAATGGGCGCGGTGGGCCGTAACGCGTAACGTTCGTAACCCTTTCCTTTGTAATAGGGTAAACGGCAGTGTGCTAGATTACGTCCTATTTCTATCGAAACTTCCTTTTTCATGCTGAACCTTCTGACTTGCAAGCAGATACTTTCTATTAATTGTTGGCTTCGAGATGTTTGAGAAGCTTGATGACCCGATTAAAGTTGGCGTTCAGGTCTCCTTTCGAATCTTTCCTCAGGACTATCAACGTCCCTCGTCCTTTCATTCCTGTGAAGTCAGGTCTCTTCAACAGACTTTGACTTCAGCAAGATATCCTGCTTTCACTCATTCTGTACGGAATATAGATCATGTCTAACTTAGAAGTTCTTGCATATGACTCGCGAGCTTTTGCGCATGCCGCTTACAATGTATGGGTTACTCGTATCTGCCAGCGTGAGTGTTACACATGCTTTGGTCGACATTCAGACTTACCTTTTGATACAGTGTGCCCTTGCATCATTTTCTTATATGATTACTGTACGTCTCGGGTGCGTATCAAGACCAGTCCGCACTAACCCTTGTGATCAGTCCTCACGCTCGATCGAGAGGTGCAGTGATCTTTGTCATCGTGTGGATTCAAATGTCTCATTCTTCATTAGGTTGAGTTCATATGGGTTCGTCTTCGTCAAGTTTATGCAAGGTCTGGCTTACCAATGACCAATGTCGTAGAGACGGCCGATGAGATCGTCCAGCGTATTATATATCATTGTAAGATTGCTCTCATACTTGTAGAACACCTTTGAACGACAGTTAGGTGAGATTTGGTGGCGGCGCACTCGTGTTGTGAGTTCTTGCTCGTTGAAAACGAACAATACAGTCACTGACTTCCTTCGTAGTCTCACTGCTGCAGGTTGTCATAATTTATCTTGGGCTTGAATCATTGCTGACTGACGCTTTCATCAGCGTTTACGAGCGAACGGACTTCTCTAGAGGTATGTTTCTTATTCCTCACATCCGCCCCATATCTGGGAACTAAACGCCTCCAGTTGTAAGTTGTATATTCCGAACGTCATTATTGCATCAGCCGTTCATCCCACCTTAACACCGAAACAATATCATTAGCTGTAAGCAGGAATTTTTCAGCCTGATGTCAAATCTGACAGGGATCATCAGGTTCAGTCTTCCTGAGAATTCAAGGGTGGCCCAGTTTCTGCGTCCTTTGGGCAGTTCAGCGTAAGACATGTTCTGTTTCTCTAGCAGATGAAACCACTGACATCTACTCAGTCATACTGCAGCTCCGAGTGTACGCTCTATATCGTCGATCTCAAGCGGTCCTAATTGCGATGGCGGTCGGGTTTACGGCGGAGGTTATAGCCATGTCCATAATTTTAGGAATAGGCATGGCAGAGACTACCAGCGAGTATCCACTGATCCGCAATCAATTATATTTAAACTGACGTTTCTTGCTAGATTCAAATGAGCCAATGCCAGGCACCAGAATCTGTGCCGTCACGCAAGCACCACCTGCGCTTGCGTACGTGTGGCTTCCCGATATTGTTTTCGGAGCATTTCTGTTCGTGCTTGCCGCCAGGATTGGTTTCAAGCGCGGCAGATTTGGCTTTGATATCTTCCGCATGGAGAGAAAAGACCTTGTTGATGCTCTCGTATATGGCAACGTCAAATACTTTTTCTGGTGAGTAGGGCCTGTTACATCTGTTATCTATTGTTATGACCGCACCCGATAGCATACTCGCTGCGAACGCTGTAAATGCGGGAATCTGGCAAGGGTTAGGGGTAGGCCTAAACCCGTTCTGAAACGGTGCTCCTTTAACTTATGACTCCAACAGTTTAACTGGTTCGAAGCTCCAGAGGGGTTTGCGGCTGTCATTGAAATCGTCCTTGGGTGTCGGATGGTCCTCGACCTTAAATCAGCGGTGTCTGATTCTGAGGGCTTGCATCTATTGGACTCATTCCCACTCAGAGACTCTTTTGGTGCTAGAGAGGGTCCGTCAACACTGTATTCTGCAGTTAGCACGTATGATCTCGAGGTTTTGAAAGGTCAACATCGGCTCACCCAAGAAATTGAGGTAGCTTCTCCGACTAGTTGTACGTCTGGGGAAAGCTCTCGTGCTCTCATCGAGGGACAAAACCAGACGTGTAACAGTCCGCTTCCTACCATCGTCTAGTATGCACTATTTTTACCAAAGTTTATCATTCTCCCCGACTATACCACATTCATTGTTCGGTGTTTTTGTATGCAATCAAGGTCTTAGTCAGACGGGTGTCCAAAGCGTTCCCTTGCAAATTCAAGGGACAAATGGGAGCGAATTGACAATGAGGAGGCAATTGTGATATGAAAGATGCGAAAACGCATGGCAAATCGATCAGTGCCTCTATGTTGATCATGAGGATAGTAAATCATCCCTTTCGCATCTTCCGCGGCATCTGCACACTTCATCACAGGGCATATTCTCCGAAATCAAAATATATTCAAGCATTGTGCGTTGACCGTCCATTGTCCTATAATAGGTGGCGACTGATAAAGTACTGCTTCGACTAGTGTTGAATTATTGGTATCATGATCAATGGCGATGATTTGCTGACAAAATAATTCAAAGTCCAGGTTGCTGGCGAATGCCACCAAAAAATTCCATGATGTCTAAAAAGACTCACTCAGAAGTCTGACGTATTGTCAATGACCAGGCACGTACCTTGTAATCTAGCTTCTTTCTTTTGTCTTTGAGTTTCTGTACGTTTAGTCCCAGCAAATGCCTAAACCGATCAATGAAACATGCAATTGCCCGAAAGCAGTCATCAACACTTGCCTGTTGAATCAGAAGCTTCTTTCTCTCTTGTATCTCAATGACCTAATGAAACTGTCAGAAAGACAGACCACCCGATTCAGGGAACATACTTTGGACTCGACGGTGTTTTCGGCGATAAGTTGGTAAACGTGAACTGGTCGCTTTTGTCCGATACTGCTTCAAGTCAGTTCGGTCTATGTGAGAAGACAGGTGTTGCAGCTCACCGATTGCATCTGTCAATTGCTTGACTTTCAATACCCTCCTGTTATGTGCGTCAAGTCGTTGCTATGAAGGAGAAACTGCAGAACTTGCCTGCCACCAGCTAAACACGGGGTGGCATGTCAGTTCATCGGAGCTAGCTATCACAGAGAAACGCACGGGTCCATCCTACGATACCAATTAAGTTTATAGTTGCAGCGACCAGAGCACATCACTTACAAAATGACATTGTTGGCGACAGTGAGGTTCAGACCTAATGACCCAGCTTTCAAGGAAATCAACATCACTCTGGGGATCTCGCCTCCAAAAGAGGAGCCATCGAGTCTAGCTTTCTGGCTAGTTGGTGTGCCGTATCTTGCTTTCGCTTTACCCTTATTCTTAGGCTTCGACTTTCCCTTCCCTTTCTTTGCCCTGGTAGAAAGATCCTCCTCAAAGTCGTCGTCGTCGTCGTCGTCATCTACGATCAAACTGGAATCATCGTTCTCCAAAAGGACATCATCTTCCACTAGGGTTGTGTGTGTCGACGTACGTCTTCTGCTTGACGGAATGGGGGTCTCGACGTCAACCGCCAGATCTTCTTCAGCTTCAAGTGGAATAGAGAATCTCTCAAGGGTTTCTTTCCGTCGCCTTGCTGAAAGCTGACCATCGAACCGCACATACGGAATGCTACAACGCAATTAACATTGACTTGGGAAGCGATTAGTAATGAGATCATACCCATGCTCCTCGAGGGCCTCGCCGATCTGAATGCAGTGACATGAGCATGGTTGCAACGCCTTGAGGCTTCAGGCGCACCTTATCCAGGAATGAAGTAAACTGGGAAAAAACAAGGCTCTTCTGGTCGCTAGGGATCAGTTGGAGAAGGTGGATCAACTGATCAATCTTTGCAGACGATCCGGTTCGGAGTGTGTCATGAGTTTCGTTCTCATCACGACGAACAGGCGCTTGAGTAAGTTCAGTGGGAGGTGGTGGTTCGATTAAATCACCCATTCCAATGGTACGGCGATCCTAGAGGTATGTCAGCAAACCGAATATTGCTATAGACATTGACATTGCTGTACCATAGGGCATTTCGGGTCTCTGGCTATCACTTCAGAAATGCTTGGGAAATTAAGTCAGAATACTGTTGCTGTCAAGCACTATCACAAATCCTGACCATGCAAGACAGAACGGGTGGGAACAAGCTGTGATCCTCGGATCATTTAGGACGTCGAAGCAGATAGGACACTCTACATTGTCTTCAATAGCTTGGGCAAGGAGACTCTGCAGATGGCGCCTCTGATCTTGAGTAACCGGGAGAGCGGCACGTACAGATTCTTCGTTATCCTCTGTAGCACGAAGTTGTTCCAAGTAGTTCGGAGGAAGAAGGCCTGGGTGTAGAGCCACTTGTCGTAGGCGTGTTAACATGCTAAGGATGTTTGTCGTGAACTATAAGGAGAACCCAAGTTAACGCAGTTGTCCTTGTGATCGGAGGATACGCACCATAGCAGTCATCCCACCTTGTTGGTTCATGAACTTCTGCGCCCGCTGCTGAGAGACTGACCAGATGGCATCATAGAGAGCCTATATTACATTCAGTGTGACCGATGCCACATTAGTGGAGAAAGCTCACTCGTGCTTCATCTCCCAATGGAACCGGAATGACGGTAATGTCGACCTAAGGGAGAAATTAAAACTGCTGTACGTTTTGGAGCAAACGACGGGTCGTCACTACCGGAGGTAAAGGCACAAGTGGCTTCCCCAAACTGTCTTGCATCTACGAAACCCAGGTCCGATCAGAACAGTCCGTCTGCAATTTGCAATACCTTACCTCTTTCGTGCGACGAATACAGGCGTGACTCATCAGAGCCTGCAACCAGTAATCAGTAGGATTCGACATAGTAGTGATGCGTAGATGATTCACTCGCAGCAGTTCTGCACCGGAGGGATCTCCATCCTTCAAAGGACGTAGGAGCAGACGCTTATAAAAGTCCTCGTTGTCGAGCGGACGACAAATCTGAAGGAAAGTCAAGATGGACCCAAGATCCTGCAAGTATTTGTGGTTTAGTCATTCTTTTCACCATGTCTCCGGAAAACACACCCTTGGAGAATTAATCTGAAAACACAGGATTGTAAATGAAGCATCTGTGATCAAACAATCATGCACTCACGATGGGGGTGCCAGATAACGCCCACCTGCGTTGCGCCGTGAGTTTGCAAACAGCTTTGGCCATCTTGGTCTTCGGGTTACGAATTGTGTGTCCTTCGTCAAGAATGACTCGCTAATGAGACAACAGGTAGGTTACACCTTGCGTTCATGTCATCCTTCACTCACCTTCCACTTCACCTCGAACAGCGCCCTCTCAACCTTCTTTTTCTTCTTAGATGGTCCATCGCCAGCCGTGGACGCAGAAACGTCAGCTTCTCCAGTGACCGTCTGGTACGTTGTGATGACGACATCATACTGCGAGAGTTGTTTGGGTGTCATGTCGCGTGTTGCGCCATAGTAGGTATATGTCGACATTGCACCCCTGACACAATGTTCTTCAATTTGTTTCTCCCAGTTAGATATGACCGAAAGTGGAACAACTGGTAACCTTCAGCAACAGAAACACCTTCGGATGAGAAAGTTACCAATGAGTGTGCTCTTCGAATGACCAGTGGGAACGTCCTTCTTTGTTGCAAGAATAAGAGCCAGCATGGTAAGCGTTTTCCCCTGCATGCAAGCTCAGTGTCACCTCCAGGTGCTTGAGAATACACTAACCAGCCCCATGCTATCTGCAAGGATCGCACCGCGGCCAAGCAGAGGAGGTGATGTTATCTCTTGAGGAGTTTTCGTTGCGACTACTCACAGGTGAGCAAAGTACAGCAAGTAATGTCATATACTCAACTATTGAAGTAATAGGGCTGATATGCTTGAATGAAAGACTGAAAGTTTAGGAAAAGCAAAAATAACTCACCTTCGAGCCAGCTTTTTTGTACTGCCAAAACTGAACTGGCTTGTCGGACTCCTTAGTGGGCAAAGACGGGTATTCATGGTCGATGCACCACTGCAGGGCTTGGCTCTACACGCGAGAATCAAGTAAATGAAAACTACATTAGCGACATCACCCACCTGGTGCTTGAGTAAATCAACAACCAAGTCACCGCTGGCAACGCCAGGGGGGTTGGGATGTATCGGAAGATTGAGAATATCGTCGACAGAACATAAATCATCTAGAAGAGAGGCACGTCTTCCCTCATCGTCTACTTTCTCTAGACCGCTCAACTTCTGCTTGAGCTCAGCTGCTTTTTGCTGCTTTCTCACGGCCTCTTGCTGCTTTCTAATAGCCTCTTGCTGGGCCTTCGATTGCGTTGCTGTGTTTCCGTGCCTTTGGCTTGACGTCGGCTGAGATGTGTAGGATGAGCTTGCCACTGCAGCTGCAGCTGCAGTAAATGGTACTTGTCCAGCCGCGCCTCCAGCTCCGCGAGGTGGAAACCCGCGCTGACGAGGAGTAGCCCAAATTAACTGAGGTTCTAGCTGGTCCCTCTTGTCAGACGGACCATAAATCTTCAGTGTCCTGTGAAAAGTGAATACTGTTTCGGTACTTTTATGTAACAATTTCTTACATCGAGAGTGAGTAGCTAAATCCAGACACTGGGCATTTGATTGTTTCAGGGAATCTTGCCTGTATTGTATATGTAGCAGACTTACAGTTTCCTTCGTGCATCACACCTTCGATGGTAATCATGCCGCGATCCAACAAAGGGGCGAGCTTCGCAGCCGTCTGCTTCGGTACATGCCCGACCTTAGTACCCCCAATATTCTGGACCTCAATAGCATTCCTGGAGTAGCGTTAGCCTTCAGCTCGATATCAATACGTGACTACAAATACCTGTCGTATTTGTTTTGCGGCTCTCTGACCAGCCTGACTTCCTCCCCAGGACCAACGAGGCCTTGGAACGTCACGGTAATGCATACACATGTGAAGAAAATCTGCGGAAAGACTCACCCTTGTAGTATTGTACACCGACAATACTGGAACTCAACGTGCAATACAAGACATCTACATGGTCGGACTCGATGATGGTGACTTCATCGTCCTCATCCTCATCGTATCTAACAGTGGACCGTATAGCCGGCTTTACAGAGCTCAGCTGAGAGTTTGCTGGCGCTGGCTGCTCAAACGTAGCTTTGCGCTTTTTCTGACCTGGAGCAGGCGCTTGGGAGGTGCAAGGTGCAACATGAGCCGCAGTGCGGATAGTTGCCTTGGCAGTCAAGGGGACATCCGATAGATCTACTCTTTGGTTTGCCATCGCTCGCCGGACCTTCGCTTGATCCTCCGGACTGAAAACGTTAATACGCGCTCAACGTGCACGCCGTGGAGGACCTCTTACCGAATGTTACCAAAGCCGATTATTGTGCTTTGGTCCACTACTGCAAGGCTTCTCAAGATATCTGGAGTGACACATCCCCTGTGAATTGTTATAGTCAGCATAGCAATCGGCAACACACCTGGGCCCGGTGGCTATAATAGAAGCAACACTTACCAGTGACGCCAGGCAACTGTTTCACCATATTCTCCTGGAACAAGTTGCCCATATCTCAAACTTCCGACCGAAATTGGTGCGCCATTGCAAGGAGCGGGGCCCTTGCAGACTGACCGGGGGCTTCTACTATACTAAGCTCCTATAAGTCGCATTATCAGTACGATGGACAATACCGATGCTTACATCGATAGAATGCTTCGGCGGCACCATTGCTAGTGACCACGTAGGTGCCTTCTAGACTCGTTGTAATGGCTTCTAATTTCTCGGTCACGTCGCACAAAGAAACGCGGTCTGTTTGCGTGGCTTTGGTGTCATCGCGGCGACGCGACGCGCCACGGATTACGTGATACGCGCCTCTTGTCTCACCCGAGTACATACTAACGGAAACCCCAAGGAAATGGTTCAATTCGATCCAAACGTGCGCATGGGCAGTCCAAGCAGTCTTCCATACGATCCAGACCAGGATGCTGCTGAAAAACGCGACATCCGGAAGAAATATCGTGCTCTTGAAAAGAGGACAGGAGGTCCGTGACGGGCGCTACTCCGAGTGAGCTAGAAGCTTATTGTCATGGTCTTTCTGCACCAGAACAACTTCGCCCACAAGACATAAGGGCTGATGAACTCGTGGAACAAGTCGAAGAAGCTGATGAACTGTTTCAAAAGGGTGTGTCTTCTTTCAGTTTCCCCCCGGTCCATGTAATACAAGACACTTTCAGTGAAAAATCCAACCGAGGCTACCCTTGACTCCACTGTGCTTCGAAATGTATCAAGTATAAGTGCGCAGAAGGCCCGAGCAATGAAACTCGGCTCTGCCGCCTTCGACATTGATGACTTCGTCTCCAAACTTGCTATATTTATGGGCGGCAGGCACGAGCTTGCAGACGATGCTTCTGAATTAGATGACATCGGTGACTCCGTAATGGACTGGGAGAAAGTTGGTCGGAGGGCACTGGCAAAGAGCAGGAGGGTCCCAGTGATGGGATTCATGTTGGTTATTTCCCAAAATTCAGATTTCGCACTCAGCCCTCTGCAGGCTCGGACCTCTTTCAGTAGAACAAAAGAAACGAGCCCCGGCCAAACGCGCCAAGCTTGAGAAGAGCAAAGAAGAAGAACGCAGACCTCAGGAGATTAAAGAAGAAGATATTCAGCGTTCAGAGAACGAAACCACGAAGAATGTAATCAAGGTAGGTTTAAAGGAGCCTCCCTCAGCGCATCGCATAATATCTTCCCGTAGATCAAAGACATCCTTGAAGAGTCTGGTTCTGTGAACCTCTTCCGCTTTGTGGTCAATCCCAACGATTTCGCACAATCGGTTGAAAACATATTTTACCTCTCGTTCCTCATTCGAGATGGGCTTTGTGCCCTAGAAATCGACGATCACGGAGAACCAATCATATGTGAGCATCCCTTTGAGTTCATCGACTGCACACTCAATATTTGCAGTCTTGTGCGAAGCGCCTAGTGCACAAGACCGCGCGGACGGGGTAACGTGCCACCAAATAGTTATGGAGTTTGACATGGCTACATGGAAGGTAAAATACCTCAAGTTTGTGTTGTTCACCCTAATTTTATGTGGCAAACAGCGTGCTATAGAAGTTTTCAACATCACTGAGTCTATGATACCTCAGAGACCGGCAGCTAAGACGAGATTGGGAGGCAAGTGGTATGGATGAGATCTGAACAAGCTTCCGCTAGAGTAGATATTGTTACACGTATAATCTTGCACCGTCGTGTAAAATTGTGGTTGTCGCAAGTAAACCATCATGAGATCCATTGCAAAAAGTAGGTATATTGTCATTGTGATAATGCTACATGATATCCTAATGAGTCTAGCTAAGCGCTTGAGTGTAGGATGCAGATCTGCCGTTATACATTTCCAATTAACTGTAAATAATAAATGGAGTGAATAATGAATAAACGAATTGTCCAGAGCCCGAGTGGTGATACAACGACGTCTAGCACCGCGTACGAGGCTTGAAGGGGAATTTCTTTTTCCCAGCGGTGTTGTAGATGCCATAACCAGGCTCCTGGTTGTCGCTGTAGATATGAGCGAACCAACCGATACCACCCTGAGGACCCTTTTTGAGATCTTCGCAATGACTATCGAGCATAGAAAAGTAGCCCTGCATGAAGTTCGTCAGACAAGCCAAGACGTTAAATTTCATGATACAACTGACCTCCTCATTAGTCACCGAGGCCTGAGCAAGATCGCTGTTTGGCTGAACGCTGGGTGAAGTGACGGATGGCCAGCCATTCTGGGAAGTAGGGCGCCTTAGCAAGAAAAAAAACCACCCGACCATGACAGACACACCTCGTCAAAGTACATCTTCTTCCCATCGCCGTGTTGGATAAACCAGTTCGTGTCATTCACAACGAGTGGCCATGCAGCAGAACCACAAGTTGCATTGGTCGAGAAAAAAGGGAGCATGTGGATGTTGATAAAGTCAATGGCATCGAGCACATCTTGGGCGCCGCCACGCTCCTGGTATCCATATGCGAGTTCGCTGACAGTAACAGGGATGCCGACCCCAATGAGCTCGGATTTCAAAGACTCGACCTGAGATGCAAGCTCCGAATGCGGCAAGACGTTATCAAACAGAGGCTCAGAACCAAATTGGACGCCTCGAGTGACGAACTTGGCCTTGGGGTTGCTAGTGAGCGAAGAAACCAGCGAGTCACGGCGAGTCATCCACTGATCGGTTCCATCGAATCCAAACTATGTGCCACAAAAACTGTCAACAATCACAACCACCATTTCGATTTGAAAGATCTTACCCAAATCAAGGCATGAACGCCTAGACCTACCTCCCATGCAGCTTCAACGATATCATCACTGAGAGAAACCCCAGTCAGCTCGAGAACAATTAAAAATAAGAATGCAGTACTAGAAACCGTCTCTATCGCAAGCGCCGTAAAGTCGGACGTATCTCGATCCAAAGGTGTGCTTGATGTCAGCAAATTCCTTGTTGAGCTGGCTCGTGGATTGGCCTGAAGTTACATCAGCTCATGGATTTCAGGAGAAATGATGGTCGCACAAGCAGTGACTTCATAACTAAATCCAAGGAACGCATACTCAGTATCCGCGGAACACCACCAACCGTCGGTCGAGCTGGGAACACTAGACGGCATGATGAAATCCGCAGACGGGAAACACGATGAGGAGCTGCTGTTGGTGATGGTGGCGAGAGGTGCACTGCCCGCAGTAATGATGCCAGACAAGGGGTCGACAGTGGAGTTGCTACCAGACCCACTGGTGTGTGAATGGCAGCCTCGAGGAATGTGGCGTGCAGAAACTAGATCCAGAGACAGAAAGAACAGAAAACCAAGTGCACATATAGTGTGTGTCATATTGTAAAGAGTGTTGTTTGAATGTATGGTTGAACGTTCGACACTGAACCTTGGAGAGCTGCGAGCTCGAGGGTATATAGAACTGCAGGAAGTTGGCTGGAAGCGTGCAAGTTCATCATTGTGCTGGCTTTACTTATAGGCGCAACAGGATAATAAGCCACACAAAAGAAGCTCACAACCACGGTGGCACAGTAACCCATGAGTGGCGGACGCAATTAGCAAAGCGCTTAATTACAAGCGCATGATAAGATTACCAGATCATGCGCTATCAACAACAAACGCCAAGGACTAGTAATAACAATAATCAATATTATTGGGGAACTTGGAATCTGGCCAGCACCAGCCAGCACCCACCTTGCTTCTCGATAATTACCTACTGATTCATCGAGTAGGCGAATTGATTCGGTCGTGGCAGAGCTCTGATTCAGATATTCACGCTCGATCGATTCGCCTGCCGTCTAACGCAATCGTCAATCGACCGATGAGATCCCCCGGGCCACAGATCAGTGCTGCAGTACCTGATTCCACTGCGTCTGAAGCTGATTGTCCACAGCTCGTTATTGTACAACGTAAGCTGATCGCTGCGAGTACAGGCACTTGGTAATCGATTGCAACGAGCAAAAGACACGTGTATAAAATCATTCTAAAGTAGATCAATTCAATCGTCCATATGCAGTTCGTTAGAGAAACTGTCACATCCCATATCAAGATGATGGTACATTAGACGCGTCAAGACCCAGAGGAAGCATAGTATCATCTAGCAACGCCGCTTTCTCCCAAGACGAAGTACGCAGCTGTTTCAGAAAGGCAGTCAGTGAGCAACATTGACAAAGCACATAGAAGGACACCAACATGCTCAATCGCCTCTGTAGTTGAAAGAATGTTCATGTGATCGGGGACAAAGCCCCCGTTCTAGTGCAATTGATCAGCGCAGGCCAAATACTCGAAGGGATAAAATAGCACCACTTGGGACTCGTCAAGATCACGGAAGGCATGCCGCATGTCCAAAGGAAGTTGTGTGGGTATCACAAGTACATGAACAGTCGGAGAAAAAGGTTTAGAAATTGCCACTCTCTTTGCCATGTCCTAACATAGATGATAGTGTGGGATATTTGTTCATAGAAGGGACACGGTGCTCACCATAACGGTTTGAATCGCTAGATAAATATCAGAACGTTTGGAACGTGCATGCTTTCCAACAAGGACGAAGAATTCCAAAGAGCAGTCGATGATGTACACTGATTGCTGACGTATAGTCTCTGCCGAGATCAATGGAACAGCACGAATCTATATTCATGTCAAGTACAAGCGCCAACCGGATATCATCGAACGGCATACCGGTTCGCCTTCAACCGAGGCATCCACGGTCCAGCATTGGGGGTCACTGGGAGCAGAGGCGTTTCTGAATCTCCAATAGTCTGCTTTGGCGTAATCCCCAGAGTCGCCGAGGACCATCCAGAACATCTCGTCATCTATATCATTATCACCTTCTCGAAGTTCTGTGATAGAAGTCCCTTTCACAGCGGACGCCCGCGCGTAATCTCGAGCAGCGTTACGTTCCTTCGTAGTTGACCCGCAACCATGCCAAACATAGATCTGGTCAAGGACAGTGACACAATAACTATAACCCGAGCACAGGTTTCGTATGTTCTGTAATCAGGAGTTCAAGGTCGACCTAGGTCTGTTCACGGGAGAAAAGCAGCATACCAAATCCACCTCGTCAATAAAGATTTGTTCCCCACTCGAGCGCACCACGTGCATTGCTGTATTTTCAGAGGACCAATGTGCGCGAGTGCCCTAGAGAATGGGTATCAACGTAAAGGCAATAGAATGCATAATAACAACATCGTGGAATATGCACCGACCTGCCGGATCGCAAGCTTTCCTCCCAAAACATGAACAAATTCTGGAGGCTCTCGTCGTTGGAACACCGTTTCCTGTAAATCATTCCTGTGTTCAACATCTAATTTCTCTCTTAAAAACAGATACTCACCAGAGTTGATCCATACCGTCTTGCAAGCTCATCTGCCTTCTTCTCCTCTCTTTCACCGAACCGGCATTGTTTCCCATGCCAGCACCAAACCTTCGTGGAAACAAGCCCACTGTCACGGACCTTGACACGGTGCACAACCGCCACGACCTCAGTGTCGTATAAAATATGAGTATCGCGGAGAATGGGAATTGCAGTGCCGTTATTGATGGATAAAATCTCAACAGAAATGGTGTGAATCTTTAGGTCAGTGCTAAACATCGGAGGAACGGATTTCAATAGAACTTCCACGTCGACCTTCGGCAGGGGCTCGTTCGCGGGGTCTGTCAGAGGACTCAAATCAGTAATAAATTGACACCAAACAACGTAGCTCAACTCACCGATATGCGCAACATCGAAAGCTAGAGATGAACTTGACGCAGTACGGTGGATAGTCGGCTTTACTTCCAAACTACTTTGGGGGCTTTCGCTGACGAGTTTAGAGTCCAGCAACGCCTCCCCAGATGATTTTGTCAATGTTCCGGCTGGAGACGATACAGGGGTCCTCTCCTCCTTCAGCGGCGGCATCATGAAAGAGGAGTATTTCTCGATGCTCGACTTCCTCTTTTCAGCCTGAGAACTCAGAGGTGGAATCCTAGGAGGAGGCGTACTCAGCGCGCAATCATTTCCCTGCTGCGCCACGCTTAGGGCTTGCGCAACGTCCATGACGGTGGCACGATTTCCCGTGCTAGGAATGCGACCAAGTTTTGTTGGTGAAGGCGAGACCGCACGTTCCTCTCCAAGAGGAGGTTTCCCATTCACTTTCTCAGTAGTTTCTGGCGCAGCCGCTAGGCCTGGCAGTGCCCGCCTGCCCACCATACCCTGCGGGTTCTGACTCGGGGGAGGCTTGCTTGCAACAGAATTTGGGGATGAAATAGGCTTTACACCAATCAATGTCGGTTCCGTCCAGCGGTCTGTGACGCGACCAGTGGTGTTGGGTGGTGTAGTCGTTAGCGGAAGCCGTGGCTGAGGTTCCGATTGGGATCGGGTCATTGGCCGAAGAGGGGAAAGCGATCGAGTGCTTGTTGCGGATGCGATTGATTCTGGCACAATCGGTTGTGGTGAGGTGCCTTTCACATCGGAAGTATATTCTTCAGGAGAGGCAACATGTGCAGAACCACCAGTTTTGCGAGGTTTCTTCGCTCTATCCTTGGTTGGCTGGTAATTCAAAAGCCGGTAAACAGGTAAAAATTAAACCACGGCAAAAAGAGTGTGCATTGTTCATTAAAATGCATCACATACACCATTAAACGAGACCAAGATATCAAGAAATGTGGAAGAAAAAACAAACAAAAAAACAAATTCCATCAACCATCGACGCTCTCAGCATTACCGGAAAGCACGCACATGACTCAATGGCTTGTTAGGAGACGAAGGTACACGTGTCCTCGCCTCACTTGCATCCGCTTTCACCCCGAGCTCATCAACATTGCGAACGACTGGATCATCACCAGTCTTAGTCGGTTTGATGTATGAAAGCATGGTGGAGGAGGACCCCAAATTATGGTCCCCGCTTTCAGGAAGAGCACTGCTCCTCCCGGAGGGCGTTTTCGGGAAGGTAGGATTGGACACGGTACTCCTCAAGGGAAATTCTACGTTGTGGATTTTCACTTCTAGTTGTTTGGCGTCTGTCGTCCTTCCGCGGTTTGCCAGGAGTGGGGAATGCGGGGGTGGCGATGGTGTACCAGCGTTGTTCATTGCAGGCTGCCAACGGTCTAGGACGCTTGCTCTTCTGGCATTCTTTTCTCGCGCTTCACTGGCGGCTTGAGCTGGGGATCCAGATGCGCTCCTCGCAGCTCCTGCTCCTGCTTCAAGGCGCCCGCTGGCTTGCACAACGCTCTGCACGAAGCCACGACCCTGCAACCGGCTGATACTTGGCGTTGGATCCTTGGTAGATGAAGTGAGAGGCGGACGCAGAAAGGCAGGGGAGACCCCACGCTGTGGCTGTGGAGAGTATGTCTGCCGCGCAGGGGACGTTGGAGTTACAGATGGGATAGAAACAGGCTGTTGTTTGGGTGTCCACGAAGGCTGAGAGGAGTTGGAACGAGTATGCATTGGGCTCTTGGTTCCAATAGAATCTGCAACAGGCGTCTTTGCACGATTGGGCTCAGGGGGGTTGGGGGTCTTTGCCCGAGTATGTTCAGGATTAGGCGTCTTGGCGTAAGCGGATTCTTGCACCACCTTAGCACGGACGGATTCAGGATTGGGGGTCTTCACACGAGTTTCGGCAACAGGTGTCTTGGGGCGTGTCTCCGCAGTGATGGGGGTTTTCGGCCGAGATCCGACGAGAGGACTGGTTGGGACCACAGCAGCTTTGGCTCCATAATTCTGAGACAGAGGATAAGAAGGCGAACGTGGCGTGTCTACTTTCAGCTGTGCTGAAACATTGCCTACGGGAGTGCTTATCCTGCGCTCCCGGATGCCTAGCCCTACAAGTCCCGGGTTCAGAGACTGTGGCTGGCTTTCAAGCTTCTCTACATATCGACGGGCGACCGAGGAAGTGCTGGTAGTACGTGATCTCACGAGATCTGGTGTGATAGCGGGAGCTGCACGAGCGGGTGTGCCAGCTGAAGGTGGGAATGTGTCAGCTGCAGGAGGTTGTGCACCTCCTTTGACCATTCCCGGCATAGCAATTCCATTTCTTCCGAATATTGGATGTACAGGACCGTGATCCTTACGCCCGTCATGTACAACAGTGGCATCCTGTTGTGCCTCGTGGCGCTTCAATCTAGGGCCAGCGGCAGTCGACCCACCCATAAATGCTGCCAATGACATGGGGGCTCTAGGAGGCGCGGTGTTGGATGGTACTGCTGGTTTATGTGAAGGTATAGCTCGAGGTGGCTTCTCCGAGGCAGGTGCAGTAGCGTTGCCCGCAGACGGATCATTTGGCGGAGTGGAAATAGACGATGACTCCTGTAACTTGCCTATGCAATCATCGACAAGTTAGAGAATATGGAAGTGTCCACGCCAAGAGATACCGACCCAGATCAATGCCATGCATGCCGATGCCAAAATCACCACTCATGCCTGATGTACTCCGTCTCATCCTCGCAAGTCGTGCCCGCACAATTTCTTCCTCGAGACGACGCTGTTCTGCCTCATCGTCCGCATCTACCTGGCGTTGCATTGCCTTGATCCTGCTCGTCCATTCTGCGAGGCCATTGTCAGCTGTATTAGAGGTGGAATAGACAGGTGCAGGCGGAAGGTCAAAGCGCGGCGACCGAGGTGTGGTTGCCTGCATCGTGGATATTCACAAAGACTATATGTCAGTCAGATAAAATACTCGTTGGCTCGGTGAGCAAGGCCTTGGATCGCAGCGTATGGGAACAACCCTCCGAACCCTTGAGGCCTTGAGGACGCTGACGTAATTCCCCATTCCGCTGTTTATCAATTATGTAAAATCGTCCGAATCGTTAATCAAAGGTCGTTTTCGTCGTTTCTCACTGCAATTGCGAGAGATCGGTGTCATATTGACGGTGTACTCTACGAGTACAAACGATCATATAATGTCCATAGTTGCGAGGTGGCAGATAATCTACCAAGTCGCTAAGAAGTCCAAAGTTTTAACTTTAATGTCCTTTATGAAACGGTTATGGCTTAAGCTAGGATCGCAAAGGCGGCTGAAACGGCCGCAACAGCAGCAACACCCATGTTGAGACTACCAAAAGAGAGCGCAATAGCACCACTGCTGCTGGTCGTTGATGAGGAATTGGTTGCGCTCTCCTGGATACCAGAAGGCATCTGACCATCTGCCAAAGGATGTGAGCACCTTGACGAAATACAATAGCGCAAAAAAATACCTGTGTAGTTGGCACCGCATTCAGATGAAACTGCACTTTGAGCAGTGCTAGCAATTGCAGGGAGACCCTGACTAAGAACAGTATAGGCCGCCTTACTGCAGTTATTGCAGACGGCACTCGAGGTAATTCCAGTGCTCTGGCCAGACACTAATTTGGTGACAAGTGCCACTATGTTGTTGAGTGAAAGAGTCGTCGTGGCAGACTGGATGTTCGTCAGCAGCTCAGGGACACAAAGAGTGCTCATCGCAGTGCTATAAAATTCATTAGACATGGGGGCAAAAATAAATGATAGTTGCCAAACTAACTCCTTCAGACACACAAGCTGTCGAACAGTAGGGTAAGCAGCCTGAATGGATGTGACAATGGCAGTAGGATTGCTTGTAGTTATTCCAAGACTCGAGAGTTCAGTGGAACATCCGGAGATGACCTCTGTTATGACAGTTTGGAGGGTCGAGTTAGTGCAGGCGGTTTGAGAGCACAAGCCAGATAGCCAGGTGTTAACACCAGGAATAATCGAACTTGAGCTTGAGTTCGTGATGGCGAGCGAGATAAGCCCTGATGGATTCGAACATGCAGCACTGGATGAGGCTGAAACGTTAAGTAGAGCACTCTGGCATTGGGAAGAGATTCCTCTGAAAATAAAATATATCAGCCCCAATCTTTCCCCTACAAATTTCGGTGTGACGCACGATGAGGCAACGGCGAAACCAGCGCCAGCTAGAAGAACAGCGAAGTTGAAGAACATGATAAATTTAATGGTTTTCAAGTTAAAGGACTAAGTTAGGGAATGAAAGAAGAATAGTGTTAAGATTAGAGGGACAAGTTAAAAGGTGTGAGAGCCTGCTGCGCAGATGCCTGAGGACCCATCTGTGCTTTATATTGTCCACAGACTGTGGAGCGACGAACTTTCACAATGTTTTTTCGGGTGCAATAAAACCTGTGCAGCTGAGCCGGCGCTGGGCGACCGTTGTTGTCTTCTGCGATTGTGGTTGACTCTCGTCCGTGAGTATGTCGGGACTCTTTTACATTCAGCGCTGCAGCAGTTACTACTGTCTTTCTCCTGTAAAGAAGGGACGACTGTGTGCAGCTGTCTCCAATCTATTAGGTCTGCCCAGGGTGACTATTTTTTGCGTCGGCAACATGTGCAGTCCTATATAAATAGGCAGAACACAGGACACTTACAGCGGTGTTGTGTCAAGTGCCACATCTGTTGGCATGACGGTTTTTGATTTCATGTTTGGCGATACACTTACCGTCAGGCAGTACTTGTGAAATGGTACTAGACAGTGCCCACGAGTGGAGGAGAGAACAGGCGCTCATGTTAGCCTTGTCGATCCTATCACGGCATGATAATTAATTCCATCTTTAAATTATAAATAGATTGCATGCAGAAGAGTAGCTTACACTTGGTGTGTCCTGTCAGTACTTAGCTACAAGGTGGCTAATGTACTATGTACTGAGTACCCCTCGTCGTCAAGCCGGTATCAAACCTCATACGATCTCCAGTCAAAGTCCAGCTTTAATATTGAGCAAAAATTTGTGCCTAATAGGGACGTAAAGCCGCGGAAGATCCCATAAGAGAAGGTTGCGCCTTCTGTTCAAAAACATCCAACGCAATTGCGATTCCTTATCCTTCCACAATTCATTTCTGTCAGCCCATAAAGATCGTCCGAATCCCTCGTTCTCCTCTTTCCCCCCTCTTTCTCTCTCTCTCGCCCACACATTTGTACAAAACTGGGATTTAGTTTTGTATCATAGTACTAGTATCACGCCTTGCTAGTGCGCAAGTCCCGCGTAGGACACCCTCATTTCACTTGTTCCAAGGTCAGTAAGGTCTGTGCGTATCTATCCGATCATTGCTACGATAAATCTGATGACATCGACGCGTCGTTAGACCATATTCGACGCGTCGATATCTTACTAGTGACCGAAACTGTAATGCCTAAAAATAACGCAGCCAGCCCCGCGTCACCTTCCCCGCTAGACCGCTCATCATCGCGATCCGCCGCGGGTCACCTTCCGCCAAGGCCCTCCAGAAGCCTCGTCAAAAAGTCGGCATCGCGAGCGGAAGGGGTGGTCTGTAAGAAGCGCAAGCGGTCCACTGAAGTACGCGAATACAAAGTCTCCAATGACGGAGACAGGATGTGTCTTGCCCAGAGGCTGCGTCATGATGATGGCGATGATGATGCCTTCATTACTGACCGCCATGCGCGGTCTGGCCTTCGGCGCGCGCCTTCCTATCGTAAGGAACGACTACGTAGTGGCTCCCCTGCACACAACCCCTACAAGGACAGCAATGGGACCTCGCTCCAGCATCTCAAGTCTTCTGATCGCCGCACTTCTGACGATAAGGGTAAAGAAAAAACCTCTTCTTTACCCTCACTGAATAATAGAGGTTCTGGATCTGTAAACGCCCTTCATGACACACAGCACCCTGCATCACAGGACGTGCCATCTGTGGACTCTGTGGATAAATTCCTGGACAGCATCGACTTGAGCATCGCTCCTTCATACGGAAATCCCGCGCTTGCCAAGAGCAAGGTTCCCGCGACACCAATCCAACAAGTCCTTCCTCCAACTCCTGTATCCATCGCGCCCATGCCCTTGCCTTTGCCAGAATCTCCTCCAGTCGAGCTTCGACCAATCCCCTTCACTTTCGGACCGGAGCAGCTTAGTCTCTCGCACCACGGACACTCTTTGAATTACGACTTAAATCTACTTCCTGATGACCCAGTTGGTCCCATCACATTGCTTGGAACGACTCAGAGCGAACCCGGCGCATACCTCGTTGCCGCAGCACACTATAGGCGGACTGGTCGTTCTCGGGCAGCATGCAAAGTGATTAGGGCCCTGCTTGGCAAGCACGCCCCTGCCTACTCGTTCGGGTGGTGACTTGACTGGGGAAAACAAAGAAAATGGTAAATGTATTATCCTGGCACTGTCACTAATCCTGTTAGGTACTGACGGCTCTCAAAGGTCCCTTCCATCAGGTTTCCCCATCACTAGCGAAATCTCTCGCGCCTTCCGTTTTTACACCCATAGACGTCAATACCCCAGCTCACGAAGCCGCTGTCTTGCGACCTGCCATTCTCTTTCTCGCGGCCTGTCAGCTGGACATAAGCCGCGATAGTTCATCTCCCGAAGAGAAGATAGCACATGCCAACGCTGCTCAAGAACTTTTCCGCACAGTATACGGAACAAAAAACAACATCCTTCCTCCTGAGTCAGGGAACACCAATACAGATGCAAACGCCCTAGGATTAGCTTTTACAGATCGCGCCCGAATTCCTTCCACCGCCAACAACAAACTACCAAATTCTATGTCCAAGCAAACATCAGGCGTCCCCACTGCTCCCGCTTCTACTCGTATTCTAGCTCTGGAGGATGAACTCCGTCTCACGCGCACAGCCAAGTCCATCCTTGAGGCTGATCTTACCGCGGCGAAGAAGCACCAGCAACGCAGCGACCAGTCTGCCAGAGAAGCTGAGACTCGTTCTCGCGACGCACTTCGATTACTTGAGACCGAAAGGGATGAATTCCGCGTCTTGAAGCGTCGACTCGTGGAGACGGAGCAGAAGGTGTCGGATATGGAGCAGTCCGCTGCCGGTGCCGAGAATCGCGTGTGGGTGAGGTTGCGGGACATGTTTTACGACCAATTTGGGAACGCTTTTTGATGCGTGGGCTGAGTTTACTTACGTTCGTTTTTTCATCTGTTTCAGAACATTGTGGGGTTTTAGAACCCTGATTCAGGGCCAGTCATGTGCATCACAAACCCATCACCGCCATTATCACCACTTGTACACTATACCATTTCCTGCAGCATTCGAGATACCGTGTTTCACTGTCCTGATCATCACAGTAGTGTATGTCCCCCCGTATTAGAACTTGTAATCATCCTCCATGTATGGAATTAGCACTGCGAGAGAACAGGAGGATACGTACCAAGTGGAATAGCGTGATTTAAGGAATATCTGACCACTTGTTCTCCTGACTTTTGAACCTCGATATCTCCAAGCTGGGCCCGACCCGCGCTTGCTTATTCGGACCCACCTTACGGTGGCACAGGGTGGTCTACTAGTACAGTTGTCAACTCGCGACACCACGATTCATCGCGATCGGGTGCGCATAAAAGTCAGGTAATAATTTATGCAAGGGATATTCTCAGGCTGGCCATGGGCTAACTTGAACCGGGTTGTTTGTACAACTTCATTTCTGCACGCCCACTTGCTCCCTTGGCCCGCCGATTTCTCGCTCAGTGCCCACCTCTTTTGCCGGCCCTTTCTCCAGATAATCTGCGTTGTCCGCATGTTATGTACAATCATCTCGTTTTTCTTGACCGATTGGATGAATACTACATGCACAACAATTCGCAAGTACCCTTAGTCTTGGATCGTCACCGCTGTTTCTGACAATCTCCGGTGAATTGCGCAGTTGGGCATAGTGGGTAGCATATGCTGCGACAACGCTTCTAGCCCCTAGTGTTGGCTGTCTTCATTCGTCTATGGTTTATCTAAGGGAGACTAGTTTTCCTCCCAGGGTCTTGCCTCATGATGATCTACGATAGTAGACTTGCCAGCCTGCCCACAGTGCCCTGGACTAGTACTGGCCGTTTCGCCGCTCGCGGAATTTTTCCAGACGTCATCGCGTCCAAACGCAACGATGCCGTCGTTTGTGATGGTTCGACGCTCCAGGTCAATGTACACCTGCATTCCAAAAGTCATTTTGTGTCTTTTCCGACGAGTCCGTCAAAGAAGGTCAGAAGATTGTCCAAAAACGGCGAAGGCTGCCCGGTATTCAAACATTTGAATCCGCGGGTAGTTGTGCCTCAGCCGATCAGCCGACTGTGTTCTACCCGTTTCTCTCCATCAACTTCTAGTCTCGTTGGAGCTCTTTGGATCCAGACAACCACCACCTGACAGCTGGTTTAATGAAATCTTTGCGCCCCGGTACTCACCACTTACAGGTGGGCAAACAGCGGGCGTTACACACAGGGTATTTTGGAAATCCATAGTAACTGTTGGAGATGCAGACGTGGCAAACATCTGCTTCATTATGGCCAGTTTCAATTCGTACAGCTTGTCCGCAGCTCGGAGACCTCCATTCCAACGTTACAGCCTGAAATTCAGCTGCTGTGTGGTTATTTCCTAGGACATTTCATAGGTATAATTTTAGTACTAGTAAAGTACTTGCCTACCCTACCTATACGGTACGGATCACCATATATATTGGTTTGCACTGCGTGTAAAATTATTCTATAGTTTCAATATAGTTTATGTCCAACAAGCAGGTACTGCACGGACAGGGCCGGCCGGGACCGCCTGGGAAATGGAGGCGTGGTATATTGCCGCAACATTGCCGTTCGAATTTCATCGCCTCATTTCCTGCCCCAAACTTTACTGTTCCTATTCTTTGATTTTGTTATACGTCCGCCTTTGAGTCGTGAGTGCATCGGGTCGTCAACCTGTCATCAACGACGGCGTCAAGTTTTGCTCGCTGTTCCCATCGTTGACGGCTAGCCTACTTATCGTCCAGCTAAGGAGCGCTCTGCTTCTTATTATTCCCCTGGACTCTCACCGTCAATTTTGGTCGAGTTATTTCAAGCGCCATGGCATTGGCTGCGGTCTCGACTATTCAACCTTCACGACCTGAATGCAGCTCCGTTGTTCCTTCGACTCTATCCCCGAATCTTCACCTCAATATCTTTCAACGTAGCCTCGCCATTTCTGATCTCGATTTCAAGGACAACCGATACCCTACTCTCACTTTGGACAAGAGCTTCCATAAAACCAGTCCCATGATTATTGGGTCCGGAGATACACAGACTTGGGGAACAGCTGAATGCACACATCCTTCATCTCGCTCAGAGGTGGCACAGCAACTACAGGGCAAGGAGGATTTCGGTGTTGATGGCCAACATGACCTACAGCTTAATGGGATCTCTGGCTCCTTGCCACAAGGAGCCACCCACCGTATCGTCGAACGTTATAGCCCTGAAGATAACGTTCAGGCATCCGGCAGCGGAGGTTTAATGAGTTCCCATCTTTTTGATGACTCATTCAAGTCAGCTGGGGAGACCTATACAACTTCACCTTCACCACTTCCACAACCACTTCGCGACGTTCCCTCTTCCCTCAAGCCTGCCAGCAACCGGCAGTCCTCATATCCCCCACTCGATCCTGCTGGTTCATCTAGATTGCCACCTCCAACTGGGATATCCACATCACAATCCTACAGCCCCGCTATGGGAATCACAATTCCCATTTCTCCTAATCCACGTGCATACGCGCAACATCCCACTTATATCACCCCTGCTGCTCCCCCAGATCCGATCAACCCCATCCTCTCCCCAAATCCCCCAGTCCCTCCCGAGGAAATATGTGTGGAATGTGCAATGCGCGATCAGGACATGGCAGATGTTGTCGTAGTCGGTCCTGGGATCTGGGAGCGTGAAAGTGACGTACTCTATGAGGACTTACTTCGCAGAGAACAGGACGACGAGGCAGCTGGAGTCATATCATCCGAGTGCTCTTCCAAGCCCAGAGCACGAGGGGGGCGCTTATCTGAACAAAACCTCAAAATATGGCATACGATGGTAAGAGAATTTGGTCGGCGCATTATTAGTGATCCTTATCATTGGAATTAGACTCCTCGAGAGCCGGCGTCCCGACAGCAGACTCTGGATCAGTATGTGAAGGCCCAGCGGAGTCTCCTCGAGGCTGAAGCACTTGCACACGCACGTGCGATGCAAGAATCGATGCAACTGGAACACAAGATGCGAGACACGTACTCACAGTTCCGTCGTTCAGCCTACGATCTGAACGGCGGTGTCGATGACACTGCCTTCCGTCTCAAGCCACCTCATCCATCCATTGGCACGAACGGGGCCCTCGGCCACCATATCCGAAGTCCTTCACGTGACATCACAGTTCTGGAGAATGGTCTTATCGTCGAGCATGTCGACATTCGCAAAGAAGAAAAAGAAGAAGAGCGCCGCCGTCGGAATGAGAAGCGGGAACGACGTGCCCGGAAGTCTTCCAAAGGTTCCGCGGTGGACGTCACGTCCCTTTATTCCGTCCACAGTCTGGGTCCGCATACTGACAGTGGTCTTGGACCAATGCAAAGCTCGCGGTACTCTGCTATCAGCTCCGTCAGGCCAATTAGCTCTCTGACCGCACCAACTGACAGGCAACCGAGTATGGGCCAGGTTTATTCGCAAGCATCATTCTCAGATGCGCACAGCCGGGGGTCTGCTTCTCCACGGCGCTCGCGGTTCTTCGGCTTCAAGAATTTGAGCGCTGCATGGCGTAGCCAGGATAGTCTCGCCCCCTCGGGGATGTCAGGCAGTATGATTGATATGCAGTACGTATTTTTATCAAGTGAAAAAGAAGGTCATTCTAATGATCTGTTTATAGCTTGGCCCTGCACCATGAAAGCAACGGACTTCGTGTACGATCGCCTGTTGGCGAACGGAGTATGTTGTCAACTCCCAGACATAGTCAACTGTGGCCACCAGTGGACCCCCAGGAACCCCTTGCTGTGCATATCGACGAGAAGGACAAACCGAAGAAGAAGCGCAAGGGCCTGGCAAAGATATGGAAGCTCGTCAGGGGAAACAAAGACGACCCACAGAACCATGCGAGCGGCCGCGACTCGGCCCGGTCCCAAGATACAGAGCGGAATGAGGATGACCTGCCTTTGGCGCCTCCACCCCCTTTGTCATATCTGGTGGATAGGGGGCCAGGAGAGCACATCGGAAGCAGTGGGCGCCACGTGTCCACTCCCTCGATTCCTTCATCATCCTCGCCGCGCAACCAATTTTCTTCTTCAGGCATGTCCCCTTCGACAGCGCCGTCTAGCCTCCTCCCCTCACCTACTTCTTCACGCCCATCAGGCATAGATCGCGATGCTGAACGCAAAAGCACCACGCAAATTGATGAGAAAGAGAATTATGCCGTGATCGCTGACGAGAGTGGCAAACTAAAGTTACTTCATCCGGTCATCTCCGAGCCAGATATCCGTCAGAAGCTCCAGCAGAACGCTTTTGCTTCGACCAATGGCATGACACTGCCTAGGTCGAGCAAGTCACAAGTCATGCTCTCTCGGGAGAAGTCTTTGCCACCCCTTCCCGGTGAGGTTAAGCTTCGCTCAAACATTCCTGCTGCAGAATCACGGCCGCAGACACTATACACCTATGATCCTCGTCTGGTCGGCCAGGAATCCAGTGACCTTACTCTACCGCATGCCCCATTCCGCTCGGAACCCAGACGACAATCTTTTGGTGGTTCCGCCTCCCGCCCAAACCTAGGCATTCAGACGATGCCCTTAGGTGCATATGATCCTTCAAAAGGTCCTGGTGGTATGTACAACGAGTTTGGCCTCTCCAGACGCTCGCTCGGCCGCTTGGAGCATATCGATGAAAATCCTCAGCCATCCACACCCAGTAAGCGGAGGAGCAAGTTTGGATTCGCATCTTTACTTGGCAGGAAATCCACACAGCCAGAGCCCGCCAACGGCAGCAATTCGCATGAATTCCCGCGGTTGACGACGTCACTCTTCGAGGGTGAAGATAACCTCACAACAGCATATACCCATTCCATGTCTCGCCAGAGCGCTGGTCCGCGTATGTCTGTCACCTCCCGCAAGGCGCTGGAGGAGCGAGTTGAGCAAGACCGAGAATTTGTTGCATATCGCTACCCCTCCCATGACCAGCGCCTTGATATCCTGCGGTAGCGCAAAACCATCGTTCACGCCCCCTTTCACGATCCTTCGCTGTTTTCTCGCATGACATCCTTTTCTTGTTTAGTGTCTGTATATCATCCTGCGTCACATCCTCCACCTCTGCATTTTACTTAGCTTTCTGCATCCATCGTTACCAGGGACAAATGCTCGCGTTCCCGCTCTAGGACTTTCATGTTTTTCGTATGTAATCCTCACGGTCATTTCTGCTTACTTCCACATTGCTTCCACATGTAAATGAATGCATTCACTTGTTCACTTGTAATTGCCGATCGCGTAACACGTGACCGATATCGACGTCGCGCGACGCGTTTCACTGCTTGAACAATATCCTCTACGTTTCTCCTGTAAAAGCAACAAGTCGGAATTCTATCTCGGGTTTGAATAATGGTATGGAAACCCCTTGCTGTTATTGATGGGTAACGCAACATCTGCAGGCACCACGAGGTCTGTCTTTGGAAGAGAAACGCACCAAGTTATTAGAGATATTTCACGAGTCTGTGAGTTATCACCTCTGTAATCCATCCTCATCTAACGGAATATGTATGTTAGAAAGACTTCTATCAAGTATGACCTAGCTTATCCCTTAGAATGTATCTCTGATCGTTCTATAGTTGAAGGAGCTTGAGAAGCTCGGTCCCAAGCTCAAAGGAATTGGTATGACTATTCGTTACACTGATTGAATATCGCTCAAAGGACCCCAGTTTCTCAGACAGTTAAAGAAGTCTTACAATCCCTCGTCGACGATGGCTTTGTCCAGGGCGATAAAATCGGTGCTTCAAACTGTATGCCCTAAAACCTGGATATATGCGCTTGATATGGACAAAAACTCGGATGCTAACTATGATTTTTAAGTTTTCTGGAGCTTCCCTTCGCAAAGAGGAACCATTGTTAAGCCGTTCGCTTCTCAAGATGGTAGCTATGCTGACTAGCGTGCCCCTTAGGTCCAAAATCGCCTGGACAACGCAAGAGAGACAAGGACCAGCCATGAGGCACAGCTGACTGAGATAAAAACCGCTCTCGAGCACGAGAGAGCTCTCAGACCCCTAAGCGTTGGTTTCATTTTCATCTGACAAATAAGAAATAATCCCGGAGAAATTAGGATTCTCGCGCGGCAGCGTTGGAGCAGCTGACTTCTACGAAAAAGCAGCTCGCTGCTCTGCAGGAAGAAATTGATGCTTACGGCGCTTGCGATCCCGTGAAAGTGGAGGAGAAAAAGAGAGCGGTCACATTGGCACATGAAGCAGCAGTCCGGTGGACAGGTCGGTAAAGCCCGTTAGGTCCTTCGTTATTTAACAACCACCTTTTCAGACAACTATTCCATCCTTCTTTCACATTTCACTCGCCAAACTGGGATGGACGCCCAAGACGTCAGGAGGTATCTGGAGATTGGCGATGATTATGAGGATATATTCTGAAGTTTCGTACATTCGTAATTGTTACACCATGCCTGAATCACTTATCAAAGAGCGTTCTCCGTCTTCACTAAATTTGCTGTTGTATCTCCTCTCCATTGATATAATGACCGGTCGTGATGCAGCTTTGAAGGTGGACAGTTCGCTTATCGATGCGGCATATCCGCTATCCCGCGAGTTCAGGCTCGCAAGGAGGGTATTGTAGTACAGCGAGCAAAGGGGTAAATCGAACAAGACGTATACCGCAGTATTTGGAAAACCAAAATACTGAGAAGCGACCTGAGCGCGATAAACGCCCGAAATATTATGGTGACTCACTGTGATCATATCGAGAAGAGCGAATAAAGCGGTCCAAATTCCGCTCAACATTGAGAAAACAATTAAGCGCTGGATCATCTCACTCAATCTGTTAACAAGTGCGATGTATTCAGCAGGAGTCAGGCTTCTCTTCCAGAAGAGTACTTACGCAAGAGTCGTGGCTTGGCTGTGTAACTTACGCAGGTATTTTGTCAAAAAAAATGCAGTCCCGATATCAACAAAGGCCATGACGGCCAGATAAGAAACCACGGCACCCTTTCGGTAGGTGAGGCTGCATCAAATGGGACAGACTTGGAACTGATCCTCACCTTCAGCGATGCGGTGAAGAAAACACTCTTCCCACTTTGAAAACTGCGACGCGTTCCTGACAGTAGATCTGTTGTTCGAGTAAAACCCTCACCTCTTAACAACGCAATCTATGAATAACATTTAGTCATGAAAACATCGAGGGGGGCGCGAACGCACAAATTGCTGTTCCGAGTTCAAAAAGACCGAATGGGACCTGCCCGGAGAGATCATAAGTGTGTAGACTTTCGTATAAGCTAAATTGATCCTGACCCAGAGCGAGGGGAGTACCCTCGATCTCGTCTCGCTGACTACATCACCCAGACGTTAATTAGGCACGTCAGACTGCAGATCGCGTAGACCTACGTCTTTGTGCCTTGACAACAAATATTCCTTGCACACAAACTGAAACAATGGCCTAGTTAACTGGGTTAGTACATGCGACGGAAGGTTCAGATTATGATCTCACTGAGAGGAGAAACCCGGACTGTATGGCATTGAGTGTTACATATGATCGCATGCTGGACGACCCACCGAGGACACCCTACAACAATAATTACGTCAGGCCAATAAGTGGGACGACATGCAGGATACTTACGGAAGGACCACCTCAAAAAATGAAGAGTCTCCGGCGTTAACAACTAGGTAAGCGTACGCTGCACTAGAAGTCAGGAGATTGTCGTATCAAAGACGAACATTTTGCTTACCTCCATGCACTATCAGTGCTGTCTGCGCAGCGTTCACCGTACTACCACAAAACCACGCGATATCAGCTGGAGACGTTGAAAGGCTCGCAGGTGGCAAACCATATAACAGCGACCTTCGGTAAACTCAGGACTCTGAATGAAGCAGAGACGACGAAGAGAGACTCACCGTAGTTTTTAACCATCGATCATCTCTGACATAACTGCGAATTTGGGTCAAGCAAGGTACCTGCACCACTCGCAGAGTTTACCGACCGAGTAAAATAAGAAAAGCTAGAAAGAGATAAGGATGCGATTCAATAGATGTGTAATTCCTCACGTTTGCATACAAGACACTCCCCAGAGCATAGCGCAGAAAATTGTTGAGAGGAAATAGGCACCATACGTTGTTCCGATAGAAGATGGTAGCATTGCGATCAACGCGACAGAAAGTGAGAATCCCGGGACACTAAAGACAGGAAAAAAGAGGTAGCATCATTTTTGGGCAGGCTTTTGAGGTGTGGGGGGGACATGTCGCTTGCCGTCATCCGTCAGTATAAAATTAGACCCTTAATAGAACTTGTTCCACTTAAGGACCCATCAAGAAAGGCTGTGGACACCGTGCCGGGCAAGAGGATTAGCAACTTGCCAAACCCTCACCGGTGACCGCTACAAAAGAGCTTCGAGGGCCAAACAGCAGTGACTCGGAATATCGCCCGTTCACTTATGCACCACCTCTTGCAGATAGTTCACAACGCTGTCTTTAGCGTGCTCGGGAGCTATACTATCCATCTATCCCTAAAGCAGGTCAAATTAATGAAGATTCTACCTCCGTACTAGTAGCCTAGCTTAGCTGTAGATGGATCACTCGCCACAGGGTGCGAGCTCGTATTTTGTCGTAATCCAAGACGTACGTGTTGTCTTGTCAGGGGGAGCAAAGCAGTAACCAGTTGTCGAATACGCCAATGTTACTGTATGTGTTGGCAGAGAATACTTTGGAGTTGCCGAAGAGTTCCATCTGGATAATTACGGAGGCCTAGGGCCAAAGCAGAAATTTGTGGGCGCTTTTGGTCTCTACTTCTTCAACTTTCCCATGGGAGGTCATACTAACTTAGTATAGTGCCAGGAATTGGCCAGGAAAGCTTCATCGATGAACATGAAATTGAGCTCGAGAATTGCCCATGCATGTTAGCGCTGGGCGCCGGGCCCTATAGCTACGCGCTTCCGAAAGTGCAAATGGTCAAACTTAAAAACAACGACACGTACTCGACATCGGTACGTACGGGATATCATCATAATATGTATCACCCTGCATGCCATGGGCACGTAGGGGCACGTCGACCATCAACCATTACGTAGAGAGAGATGAGGTTTGTAGGGGTCACATCATCTCGTCATCGAATAAATAGAGAAGCGAGGAACTGGAAATCAGCGCGGTGTTAAGGCAACCAGCTCGCTTGTCGTTGTCGACGTCGATGCCCATTGCCGATACCTTCTTGTGACCACCTTGGACAGCCTTGGACAGGCAGCTGACAGATCGATGAGATGAACAACGCTATGGATACAGATATCCACTCAAGTTCAAGGTGTCTGTCCAGTGTCCACACCCGTCGACTCCAAACCTTACTACTGACAGTGATTACGTCGAACAGCTTTACACAGTGTCAGCCATCTGTGCGTCAGAATTTTCGCTTTCAAATGCGTGCCAAGTGTCGACACCTCGCTTCGATATCGCTCCCATCATCCTCAGGCTCTTCCTCCTGACATGGAAAACCCATTCGCTGCATTTTTGCATGACCCTTTTTAAATAGTGCAATTTCCATGCCGTTTTTCAGTCACAACCGAGTGAGGATCAACCACCGAACGCAATCGGAGTCCGAGGTAGGCCATGGATTAAATGGGATCGACAGAGGAACTTCCGCATGTAAACAAAGCAAACGGTAACTCTGATTCAACAGTAATCCTTGTGGTTGGCATATGTTATGCCCGACTTGTCCCGTAAGGTTTTTATGTTCAAGCATATGACAAGGCTAGCATCAACTCAGCAACGAACTACTTACGTGTCGTGCCATCAACTTGCCAGTGACAACCACGCAGCACCAATGCGAAAGCAGACACACAACTCACTGTTGCGATGTGCCACTCAAGGTTCGACAAAAGCTTATGGTCGAACCCTACCACGCTGGCGAGTCATGGGGTTGAATTCTGGACGCAAACTAATCATGACACATTCATAGCCAGGGCTCGAATCACGATCTACAAAGTCGCAAATGTAGAAACATCCGTCGGCGCTGACAAGCATAGACGCTGTCAAAACAGCAGTAATGATGAGGACGAAGGAGAAACGCCCGATTTGTGGGATGTGATATGGGATCTCAAAAATCAATCTCAAAGGGGACAATATGATTCATAGGAAGATGACTTACTTTTATGCTCTGGGCAGAACATGACAGCGAGTTGGAATTCCACATTTCCATCTTTCTTCTAGGCTTCTTCCGCCAATTGAATATTGGTGACTGAGCAAGTCAAATTTGAGGTAGGCAATCTGCTGGCATTGTAAATGAAATCTGTTTGAAGGGGGATTTAAGGTGGATAGACATGCCTATGTCATCATGAGGTATGGCCTACGTGCATTGACACGAGGATTCCGGAAGCCGAGCTCAGGCGTCTCATGGATGCTGAGAACATATCAATTATTTTGCATCGGGCGTAGCAAGATACCGCGAGATCGGCAGCTTGAGAGATCTGTCGAATCACTTGTCTCGGGATGTACGTTGTGCAGCTGCGCTTTCAACCATGATGATTCCGTGATTGGAAGCCAGATTGAAAGTGGGAGAAGAGTGACATCTCAGGGAGGACGACAACGACAATGATCTTAAGTGGAAGTTTGCAATGTCCCTTCTCGTGGCACATGAATTGAGTGACACATAACATCATTGATCATTGCCCACATGTTTGATGACCTGAAGACTAATAACCGAAGCAGAGTGAAGCTCTGCACGACTTGCCAGTCTTGCTCGAGCCCCTGAGATAAATTTATCAATTGATTTTCGCGGTACCATATAGTAAGTACTAGTAAGTACTGGTTGGGGGAAATGACGGCGACTCATCAGGATTTGCTGCTCTTAGATCAGTTTCGTGGTAGAGATAAAAAACATCATGGTTGAACTTGAAGTCGGCAAATTTAAATTCACTGCTCGGGTACGAGCGAAAGATACTTCAAGTTGCCTTCAGCCTTCTTCATCTTCATCGACTTGAATGATATTTCCAGTGTTTAAGGTGGATTTGCACAGCCGATTTCCTGTCCGTAGGCCTCGATTAGAAGTACGCCCGGCCGCACTATGGCTATCGCGCGAAAGACCGATCGCTGTGTAACAAAACCCTTGGGTAGGCTCTATATAAAATTGCAACCACCATATACGTCCTACAGGATGTGACGCCATCGTATCAGCATGAGGAACAATGCGAGAATCATAGACCACAAACCCCCAGCAACAAATTCATAGCGCATGTTTTGTGTAGTGCGCAGGTGCTTCCGGAACATCCTGATCCGGAATGAAGCAACGAAGTGGTTTACGAATTAATTACCAGCATGCACCTGAATCCCATCTGGTGGACAACCTAAAGAGCGTCTCAAAGGCTCGTTCTTGACTGATTAGCATAAATCAATCAACGGTCTCTCTGGCGGGTATTAACATGTACTTACTTTCATTATTACTATCTCCAGAAATCAGCCACATAAACAATGTGTAGTCTCTGGTTACCATACATGCAAGGCGCAGATCGGACGAGCATTTAGACGAGGATCTGGAAATGAATCTAGCAAACTCTGAAAAGCTCCTGGCCGATTATTCACAATTGCCCGATGCAGCGCCGTGTGGCCCTTCATATTGCATGTTTGCAGGAGGTCAGAGAACTTCGCAGCTGGACGCGTAGCAGCGCAGTCATCGACAATCGGGGCGACAGAGGATGGGGCGAATAGGGATCAAATAAAATGTCAGGGAGAGATAGAACAGTGATACGATTCTGCCTGATTCGAGAAAAGGAAAATGCAGAAGGTCGTCTGCATTGAATGGAATCGCATGCTGATGATGCAAACGTACAGATTGCGTCATACAAGGGGTGTGCAGTAGCAACGGAATGTCTATCGTCAAAGACTCCAGGCTCGGTAGCCATTCTATATGGAGGGGTAAGCAAAACTGTGAGCATTATGAAAAAAAAACAGGGGCCAAAGCATGACACAACATTTGCACCTCACGGTTTTACTCACAATATTTGTTTTGATGGTTTCTCGGTGGGATGAATTGTCTTCTAATTGTCCAGGCGGACTGGAGTGCTGGAATTCGTATTAGTACGCGCGCTCCAACTTCGACTTTGTATCGACTCGGAAAACCAGTGTATCCCCCTGTAGCAAACCGCTCTCCAGGTTGGATTGCCGACTTCAGAGACACATTATTTTACCAAGATATAGATCCTGGCTATGCAATATAGGTGATACAGCCGCTTGGGATGGTCAGAGCACACGTAGTACTGTCGTGTGTTTCGTGAGCCACCATCATGGGTCCTGTTCAAGCATTAGTATTTTTGAAAGTCAGCGAATATACAACGCCCTCTCCATTTGGTAACTCAGTTTGATTCTACTTACGAACTTACAAGTTACGAGCTTTAGGCCGTCAACACGTCTCTTCCTTGTAAGCTTCTGGTCTGACTGTGAATGTGCATATCAGATTATAATGATTGTTATCATCGAAATGCCCCGGGGACAAGAACCTAGGGATGGAGAAGAGTGGATATGTGACAATTGTGCCACTGTGGCGAACCTTGCCTGCTTTGGATTGGTTGGCGCGCTCTCTGCATTCCAAGTGGTATATCCCGAGAAAGCCACTACTAGTACTTCCATCGATGTGGTTCAACATTAAATCTTTTAAACTGACACTTCCATCTCGCCAACATCGGCGCGACAACGAGCAAGCTACATCCTATCGCGGCTTTGCACTCCATCAGCTCTGCTTTACTCCATGCCGTCGCCTTTGACTCTCAAAATGCCGAGCTCTCGTCGTTTAGCTGCACTTTTCACTAATGACTGTGATACTGGCCATAAGAAGTTCCGCTGTACAGATGCGAGTATTTCCAGCCCACTCGCTGGACGCCGAAATCCAAAGGATGGAGATCGCGCCGAGTCTCTTTCGGACAGTAGCACCAACATCCCGGAATATCTTAGTCTTGACCTACCTTGTCCATATCTCCCACCTGGTCCGATATCTCCTTCATCCGTAATCAATGCGTCAAACTATTGCCCTTCACCGTCCCCATTCGCTGGTGACGTCGAAATGCGATCCCTCCTGCTCTCGTATGAAAACGAATATCCTTCCCCATCCTCAATAATCGAATCTCCCCCACCAGTTGTATCCGTTCCTGCTCTTAACCCAGCATCTCTTTTCGGCCGTAACTATTCCCCTCGGTTTCCGGAAGACTACAGGCTTCTCGAGACCTTTATTCAAAATTACCGCCTCTGCGATGAACTTGGCTCAGGTGGATACGGTTTTGTCATGACCGCGGTCGACCGCCAGGAGAACGTTGAGGTCGCTGTCAAATTCATCATTAAAGGGAAGGTCCCAGAGCAGGCGTGGATGGAGGACGAGGTCTATGGTCGAATCCCCATAGAAGTCCTGGTACTTCATCTTGTAGAACACGAAAATATTATCAAGAGCCTCGAATTTTTCGAGGATGAACTGTTTTTCTACCTTGTGAGTCATGCTTGTGCGATACTGGTTTGTTACACCGCTCAGTGAACAGCAGGTCCAAGAACTCCATGGTTCTCCGTGGCACAAACGCAAAAAATCCCATGATGCTCGTGCGCATTCTCCCCTCGATGACATTATCATTCCCCACTTCAGCTCGTCACCCCCCCGTATTATCTCCCGCTGCATCTGAATTTTCGGTTCCGGATTCTGAGCCAGAAACACCCCCGCAGGGTTCAGGACATCTCCCGGCCTCTGTTCTCGTGCAAGGATGCGATTCATCCTTGAACGATGACTTGCAGTACCACTCCCTTCATCTCACGCGCAAAACGTCTGCCCTCGAACCACCTCGTCCTTGTTATACGCGCCGCCCCTCGCACGACCTTTTTGAATGCATAGAACAAACGAAACACAAGCGCCTCTCTGAGAAACAAGCACGGTATATCATGGCTCAGGTGGTCGAGGCAGTACATTACCTCGACACTCAAGGAATCTATCATAGGGACATAAAAGACGAAAACCTAGTCATCGACAAAGATTTCAAGGTATGGTTCTATTTACCCAAAATCTTCTGTCACTGACCGCATATCTAGGTCAAACTCATAGACTTTGGCAGTGCCGCGATAGAGAACCCTAATGAACCGCCCCCGTACTACAAACTCTTCTTTGGTACTACTGCGTATGCCGCCTCCGAAGTACTCCTTAAGCGATCTTACCAAGCCGCGCCCGCCGAAATTTGGACCCTCGGTGTGCTGATGTCGTACTTGCTGACCGGGATGTCCCCATTCCCTACCGAAGCGGATGCCATTGCGGGGCACATCGTACTCTCCGAGCTGCCAGGGAAGGGACTCGGTGACTCGTGCGTGAATCTCATGAGCAGGTGTCTCGAACCCAACCCTCAGCTACGTGCCAATATCCACGAGGTGCGCGAGCATCAATGGCTGAAAGGCGCTTTGGATGGTATTTAGCCTCTGTCAAATTTTCTTCTGTGTTACTGCATATACCTTAAGCTTTGAGATGTTTTTGTAGCATGAGAGCACTGGCTTGAAATTCATACCCACTCATGTACTCGCTATACCTCTTTGTCGTATCTTGTCTATGGATTTGACTTTGTACTTCGTGTGAAAGATTGACAGTCCACCATGGCCAGCCAGGGACCAGGGGGGTTTAGACTTTCGCGGAAATTAAAATTAAATTCAAATCGATATCGAGAACTCTAATCTTTGCGGCAAATTTCTTGGCCAGAAGACTCAAGAGTTGGATGTGGCATGGCCAGTTTCATGCGGAGACCTCGAGGTGTCCAGCCGGACAAAATGTTCCAGCGTCGCACGCCTGTCCACTCACACGGTCTTGACACTAGCACAATGAGTAGAGACGTTGGTGCAGCTCCTCCTCGTAGGAAATCTCTGAAAGATGTTGTTCGGTATGTCCACTGGTTGACATGCGAGGGCCTCACTTACCATCCTCAGACATTTTACTCCAGCATGGTTTGCTGTCACGATGGGTAAGTCAACATTAATCCGCCTATCCATGCATTGTGTTGACAGTGTCTTGTGTAGGGACTGGCTCAATCGCCATACTCTTCCACAACTTTCCTTATGCTGGTAATTCGCCAGTAATGCGAGGGTTTACACTCGCCTTCTTCTTCTTCAATCTTGTGCTATTTCTGCTCTTCAGCGTTATCACTGCAGCTCGATACATCCTCTTTCCTGGCATTTGGTTTCACATGATACGGCATCCTGTACAGAGCTTGTACATTGGCACGTTTCCAATGGGCGCAACAACGTTAATAAACATCGCCTGTAGCGACATATTCCAGACATACGGTTTTGGTGGGAAGCCGTTTATTTACACGGTGTGGGCGTGTTGGTGGATCAATGTTGCGATTTCAATAACATGCTGCTTTGGCATGATGCACGTTATGTAAGTCCGTTCACTGCGAATCACATAAATGAGTTAGTGTTCACGTAGGCCCTACAGGATCACTCTCCAACAACATTCGCTAAAGTCTATGACAACTGTTTGGCTTCTTCCTGTCGTGACCCTTGTCGTCGGATCTTCTTCTGGAGGTGTTCTCGTGCCAGCGCTTCAGGTCTATTCCCCCTCGTATGCGTTGCTAACGGCGACGTTCTCTGCGTGCATGGTCACAATAGGTCTTAGCCTTTCCCTCATGCTACTCACGATATACATCCTTCGGTTGGTCGTGTACGGTTACCCCACGGGTGCATCAATTCTGTCTGTTTTTCTTCCTATCGGTCCTTGTGGACAGGCAGCATACGCGCTCTTAAAGCTGGGGTCCTCTTTCCGTTTGCTATTACCTCTGAATTATGGTGATGCAGGCGGATTGTTGCGACAGCCTGGAACCGGCGAAGTAGTGGAGGTGATATGTGTGGTTGGTGCTATGGTGCTATGGTCACTGGCGAGTATGTGGATACTCTTTGCTATGCTCGGTCTCGGCTACACTCTTCGTCGGGAACGCATTGACTTCCGACTGTCATTCTGGGGAACTGTGTTTCCTAACGTGCGTGTCTACAATTTTTTTTCGTTGGGGGTTGCATTAAATCCGATTCTACACAGGGGGTATACGCAAATCTCAATTTGGCCTTGGCAACAACATTTTCCTCAACATTCTTTCGTGTATGGGGTTCAATATATGCGGTGGGGACGCTAATATTGTGGGTGTGTATTGCCTTGCCTACAATACGGATGGTCCCAAGCGGTCGTATATTTGACGCTCCATGTCTGGAAGAGGTCTTGATTGGAGAAACGGGGAGGGAAACGGAGAAAAGCGAAGATGATTTAAAGAACTGACCTTAATGTCGGATAGATGTAAACCTGTTCAAGCCTCACCCGGGTTTTGAGGTGCGGCATTTCGCAGGTCTACCCGCCTTCTGGCAACAAAATATAGACTTGGCTTGTACCCCAAACACTGGCAGAAAGCTGCAGAATGCGCTTTCCGTATCATTGGCATTGTTTATCAATCTCTGGTGTGTTTCCAGTCTTGTAAGCATATTCCTCTTTCAATGGTTTTTGAGATCGCACATGGAGGCAGGTATAAACACTACATACCCAACTACTTATTCCAATTCATACAAAATTTCTCCCACAGTTTTGTACCGACGGAGAGCAGAGCATGAAGACTGCGGTATCGAAGGTGTGTCACAAGGTGATCCAATACTTTCCGAACGACACCCGCATGTCTCATCCTGTCTACAGTTCTTTATCTAGGTATACACGTCATATAGACTTCTAGACTTACAGTATGTGAGTAGCGGGCTTCCGCATAAGCTGGTTGTCAACCTGTCATGGGACGCCGACGGTTTGGCGGAGGACTCAATGGCTTCGGATGGCTACGGTTTAACTTTGCGCCCAAGTCGTGTGTGATAGGCTCGTGACCAGCCTGGTGTACGCTACCACGGAGAGGTGACTACGTCACATGTCAAATTGACGTGCGGTTTGATTTGTTAGGAGCCTAGTCAGCTGTGATCTAAAGCGGAACAGATCTAGATTCACTGTGCTGCAGCATCATTCTCGGATCTCCACTACGTAGTTTACAATGTCATTGGTGAGTAATTGCAAATTGTTCGTTTGGTTGTCAAACTTAAACCTTAACTCCACAACGTCGATGGGCCCATCATTTGGACTGTACAGCTGGCTTTGAGCTGGCGCGAATTAGTAATTCATTGATAATCCGAGTCCAAGAAGACATAAATATTACGGGGAACGGGGAAACTTTTGCTCATACCTTGCGGAGTACCTCCCTTTCCTTGAGTGCAGATATTTAGTTTGTTTCCAGAATTCAACTGGCCTTGTCATTATGCTTGAGACACCTCCGCGTAAATCATGCAGGGAGTGCATACGGTACGTGTGACACTATTCCATTGTAGCCTCCTGATCAATATGTAACAGAAATTTTACCTGGGCCTGGTATACAGTGATCATGGGTACTGGGGGTACATCTGCACTGGTCCATGCATTTCCGTACGGGAACGATAGTCCGGCGATCAAGGCCGTCACCTTGGTCATTTTTTCCCTAAATCTCCTCCTCTTTGTCTTGTTTACTGGGGCTACCATCGCGAGATACATCATGTTCCCTGACATCTGGCTCAAGATGATCCGCCATCCAGCTCAGGGCCCACTCATGGGTGCATTTCCAGCGGGAGCTGCAACATTAATTAATATAGCATTGGTAAGCTTGCTGTTTTCTTTTGCTTTTACCTTCGATGGTCATACCCTTGTTATAGGTAGCCAATCAAGAATGGAAATTTGGAAGAATTGAGTTTCTATATACGCTCTGGGGTTTCTGGTGGTTCGACTCCATCTTATCGTACCTCATCGCCTTTGGAATGCTACATGCGATGTAAGCGAAGAAGTTCAAATCTTTATGCCATATCACTGATGGTGTGACTTACAGGATGGTGGAGCAGAAACATGCCCTTCAGACCATGACCCCTTTATGGCTACTTCCAGCTATCAGTCTTATCGTTGCATCTTCAACCGGTGGTTTACTCTCTGCTGCGCTTAAAGCTCAGTCGATGAAGTTCGCCATCTTGACAACCCTATTCTCGTTTACTATGGTGATCATTGGTCTCAGTCTCGCGTTGATGATGATCACGGTGTACCTCGCACGCCTTATCATAAACGGTCCGCCAGAAAAGCCGCTCGTTTTGTCTGCTTTCGTGGCATTGGGTCCCTTCGGTCAGGGAGGATACTCGCTCCTTATCAATGGCCAGAACCTGTCCGAAATCCTTCCGCTGCACGTCTCGGGCACTTTCCCAGGGGTAGCAGCTGGAGGGCAGATGATATTCTCGTTCTGTTTCTGCGGATCTTACATCCTATGGTCTATGGGCGTCTGTTGGAGCATCATTTCCTCGATTTCTATATTCAGCGTGCTCAAAAAGGAGGGGAACATACCCTTTTCCATCGCGTATCAAGGATTGATTTTCCCGAATGCTGTATTTGCGCTTCTCTCAGTGCAGCTTGGGAATGTTCTGAACAGCGGCTTTTTCTGTGGGTTTGGCGCGGCATGGACAGGTCAGAATGCCCGTCATCATCCTTTTCTGGACCTGCTAACCGTTCTGATAGTTATTGTCTTCATCCTGTGGTTGAGTATCTTTGCAAGAACCATCCTAGCAGTCGTCGACAGGTCCATATTTGTTGCGCCAGATATCGCAGTTCCACCCTTGCCACTTGATAGTAATGACAGTCTCGACAGTATAAAACCTGCTGGAATCAGTCATACTTTGGCTAGACAACAGTTATCACATCTCAGCGACTTGATGCCTTTTCATACGAACTTCGTAAAAGTAGTACCATGTTGATAGCTACGTATGAATATTATGACAGGAGACTTAACGGTTCTGTTAACGTTATGCTCGGGAGAATTGCGACACAGCCACATAAATTACAGCCTCGCGGCTATACTATATACGTGGTGAGCGCCGAACACGCGTGGCCCCAACTCTCAAGGGCTCACTAGAGGCTCACATTAACCTCAAGCAACGAACGAACATTCAAAAGGCCTTCATATAGGCATTTGATTCCTCGTTGTTCCTGGGCTTCATCATGCCCCACTCTACCGGTTATCAACAATTGCCCCAAGACGTTGAAGATGAAACCATCGTCGAGGAGCAAAACCCCGGGGACCACGCTAAGGCGGCCCGCGGGCGCAGTGCCCGAGCACACAAACCAGGACATATAGACTTGCGGAAGTTAGATAACGCATTCAAAAGGTGTGCGAGGGGCTTGCTGAGTTATGATGGTCTGGGACTAACACGTGTGTTCAGATGGACAGAATCCATTGCGCAGAAAGTTAAACGGAAGAAGAAAGTTGAAGATTACTCTCGCAAGGAAATATGGCAGAGTGTCTTTGAGCCTTGTTCGCCACCTGTTGCCGTTGGAAGCGGAAGTGAGTTCACGGTAAGCCCTGTGGTTTTTACTGTCGAGCTGCATGCTTGGCATGGTTCCTAGTGCTCTGTGTTGATAGTAGTTCTTGGCTTGCAGGTCAAAACACTTGATCATAAGTCTCCCATGTCCCAAGCAACTTTCGACAAGTAAGCTAGGATTATCAGGAATCCATTGCCGAGCTCATAGTCAACAGTTTAACACAATCAGTACGAAATGCTATATCAGCAGGAATCCACCCAAAGATGATAGTGAAAGGGTCTTCTGGATCCTACTTTGCTCGTGCGAAGGTCGAGGGGAGAGTTCAGACAGTTGCGTGAGTATTATGCTTCACTCACAGTTGCAACAATTCACCACATATCTTATGTAGTGTATTCAAGCCTAAAGATGAGGAACCTTACGGGCGCTTGAATCCAAAGGTGTGTATCTTTTGAATTGACAATACATTCAACTCAGAGGTTTTCCAGACTACCAAGTGGCTACATCGGCAATTTAGATGGATAATTCCATTCGGACGGGCTTGTTTGATACCTAATCTCAGGTAATTCTATACAACTTGGAATATCAGTCCACTCCGCCTGACACTTACCGCCCTCAGTTACATCTCAGAGGCTGCAGGGTCCCTGCTTGACGATCGCCTTGGGCTTAATATTGTCCCTCGTACACAGCTTGTCTCCCTGTCTAGCCCTGTGAGTCCGTGGTATGCTTTCTGGAATGCGTGGCTAAATTATCATACTTCAGGCCTTCTTCTATGACTGGATTGACAGAAGCGGAGCCAAGAAAGGTAAACCACTACCTGAGAAGATAGGAAGCATGCAGTATTTCTTGCATGGATACACTGGTTGTGTTTATTCTACTTGCTTGTTATATGTGGACTCATCTTCAAATATCAGATGCATCAGATTTCCTGCGGAAGCATCCTTGGCCCGGCCGCTCTATTGCAGACACATTTGACGATTCATCTCATCGGAAGGGTCTCCCTACGAAACGTTTCCTTAGCGCACTGAAAATAATATGCGGAAGGACTGGTGACGAAGATATAGATGACGAGGACCCAGAGGAAGAACGTGCTCTTTTCGATGTCACTGAAGACAACGAATCTGGACGTCCGTTCTATTGGTCGCGAGCGCTTCAACAAAGTTTTAGAGAAGAGCTAGAAAAGTACGTTGGTTTGGCTTACATTCCGTCACAGGTTCTCATGCTGTATCCCACTATGAATTAGGCTTGTGATACTTGGTGATACACTCGCTGTTATATTCTTCCTGATGACTGACCCTGCGAACAGACTACCTGATGCTAAATACTGACCGTGGAGCTGACAACTACATGATCAAGTACTGTGAAGGCAATCACGAGAAGCTAGTTGACGTTGCCCCTCAGCCTTCAGCTCACCCCCAGATGCCACAGATGCGTCGTGCTGAGACACATTCTCCATCCTCACAGTCTACTGTGACTTTCGCCAATGCAATCCCTCCATCTCAAGCTAACGCTGCTTCGTCTGACTATATACGTCAGCCGCATATACATATTGCAGCCATAGACAATTCGCTCTCGTTCCCTCATGAGCATCCCCGAGGCTGGCGGTCGTATACATACGGGTGGCTGTATCTTCCTGTCAACTTGATTGGACGTCCTTTCAGTGAAAAGACGCGAGCACATTTCTTACCCCTCTTGACCTCCAAAACTTGGTGGGAGGAGACAACCTTCCAGCTTCGCAAACTCTTCGCAATTGACCCTGACTTCCATCCCAAAATGTTCCAGGTAAGTTGTGAGAGTATTTTGATGGACACAATACAATGTCATTATCATTCTTAATTTCAGAGGCAACTGGCTGTCATCAAAGGTCAAGCTTACAACATCATCGAGTCTTTGAAACATGCGGTGAGCAAGAACTGTTGAATGGATTGTTTGAATTAGTTCAACTAATCAATTTACTTCTGTTAGGATGAAGGTGAGCTACAGAGGCAGTTAAACTCATAATCCCGGTATTCATTATTGCAGGTCCGCTGGAGCTGACCCGCCGCACGAAAGCACTTGTTTGGGACGACGAAATTGAGATCATGGAAGAAGCGCCCCGTACTCCTGGTATTGGTCCTCTACCTTCATCACCACGTCCGTCTATCAGCACCATGCCATTACCACGGCGTACACGCAGCCAAAGTTACTCTGCTGAGTTCCCTCCACCTGTCCGCCGGAGATCATCAGAGGCTGATCGCCCCGTTCCGTTCTCTGCCAAGTTCCAGAAGGTACACCCTGGTACGACAGGTGTCACAGTTCTAGAACATCTCGAACGCCTGGACGTTGTCGAAGCCGGGCTGCAGCGGCTTGGCGTCGAAGAACCGGTCATCGAAGAGGACGAAGAGGAAGTCGATGTTGGGATGTCATCTGCACCGCAACCACTCCTTATTTCCACTGGTGAAGAGTCCCCACCCAATGATATATCGGCTTCACAGCAGTTCACCCCACCTGGTAGTCCTGGCGGGCTTACCTCTGTTCCGGAGGTCCACTCACTCGCCAATTCTGTCACGGAGGAGGATCTGGCAGTCATGTCGAAGTCAATGTCACATGTCGAGTCACCATTCGCACCTCAGCACAATAGGTGGAATAGCCATGCTGGGCGGATGTATCACCAGCCTGACCATAGCCTCGACTGGATGAACGTTGACGAACTTGAACAGCAGAAGCGAACTGTTATCGTCGAGGTGTGTGCATTGTTCCTATTAGTGACGATGATCTAATCAGCAATACTGCCCCAGCGATTTGAGACGGTTGCTGCGAAACCTCTTCTCAGCTGCTGGTGATATATACACATATTTCTTTCATAGAGGGGCCCGGTTTGTCGTGTTAGGGTTTGGGCTGCTATCGTATTTTGCTATCTGGTATAAATATCCAAAGATCTTGAAATGCACCATATACATTTATTAAGTCGAACGTTCGCATCCTCGTCTGGCAAGCTCAATGCAAGAACGATATTATATCCACTCAGTCCCCCTCAGTCATAAGCCACGATGCGAAGTCATCCAGCCGCTGCTTTTCTGCTTCGTCGTTATCTCCGTCCAGGTCGTCGCCTGCTCCACTGCGTTTGAAGCGCTGTTTGCCTGAATACAAAAACGCCTCAATGCGTCTTCCACCAAAGAACCTGTTATTCATTTTCTATGATAACGTCGATCAATGCTTGTTATGTGGTAGTCGAGAGAAGCACGTACAATGACACAGGCCTGAGCACTCAGTGAGTCTCTGAACTTGACTGTCATCACCCCATCAGCCTCTTTCTACAAGGCAGGTCAGATATGGCTGTGGAGTAGGAAACATGCGACATACATCATACAGAACAACGTTTGTGACTTCTCCGAGTGATGAACATTCGTCACGCACATCATCCTTCAGATCAAGTAGTAGAGACGCATCTTCATCGAGCTCTTGAAGAGAGAACATGTGCTTGAGAACCACTACACGGCAGTTCCTGTTAACTACGTTCTTTTCGTCCTCCTCACTCCTGGCGGGCCCAAAGCCATCTTCGTCATCCCATTCTTCAATTTTTCTGTAGGAAAATTAGAGATGGCAAGGCGGTCCGAAAGAGGAGGAACAAACTTCTGCATCTTGCCGATCCTTCTAGTAATCTTCTTCTTGTCCATTGTTTTCCGTGGTTTCGCTTCCTCTCCTGTCCCGCCTGAATGCTTGTGACGAAATTCCGCTTTCTGCACACTCATGACCGTTGATGCGTCGCCTATCCGGAGTTCCGCGTCATCCAGGAGGTTGACTGCCAAAGTCACTGATTCTTCTTTGAAGTAAACCACCAACGCTTCTCCACTAAATGACCCGTCCTCGCGTGCGTACAGTTTCACTTTTGATTCGCCTTCGTCATCTTCCTCGATAACCCCAAACTTAGCAAAGCGCTCAACGATCTCATCCACATCGGTATCTGAAGGGAGACCAGTGACGTAGACTGCCGTGTTTTTGGACTTGGCTGGCTTGTCATTCTTGCCACGCTTCGCAGAAGGCTCTGTTGGAGGCGTATAAGACGTATAGTTTTCAGGCTCCTTCCTCTTTTTATTTGCACGTTTGAGTACGGGCGCAGCTGGTGTCTGTGGACGCTATTAGTTTAAGGAGTCAAGGTGTTGAACAGCATGACCTGACCTCTTCATCCACGCCAGCGACTGAATATGCGGCTTGTTGCTTTTTGATCAGTTCCTCATCCAGCTGCCAAAGTTGCTTGCCTCACAATCACCGGCGCTCCACGAAATTCACACTCACCACCGGAACCCACGTTCCCTTGGCGGAATCATATTCGAGCTCACTACCGTCATCATTCTCCAGCCTCCATGTTTCTGTCTCTCTGGAAAAGTGGATGCGGTCATCATTGGCGAAAGCGGCTGCTTGTGCGGATGCGGATGCGCCCGCGGCGGCTGATGGTGGTGCGTCGTTGGACATCTCACAAGCGGTTGTTTATCTGTGTTTGATTCTAAGGCCTTAACAAATTAGGACAGCTACTTGGTCATCCCTGTATCATGATGCGGCTTACTAGTACTAAAGGGACCTTTTGAATCTAACTAATACTGGCCCGATACCGGATCCCTCACAATGGAAATACTGACCGGTATCTTGAATATGCGCTACTGGTACGTGGATTGTTTTTGTCACCCCCCCTCCACACCAGACACTTACTCATATAACTTATAAGTATCACTCAGCAGTGATTCAGCACGCCTAATTGACGCCATTAATCAATCTTATATCTATTCACTTGCTTTCAGGAACTACTTCCGTGCATGCTCTTCATTCCCAGCCCGCGTTCAACATCATGTCAACTCAACAAGCTCTGTGGCTTCCTGGTATTGGACAGGATTTCGTTGTTGGTACTAAAGAGATCGACACACCTGACCCCGGTCAGCTTCTTGTCAAAATCATTTCGAGCGGTCTCAACCCTTTGGATTGGAAAATCCAAGACAGTGGATACATTCAATTTGTTCCGTCATACCCGGCAGTCATCGGTGAAGAGGCTGCTGGCACTGTGGAAGCTGTTGGTGAGGGTGTAACTGATTTCAAAAAAGGGGACAGGATGTAAGTAGTGTCAAATATAATAGGACAATACTAATGTTTCTTCAACAGATTTTTCCAAGCACAAATAGGGAGCAAATTTACAACATTCCAACAGTACTGCATCGTATTTGCTTACTCCGCCGCAAAGGTGCTGTATCCAACAAAACCAAGTTCCTGCGCGCTGACTCCTCGTTAGATTCCGGAGAACATATCTTTCGACCAAGCGGCTTCTGTACAGGTCGGCATCATCCCATTCGCTGTTGCCTTGTATGCACAACAGCCTGAAGGACTGGCTCACCTTGCGCCATGGCTAGAGGGTGGACATGGAAAGTATGCTGGACAGCCTATCGTCATCATGGGTGGTACATCAACCCTCGGGCAGTATGGTGCGTGCAAATTCAACTTGGTTCCTTGGTCAAATGTTCACAAATTTCATAGCCACCCAGCTTGCTAGGCTCTCTGGATTTTCCCCTCTCATCACTACAGCCTCATTTCACAATACTGAACTGCTTTCCTCGCTCGGTGCTACCCATGTGCTTGATCGCAAGCTCTCGACCGCTGCGTTGAAAGACGCGATTGCCAAGATCACATCAACACCTATTGCTTTGGCTTTTGACGCCATCTCTCTTCCTGACACACAGCAAACCGCCCATGACATCATTACTGCTGGAGGAACGGTCATCACAGTGAGAGCACCTCAGGTGGATAACAAAAGCGAGGACAAAGTAGTCCAGCAAGTGGTTGGCATCATACATGCCCCTCCAAACCGTGAGCTGGGCAAGAGCTTCATGCCCGTGTTGACGCAGTGGCTCGCCGATGGAACAATCAAGGTTTGTCACACGTCCATGCACGTATACTGGATACTCACGTAGTCTTGTACATCAGCCGAACACTGTTGAAGTAGTCCCAGGCGGCCTCAATGGCGTCTCCTCTGGTCTGCAGAGACTGAAGAATAACCTTGTCAACGGCAAGAAACTAGTTGTTCGCCCTTGGGAAACTGCGTGAAGTCCGGAGTCCAAGGCAGGAAAGTACAAAGTCTCTCCAACGTGTTTGATATGAAAAGAAATTTGATTTTCCATTTGCGCTCAACAAAGGCGTAAACGCACACGATAATTCCCTGAAATTGGCGCATAAGTTCTCATGTTAGCCTACGAGAAATTGCCTCAAATGTTCTCCTTGAGGTTGATTTCATTTTCCGGAAAAACAGATCAGGACAGCGGCACTTATGTGCACAGAGAAGACTTCCTGGCACATTGCGGGCACGTTGAAGACTGTTGGAAATGTGATAGCAGGGATAAGGTTGGTATCTCAGCTCATTCAATTTGCATCTACGAGATGCGTGAAATATTCACGCGAAGATATTGCACATTCCATCTAACCCCGTAACACCAGGTAAAACACTATTGTTCTCTGGATATCATATCAGCTTATACGACACCGTCCCGGTCGAACCGTCGCGTCAAAGTAAGTTCAGCTATATATATCACTTGGAAATACCCCTTTCTTGCATCCGTCCTCTGCATCCCCAATCCGTTGTGTCAATGCCTCGTTCCTTCAGTAAGGAAGTACGCCAATTCGGTTAGAATGGGAAGAGTGGTTATCGACAATGGAACTGCAAGAGTAGAACATAGCTTGTTGAGTTGGCCAAAAAGGGGATATACTATAAATGAACGCACCGCTTAAGGAGAGCTACTCATCGATATTTTGGTTTCCTAGTGGATGATAGATGCGTAAATACGCCGTGCACATTAATTTTTGCCCCCGCGAGGAGCTCAACATTGCGATCATTTTCTAGTGTTTCCGTTGACACACACCTGTACTCAGCGCACGAGCAAGCTGCATCTCTCCCATTTGTGCGAGCAATTCATTGTATTTGTGACCCTCCTCATGCCTCCCTTCTATGGTGTTTGATATCAACTCATGTCAAAAGCCTTGGAAGGGCGGTAGAGGTAATATGCCAGAGGTTCGTCGTAGTGTAGCCTCATCTACTCGCATCTTAGGTACTAAGTCAGTGAGCTATAGCAAATGCTCAACAGGAGAAGTAAACCAAACAGTGATTAAACAGCACCGAACATTGCTATGACGAACGTCACACAGGACAGCGATTTAGTAACGCACCTGGTTCAGTGAATGGCTACGTGAAAGTGTTGCTGGGGAACTTCAGTCGATCAAAAAGCACAACATTGCGGGAAGAACCTGCTGTGCACTCCGTGCAAAGGAATTTACCCAATTCACATCGAAAGCATCTCCAACCCGCTGTGGTCGATAATCAAGACTATCCACGGCGCGGAACATACGATGGTTGTCTCTAGGAGTGTCGTCGCTTGATTTATCGCCAATAAGAAGTGGAAAAAATCCTCGAGTAGAATGCAAAAGTCGACTACTTGTATAGCAACATTGGGAAATAGGCATTGGGATCATGAGGGGCGTCCGGTGCGAGCTCGGCTCTCCACTTCTTGAAGGGTGTGGGCACCTTCGGGGGGAGCTTTGACTGGTCATACACCTTGCGCACAGATGTGATTGCAGCAATGGCGCCTGTCAAATCCATGATCTCCTGAGTTTTCGTAGGAACGTCCGATTTCTCTCCTTCCTTGACTTCAGAGGGTGCAGGAATTCTGTGATTACATGTCAGTGTGAGCTATCACGCAGAGGGCACTGGAGCGTACGCCTGGGCTTCAGAGTGTTGGATGAGAAGTGACGATAGGTCGGGTTGTGTGACCACAGAAAGTTGGGGATATGCCCTCCGAACATCTCTCTTCCAGTATGGATTCTGAGCGGGGTCGGAAGCTGACAAGAAAAAGGATGAGCAGCGCCTATAGTAAGCCTAAAAGCCCTACCTTTGGTTGCTGGAGCTGAATATTTCTCTGGTCTAGAACCTGGCTGCGGCCATCTGTAGATTCCTGCTATTGGGATACCACTCGAAATTTCGGGATTAATGACCACAGCGTCGCCTGGTAGACGCGTTCACAGATATTTGAAATGCCGAAAAAATGAAACAGCTCACGAAATTTCTTCCAAAAACCTTTCGGATGAACATGGTAGAGAGTCGACTCTGCCGCTTTTTTCGCAGCCGCCATCTGTGAAGCTTTGAAGTTCGAGTTGAACGCTCGGGGAACCGCGGGGTGAGGGAAATGATTACATAATAATATTGTGGTGGTCTCTGGCCCAAATTGGACTTGGCGCTTAAGAACCTGCCAAATGTATGCGACTGTTATCATATCTGACCCTTCACGTCGGTCTGGTGCACTCTGGACGAAGCTGTGGTATGTCAGATGCCCATAATGCCACTATTCAGCCGGTCGAATTTCTGAAGGTTCTGAATCTGAGTCATGCCAAGATTCAGGTGTCGGCTGCCAGTGGCTGGCGATGGTAATTGCACCTCATCACAGTCGCTCTTTCAAACTTTGACTATGCCTGTTCTAGATGTTCCACCTGAAACAAAAGCTTACGCGCGGTGGTGCACAACTCCTGGTTCTGAAACCTAAATGGACGGAAGACAATCATTCCTTGACAATCGTGGTTGTCAACCCAAAATCACGCAATACAATAACGTCATCCTCATCACTTGGCTGGTGAATCGCGTATGCTGGTCTTGGACCTGATATAAGGTGTGCGTGCTGCGTGGATCTTTCAGCTAATTTCTTCCCTCAACTCAGCACGCCATATCATGGGTTTCACACTTGTCCATAGTCATGACGAACCCCTTAGCTCACAACACCCCCCACATGTTGGTCTCGTCGCTCATAGCACTGAGCCTGAGCCTGAGCGTGACCCTCTCGAGCTCCCTACGTTCAATTCTAAAAGTCTCACACAACCCACATCTAATGTCCTCTATCTACCTCCGCTGCTTTCTTCTCTACCTCACGAGCTCGGGGTACTACCTGTTACATTACTAGAACAGCAGCCGATGCTCTCCGAGACCCATCTACCCGATATAGACCCCGTATCGCTGTCGTTACACAAAGCTTTGCACCATTTCCATCCTGCGACACCACATTACGCTGAAGTACCATATGAGGAAGCGTTCAATTGGCCCGAGCTGGAACTTCCTGAAGATGAGGAGCGTGAATGGTATTGTGTTGCCTTTCGCAGCAAGCGAATGCCCGGGAGCGACAGCGGACGTACGTAGCGATCACTCGCTTGTATCCGGACCTTTGATTGACGATCCTCGCACGCACAGCCCTCTATGATGCCGACAAGTTAGCTCACGAAGAGGCTGTGCTTAACGGTGGTGTATGCGCAATAAACGCTTTGTCACAGTGGCTTTCCCTGACCTTACTGTCCCCCTAGCTCATCATGTATTGGTATGGGGTGCCAAATCCACATACGGGCATGAACCTCGCAACGTGCATCTGGCAGTCCCGGAAACATGCGGTGGCTGCTTGCTCACACCCGCACCACATCCGTGCGATGATGCTCGCAGCGAAGTCATACGAAATATATACTCTCGAGCGACATATCCTTCGAAAGTCGCGGGGAGAACGTGGGGTGACCATCGAACCTTTTGACGGTGCTGAAGTTGTTTCATAACTCTCCAATACCGGCTTGCTTTCACTTATATATATACCCTCGCGATGCTTTCGTCGTAAAAAGTTAAGCACTCGATACCAATAGACTTGTAATTTAGAAATTGTAATGTTTACTAATGGAAATGCAGGTGTAGAATGCTCGAATTCGTCAATGGCAATCCGCCCACGACTCAATCGTGTCATGACTGGCATCCGAGCGCTGCGAAAACAATCCCTCAATGTCCTCATGGCCAACGCTGCCCCTCCGTGAAAGCGATCGACGCGATAGCATCCATGAGACAGTCGATTGTTGTTCTTGCCGAGGCGGGTGCGGTGTACGTGTTTGACTGGGTCGATCTTTCCTCGGTGTTGTTGGTTGTGACGCCTGAGTTGGGCGTGGGGGCGTGAAAGGTTCGTGGTTCTCCGTAGTGCGCGTTTTATGTCCTGCGGAAAGCTTTGGCAATACGAGTTTGAATATGGCGGGATGATTTTGTTTCATGTGGGCTTACCGTTGTTGACCCCTGCGTTTCCACCTGCTCGTCTTGTGCATCGACCATGCCAGGGACCGCAGGGGATGATGGTGCTCCCTGGAGCGGTGAAATAAAAATACCCAAAGTGGGAGCGAAGACCACTGTGCCACTTTGACCATTCAACTGAGGTGATGAAGATTGTTGGACGACATGATCAGATACGGGTGAACCACCCAAGGGCCCATCATGGCGGTCGTATTCTACGCGTGCGTCAGGTGCCTCTGGCATTGCTGCTTGATCGTCAGCGACACCACAGAAGGAAGGAGGCGAAAGCGACGAAAGGACGTCGCGGTCTTCAAAGACGGGAGGAACCGTGGCCGAAGCATGCAAGGTATAAGTCTGCTGGTTGGCCAAGCTAGTGTCAGGCAAGGACTTTCTCAAGAATGGCTGCCAGCGGAAATCCAGAGCGTCCAAGTCAAGCTCGTACGAGTCTGGCTCCAGAGGGTCGGACAGTGAAGGATCTTCAGTGGGAGAATCGAAGTACACTGGTCGAGAGACGGTAAATGCCGGTCCGGGGGTAGAAAATATATTCATCAGGTCGTTCTCTAGGAAGTCAGGCGTCGGTGAGTGAGGTCCAAGATCGTTGGAAGCAGCAATAGATGATCCGCGGTATACAGAGGACAAGTAAGTTTCCGGCTCTGGCAAACTTTGACGAATAACAGGTGACGATGTAAAATTGGCATGATTGACACTTGCGTCATTAGACAAAAGGGGTGTGTTCACGTGCGTGGAGATCTTCTGCGGTTCTGACGGGCGGGTTAAGTTACGTGGATGATTTGAAATACCAGCGTGTTCTAGAACGGCGAGTGAGCCAGGAGTGGAAAATGGACGAAACCCGAGGGTATCTTCTCCGAGGTGGAATGTTTTTAACTCCGCGTTGACAATAGTCGGGTCACAAGGCATCGGCCCAGCATCACAGAATACCGGGTTAGCAGACGGTGGGCGTGGAGCTCCACGAGACGTATTATTGTTTTCCCGTACATCAGCATCGAACGGAGAGAAGGCAAACATGCGATCTATACTGGCCTCTTGAGAACATGGTAGAGATGCATCATTTCGAGTGCTGGCCTCCATCACGCCTTCGTGAACCGGAGAAGGAGGAAGCAATTCTCGAAGTGGATGTTCGGGTGCCAAGGCATTGAACGTACTGGCAAGCCACATAGGTAGGGCCTTTGTCGGTACCCGCATTTGAGAACCCTGATGCGGCAATAGCCAAGTTTGGGTTCTCGTGAGCAGAAAGGCGCGCGCATATAGCGTACCTTTCGATATGTTTTGGGTTCGTGTTGCACCAGGGGAGACTTGGCCGGGTTTGAAGCCCTTTTGTTCATCTTCACCACGGAGAAATCCCTTCCAAGTCTACCCTCGTGACTATATGCGTCCACAGGAGTCTTAGGAAGGTCATGACTGCTGACGGAGGAAGATCCGGAAGAGCGCGCACGCTTTCGATGTTTCTTCGGATCAGAACTGTACGAATGTGTAACGTGCACTTGGGCAAGCATACGATCAAAACGAGTATTAAGTCCCAGGGTTTTTCTGCGTTTCAGAGGTCCTGGCAAAACGTTGTATCAAAGCCATCACTTAAATTTGCAATAGTTTCTGGAAACATACCTGCTCCTCCCACTGCGTTGTATATCATTGGTGAAACACTGAGACTCTCGTGAAGTATTCCGGAGAGTGCGGTAATGGGGCATTAATCACCTAGCATGGCTCAAAGAGCCGACGTTCGAAGCACTGTCGGCCTCAGAGCCATCATATTGGAACATTAGTGATCGATGACCTGGCATCGTTGCCCTTCCGCGTTGCGCTGAGACTTGGGATCGGACGCCTGTGAGCAAATAGGATTTGTGATCGTGGCGGTGGTCCAGGCACCCCCACGGGACTACTAATATATTAGCTTACATAATCCTGGACCCGAATCGGCACCTCTGCACATTGCCGGCTCATCTTGGAAGTGTGTAGTGTCACACTCAGATTGGCCGTCTCAGTTGGTATAGTAAGGTGCGAAGATTTCTCTTGTGTTACGTGTCTCTGACGCGCAGAATCCGAGCAACAGGCAACCCGGGGAAGGTCAAGGACAAAGATCCTTAGTGGGAGGCAGTCTGGCAGACATTTACTTCCGGCCACCTTCTTTATCTCAAAGATACCTACGTCAACACTCCAACTGACCTGATTTTCAAGCACATGGATTATAGGAAACCATTCGCTGGAGAAAACGATCCTCCGGTGGATACCTTCAAGCAAGCATTTCATTCCACCGAAACCGAGCTCCCGGTTTACCTGCATACGAGGGAGCCGATTGGTCGACGTAGATGGCAAAAGGGTGCCTTGAGTGCCTTGCTTGCCATATGTCTAGCGACACTTCTGTTACAGGGGTACCAACCTCACCAGCATCTACATACCCAACCCCAAACTCAGACCCGAAACCCTGCCTATCTCATAGCAGCCGAACACGGTGCCGTTGCCTCTGAGAATAAACGGTGTTCAGACATAGGTGTCAACGTCTTGAAGGAAGGAGGAAATGCTGTTGATGCCGCTATCAGCGTCGTTTTTTGTGTTGGTGTGGTCAACATGTTTTCGTGCGTTTTCTGCGTTTTCGGCCAGAGTTCATGTTTTTGACATGAATCAGCTCGGGGATAGGCGGAGGGGGATTCATGACGGTTCGCATTCCACCCTCATCTGAGGGTGGTAGTTCGGAAGTATATACCATTGATTTCAGAGAAACGGCACCGGCCTTGGCAAACAGTACCATGTACAAGGATGATCCAATCGCTGCGCGATGGGGTGGATTAGCAATTGGCGTTCCCGGTGAAATTCGCGGACTCCAGGAAGCATATGGACGATGGGGGACATTGCCGTGGGCTAGACTTGTGCAGCCAAGCGTAGACCTTGCTGCTGAATGGACAGTTGACAAAGAGCTAGCACGACGTCTGCAGGTAAAACGATGGCCATGTGAATCTATGGCGTTGATTGATTCCACGCTTTGTAGATGTTTGAAAGCCGTATGCTTCCCGAAGAAGACTGGACAGCTATTTTCGCTCCAGAAGGACGGATGCTGCTTGAAGGCGAGATTATTAGACGAACGAATTACTCTCGCACGCTTTCTTCTATCGCGTCGGAGGGACCCGATGTCTTCTACAAGGTTTGACGCTCGATGTGCCTCGTGTTGGAGCTACAGTTAAGCTATTGTTGAGCAGGGCCCCATAGCAGACTCCATCATACGCAAGATTCAGGCCGAGGGAGGAATAATGACCAACGAAGATCTAGAGAATTACACTGTGAAGGTGGATCACGCTCTTCAAGGGACGTATCGTGATAAGAAAGTGTACACTAGCCGCGCGCCTACTTCCGGACCCGTGCTTCTTCATATCCTGAATCTACTGGAACGCTATGATCTCATCGGTGAAGGTCGAACTGGCTTAAACATTCACCGCTTCATAGAGGCCTTGAAGTGTGAGCGTTTACCCATTTCGTTGAATTGTTTCTTGATGGGCTGACGATATCACGTCAGTCGGTTTTGCAGCTCGGCGAGTGCTTCTTTGCAAGTTTCTTACAACCAGTCTCACATCACACTAGCACAAGGATTGGTGACTTGCCATATGTTAAAAACGGAACGGCTCGTGTCGCCGAAATATCCACAAAATCGTTTGCAGATGCTATAGCAGTAAACATCACTGATGTACGATTTTCTGTTCATTGTTGCTTTGCTTTTTCTGGATGACGTTCTAGGATCGCACGCATCCCCCCGAATACTATAATCCAGAGTTTGACGTCAAGATCGATCATGGAACTGTACGCGATGTATTTATTGTCCATGTAGAACGCTAATCAAGGTCATTGTGTTCCCAGAGTCATACATCTGTGCTCGACAAGGACGGCATGGCCGTGGCATTGACTACCACGGTGAATGTCGTGTTTGGATCCATGGTGCTTGACCCCGAAACTGGTGTTATCCTGAATGACGAGGTGAGTTCTCACGCGTACCCGATAACTTTTTCTGACTGGGAGTAAGATGGACGATTTTGCGGTTCCCGGAAGCCCCAACGGCTTCGGTCTATGGCCCTCACCATGTATGCAGCTCAACTTTATCACATCGTCGCAAAATTAACCTTTTCTCAGATAATTACCCCGAGCCCGGAAAACGTCCCCTATCCTCAACGACACCCACGATCATGGAACACTCAGACGGCTCGTTTTATCTAGCCGTGGGAGGTTCAGGAGGTGGACGAATTTTTGGCGCAGTCCTACAAGTAATGTTAAACCTCGATTGGGGAATGGACGTCAGCGAGGCTATTGAATGCGGCCGAGTCCACGATCAGCTTTACCCACTCGAAGTAGACGCCGATGATGTCGTGCCTGGTCCTTTGATAAACGCTCTTTTAGAACGGGGACATAATATCACAGGCATGTCGTCACCTTTCCGAGAAACTATTTTTCTGACCCACGCAATGTCTTAGTGTCAGATATTAACCGCATTGCTGCTGTCGTTCAAGCGGTGGTTCAAAAAGATGGCAAGATATTTGGTACGTTTGACGTCAAATGATGTGATGGGGAGGTGATTGACGATGTGATACAGCGGCTAGCGACTCGAGGAAGAACGGTATCGCCGCGGGATATTAGCCGCACCCCTCCGCGGTCCTACGTCCGAAGTAGTCTAGTCAGTATCTAAGTAGTAAGTAAATCGTACGTAGCCGAATGTATGCCATGTCTCTCGAAACGTGAGATCAAGTACAAGTTTATTTGGCATCACCCTTAGAATTAAACAAACCAAAACAAGCCCACACTGATCCTGACACGTCTGTCAAGGTGCATTGCATAGTTGACAGAAGCACATTAGATTCCAAAGTTTGAAATGAACGACCCAGACTGGGACCTCATTTCTTCATATGCAGGCCTTCTGTGCTTAGCTTCCATCTCCATCTTCGCCGGAGCACACGGTTCACTTCCAGTGCGTAGTAGCCATGCCCTCGGACTGGACCACTAATGCCTAAAGGAAACTCACGCGTTTCCAGACCCTGAAGAAGTCTGTAAAAGGGACGTCGAAAGGCTCTGTAGTGCAAGATGATGATGAAGATGAGGATGATGAGATACCAGACCGGCTTTCATCTGCAGATGCGTGGCTTTTCCCGGTTGTGAGTTCCCTCCTTGTGATGTACATAATTGAGTCGCTTAGCAGTACCAGGCTGGCTCAGTAGCGCTATTTGGGATGTACGCCTTAATGAAGTATTTTGGAAAAGAATGGATAAATTGGTTGCTCGCATGGTACTTTTCGATCGCAGGCGTAGGCAGTGTGTGGAAGGTAAGTTCGTGCTTTTTTGTCATGCGTTCGCGTGTTTTCATTTTTTTGGGATAGTCTGCTGCGTCGCTTATGAGATTTGTGGTGGGCGATGAGCGATGGAAGAAGTTTGATCGGAATAGAGTGTTGATTCTAAAGGGTCCACGGGGTTTGTGCTTTTTGTCACCGTGCTTTTGGACGTGCTTTAATTTGGGCGGCAGAATTGCTTTCGGTTTCGTTGCGCACGCCGACGATCGCGCTGTTGCCGCTCGCTTTGATACCCTCTGTGCTATTCAACAGATCGGAAGCGAGCCGCAAATCCGCTCTCATCGTGGATATACTGGCACTCTCGTTTTCGCATAATGCCATTTCTCTCCTTAAATTAGATTCGTTCAAGACGGGATGCATCCTTCTATCTGGACTGTTCTTTTACGACGTATACTGGATGTTTGGTACTGATGTTGTGAGTGGCTTAGTTCGGGTTCTTCCAATACGCCGGTGACGCGTCCTAGATGCTCACAGTAGCCACGTCTTTGGACGTGCCCATCAAACTGCTCTGGCCCAAATCGCTGTCGTTTGCCAGCGAGCGAGGGTACACACTGCTCGGGCTAGGGGACATTGTCATCCCTGGTACATTTGTTGCCTTGGCACTACGTTATGACCACGCACGTGGGGGAGGGAAAGGCACATTTGGGAAGCCATACTTTTATGCGACCCTAGCTGCGTATTTCGCTGGCCTCGTCACTACAATGACAGTGATGCACGTGTTCGGCAAAGGCCAGCCCGCTTTACTTTATTTGAGGTGAGATTCGGTTTTGTGCGCTCTAAAGGCTAGTGGTAATTGTTCTCGTCGCGCGTTAGCCCCGCTTGTATGGCGTCCTTCCTCGGGATAGCGTGTATTAGAGGCGAATTAGGTGATGCCTGGAAATGGATCGATGATCCTGAGAGCGAGAAGACTGTCGAGACCCCCGGAGAAACTGTATCGGAGGATGGGAGCGGTGGCGGTCACGGGAGTGGTGAGACGGGAGAAAGTGTGGAGCATGATGATGGAGGGGCGAAGAGGAAGAGGAAGAAGCGGGTGCAATGATTATCAGATTAAGGATGGAAGATACTAATACCCTGAGATGGTGGTTCCTCGGGGAATCACAGTGATGTTTGAATGTGATATCATGTGGGTAAATGTGCCTTTGGGGGAGTAGGATGGCGAATCAAGTAGAGTAGAAAGAGTCGTTGACGGTGCGAGGTCGTCACACGGACGCCTGTTTGAGTTTGGTTTTACTTCCCTGCCATGTGGTTAATTTAAATTTGGAGTGTGTTGAATGTATAGACTTGGCTTGATGGTGGCGCGGCGTCCAGGTTGAAGCGAGCTTGTATGACTTTCCTGAGACTGAGTTGTAGAGTTGAAATTTCGCACGGGGTAATGACGTGTAGATCAATGAAGGAAGGACCGGGCCGAAGTTTAGGTGATTGGATCAAAGCCGGACAGGGCGGTGTGATGACGGGGCTAGACCTGGGCGGGTCATGAGGAGGCTCGGAGAGAGTTAAACGATCTGCGTCAGGTGTGACAATATTGTCGAAATTGAACAATGTGGTCCTGCAGACATCCTTCCTACTATTGTGGGGATTATGTGGATGGATAAAATTAGTCGATGGAAGATCCGACCGGCTTGGCAGTAGAAGACTGTGTGAGAGAAATAGTGACGGCTTGTAGACCAAAATAAGATGGCTAGATCTGATGTTACATTCCGAGTACTGGGATCGTCGAAAGACGTGAATCAAGGGTGGTATAGTAATAATGAAACTCGTAACTGGGAATCCGTGAGGCCGTGTCCATGCGTTGCGCCACCGAACTGACAAGTACCCCAGACACTCATCAGACATGTGAATTTTATATGGGCAGAGGGGATAGTATGTTATAATTAAATGGGTGTCAGGGGTATTAACCAAGTTACAAGTTAGAAGTCGTACCTTGTCCCTATGCTAAAGCCCTCCTTGACTCTTTCTCTTAACCGGTCACAATTTATGTTCGATTAACCAAACCATGCCTCCTTCATCAACTTCCTCATCATCAGCTGGAGTAACCTTTGAAGATAATAAAAATATCCTCACTCCTTGGCCGATATCCGAACGTCCGACCCTCAATACCTCTTTCTCAATCCAATCCTCCGAACCTGCTAGCTCACATTCTTCATCACATCATTCTTCACCCTGGTCTCATCATCCAAATTCCTCTACCTCTCCTTACATGCTCAATTCTCATCAAGATGATCCAGTTCACCATATTTCACCAAACGAGTGGAACTCTTTATTTTCAGCTCCACTTAATCCGACAGTCTTTGCAACTTTGGCTGCTAATGGCGTATTTCAAGTACCCAGACAAGATCATTCAACGAGAAATCATCCTCAGTATACTGAACATCCTTCATCATGGTCACATGCTCCAACTTCCATCTCATCCACTTCCGGACATCACCCTCACAGACCATCCCTAACCAGGGCCCACTCTTCCACCGCATCCCACTCCGCGGAACAGGGCATGTCTCCCATAAACGACCATCCTACTCATTTGCCACGTCCACCCCATGCCCATGACAGCGTGCACTCTCGCCATTCAAATCCTCGTCGTATAATCGTGAGCATTTCCTTCTTTTCCGCAGCATATCCCTAATCCTATTCACAGAACAACGATGCCGCCCACTTGAACGTCAATCTATCCAGACGTCCCGATGGAGGCACATCTTCATTTCCATCAGCTGTCCATACAGACCTCCTATCTCCCTCGGCCACAAATTATTCTATTTTCGACCATCCTGTCGAGCGCTCTAACATTGGTTTACCACCGTCGCTATGGATGTCTCCCGCATCTACATCCCCTTCAACTCCATTGTATCCACCCCTGACTCAGCTCACAATACCCTCACATCCCGAGCCATCCCCGCTATCTTCCAATAAACCTTCCTCCCCCTCAGATTCATTGACTATCGAGTCAAAATCTGCAATCTTTAGCGACATTTTCTCTGATGACCTCTTTGGTTCCCCAAATCCAGACCACGCTCAGAGCACATTCACATCTCCTAGACTGTCCGGCTCCCCTGACCTTGAGTCAACGCCACCCTATGACGAGAACGACCCAGAAAAACTCGCAAAGCAAGATCCTCTTGCAACACAAGTCTGGAGGATGTACGCAAGGCAAAAGGCAAATTTACCTCATGCGCAGAGAATGGAGAACATCACTTGGAGAATGATGGCCCTCGCGTTGAAGAAGAAGAAAGAGGAAGAGGATGCGGCAAATGCCACGTCAAAGATAGATATCAAATCAGAAGCCGCCCCCACTCCTATCCCTGACCTCGACGAGGGAAGAGGCCGTAGAATTGACAAGGGTAAAGCAAAGGTCCAGGTCGTCGGTTTTGACGGCACGAATCAAGATGGCGTAGAAGATGACGAGTCAGTTCTCATCTATTACGTGATGCCTGACATCCTTTTAACGCTCATCTAGTGTCGTAGCCATGGACTGGCGTGCCATGAGCAGATCACGCTCTCGCATATCAATGGACTGGAGACCTCAAAGTCGTTCCCGTTCAAGGCCACCCCAGTCCGCAGCCGTCTTTGATCATCACGGTATGATCTCTGTTCAATCTGATTCCCGGTATCATTTCCCTTCCATGAGCCACCCAACCACAAACGGCGACAAGGACAGACGGAATAGTTATTCAACCAGGGAATCACATCTTGAAGGCCTCGCATCGTCGCCCAGCATCCCGATACCTGGTGCGTCCGCTCATCGTCCTTATCCGGGGTCTTCTTCGGCACCCCGCTCAGGTCTTTCTGGTACCCTCCCAGCCGTTTATGAAAACCAAGTCGACAACGATCCACTCTCATTCACTCACGGACTCCACCACGACCAACAACTCGGTCAGCTCAACCACTCCCTGTCTGCGCTTAATACCCCCGCTTTCCACCCGTCCTCGCTCCCCTCTTTCGGTTTCCACGGAGGTTCGAAACTGCTGCCAGATCAGTCACCCAAAGCACGTGCATTCCCCAGGCACGTGCGAAAAACGAGCTTCGATCATACCGTGAAGCGGGAGGGTTTATTCACCGGTGTCAGCGGCAGACACCAGGTCAATGGCAAGCCCTTGTCGCCCGATAGTCTTATTGGGCAGAAACGGAGAGCAGAAGCACCTCACGCAGAGAGCATGCTGCGTGCAGATCCCTCCAATGTAGACGGCAATCCCCGCACCACTCAGGAGCCAGATCAGTACGTGAGCACCAGTCCCTTCCCTTCCACCCCTTTCAACTTCTGCTTCCCGCGGGACTACGGGATGTTTGATATGCATGGTGGCTCACATAACGAATTCTCGCATATGCTCCACTCCACGGACGATTCTCATTCGTCATTCCATGATTCTGTTTCACATCCTTTGGGTGGTTCTGCATACGGGCCTTCTTCGGGCCTCCATGAGGGTCTATCCGCTGCGGCTGCGGCTGCAAGTGCAGCGATGGCCGAAGGATATCGTAATCTAAGTGCCGCTGCCAACTTCCAGTCAGACGACTACAGCCATCTACTCGGACTTCCATTCGGAAACCTGGACGCTAGCGTCAATCTAGCACAGGGCCCATATACGGTTGATCCCACACAGATCCTTCCAGTGGAGCATGGCGACGGGGTCTTACAGAGCTACCATGCTAGTCCATCAAGCGACGGATGGGGCAATGGCCTTACGTCCAGCTCGACCGCATCCCCTGAACCATATATAACCTCGAGCGCTTCTTCACCTCCATCTGTCGAAGGTACTACCACGGGGTCCAACCCACGGAATCAGATGCGGAAGATCGCTTCGACGAAACGCATAGCCCAGGACATTCGGCGCAAGAAATCAGTTTCAGCACTGAGCCCCACAATCGGCACTGTATCTCGATCAGCGACGAGTACACCTGATCTGAGTACGAGGGACGGGAGCGCTGGGAATACGAAAGGCAGTAGTGATGATGGGGACCAGCCACCCACTTCATGTACGAATTGCCAGACGACGAATACGCCGCTTTGGAGACGCGATCCCGAGGGACAGCCTTTGTGTGCGTGAATTTTGCCGGCAATTATGGGGTTGAACTAACTGACGGCGTTTACATGCAGGCAATGCATGCGGGCTATTTTTTGTGAGTTGTTTGACGTACATTCTACTGCGTTTTGATGCTGATTCCGAGAAAAGAAACTGCATGGTGTCGTTCGTCCGCTGTCGTTGAAGACGGATGTGATTAAGAAACGGTTTGTAATGAATATTATCCTTTGGGACGCTTTCTGACGTTGTCATGGTAGAAACCGGGCTTCTGGTGCGCCCAATGGAAATGCACGCAAAGGGGGTGCTGGATTGCCCAAACTTGCATCGTCAAATACTCGACCGCGCGCGTCGACGACTAGTACGGTGCCGACTGGATTTGCAAATGGTCGAGGAACGACGAATGCAAATAGAGTGGGGCTGGGCCCATCTCCCCCCGTGGCGATGAAGAGACAACGTCGTACGTCTGCAAGTGGGCAGATGCCTAGTGTTTCTACGTCTCGAAGGGAGCTTGGTCTGTGAGTGTGTGTCAGGTAGTTTGATCTGTATGATGAGTCGTGGTCCGCATGATATTTTTTTTGTTCTTGCCCGGATCGCAGGATGGTACGTAGATATTCAATTGACCATAGATTATTTTCCATCTGCTTCCCCATCTCTTTGCTTGCTTGCATACGTGTACACATGTTCTGTCTTGCATGATTATGTCTTCCATGGTTATTCCCAAAGAGGTGTAGAATACGACGACCCTAGCAGCTACCCTAGGTTGGACACGCGAAATTGTATCAGAAATTGCGCTTCCATTCCGCTTGGCGAAAGTTCCAATTGTTTTGTGTCTTTCAAGTGTTCTTTCTTTTTTTCGCTGCAATTGACGCTCTGTACGATTAAATTTCATTCAACCTGGCTTCATTCTTCAAATATGCGCCTCCCCCTCCACAGCGCTCCCCGATGCCGCCGCCCTCTTTCTCAAATGGCCAGCTCCAACCTGTAGCTTCAAAAGACTTTAAAGAATCCCGCCGCGTCTCTCGCACTGACCTCGATTTCGAACAGGCACTTCGTCACGGTGGTACGGTCAAGCTCAAAGAAAGTCTTGATATCAGTACATTAGGCGTGTCTGACAGCCCTGCTTCTCCTGCACATGAATTCACTTCGCCTTCACCCCCGTCGAGAGAATTGCGCACACCACTGGGACGCGCTCACGCCCACACTCACCCTTACGCCTACGCCCCGCCCACGCCCGTCGTCGTCCCACCAACACCATCCCCAGCCCCAGCCCCCGACCCCTCCCCTGCTCGATGCTCCTCCGCGACCTCCTCCAACGACGTCTTCTACGATGCCGAAGACCCCGACATGCAAACCAGACGTCGGTCCTTGTATCGCGCCCCAGGCACCTCCAGCAGTCCCGACCTTGCAACTCTCGTGCGCAAAGCGAAAGAAAGGGGAGGGGTGATTCCGCAGGTTGAGAAACGCGCGGAGCCGCCGTTGCCTGCTGGTGCGTCGAAACATGGCCATGGACATGGACATGGGGCTTCGCGTCCTAGATCGTCGACTTCTGCTTCGCCTCCTGTTGCTTCTTCTTCTTCTTCTGCTTCGCCCGGTGCTCCGACGGTGAATGTTACGCCTGCTGTGTTGAGGTCTTCGAAGATGGGTGTGAGGGAGTTGTCGAGTCCGAGTTCGGAGTGGGTTATGGCGAGCCCGAGGGCGAGGAGTGGGAGTACGAAGGATAGGGATAGGGATAGGGATAGGGAAAGTGACAAGGTGTGTTTTCTTTCTTTTGTGCGGTGACTGGGAGTTGAATATGCCCTTCAGGCACCCATGAAATCTGTAAGAGCCAAGACAAGCGCATTTCTGGGCAAGATGCTGGGTCAGTCGACTACTCGGGACCGGTCGGTGAGTGTGGTTGTCTTAGAATCGACGTGGGCTCATGACATGTGTTTTTCAGCGGACGGACGCTTCTTCGACTGGGTCTCCGCGCTCACGACCGACTTTTGTGGATAGTTTTGCACCTCCTGTGCCCCCGCTACCGGACGACACTCCTCGCCCCTCTGCTGTATCCCCCACCTCTGAATCCTTCACGAGTTCCTATTCAAGTTCTACAGATCACAAACCCCTACCTCCCATCCATCACGGTTCGGTCACTGATGAATCAGACGATCGGTCTCTTGTCGTAATTGATCCCATGTCGCGAACACGAGATCGAACGCTGGCTCCTGAAACACGTCTTAACGACAAACTAAGGCCAGAGGGCAGGTTCATTAGTCATAACAAGCGAAGGAGCATGAGCGTGAGCGACATTGATTTACAAAAACTAAACGTTCCTTCTTCGCCTGCACCCACGCTTCCTCCCAAGGACTCTGCTCCATCAACCGAGTTCCAGGCTTGGGAGTCTTCGTCATCGCTCCACGGGATCCTTAGTGAATTGCAGGGTGTTTTGTCTCAGCTTGATCCAGAGTCTGGTTCATCGCTGGACTTGCGTGACCCTTCTACGCCTGCGAGGCGTGCTGCGTATACCCGGTTGAAGACTCAGACTCCTGAATATAGGTATCAAAGGGATACTTCAAAATCTCCGGTGTTACCCCCCGTTCCGCCGTCTACCCCGATCGTGACGGTGCCTACTCAGTCGTCATTAGACTTTGATACGGAAATAGTATCACCCTCGAGAGGCGGGCTTTCAGTTGAGCCTATCGTCCCGCCGCGAACGTCATCGCTTCAAACACCTTCGCGGTCACGTTCCGGATCCGGAGCGCTTGGTTCGCCGAGGGTAAACGCACTCAGGCACGGGTCGAGCCCTTTGTCAGGACCTTTGAGGAGTAAAGGATACGGCAACCAAATGCAGTCTTCGTACCGCGACATGTCTCGTCTTCGTGTCCAACATCACTCTGTAGCTTCGAGCTCTGAGCCATCTTTGATCCCTGTGATTGATGATGTTCGGCCATGTGAGTTTTGGTTATTTTTGGGCTTGGGCGATTGTTGATGACGTGCTTGTTTTTTTTTGGTGTTACTGTTAGCTTCTTCTCAAGCTCATCAGGAGTTGACGACTAATGATCTTATTCTCAACCGATATGCGTCTAATCCTTCGTTTGCACGGACGGAGGAGACGGATGAAGAGAGGGGGAGGGATTTGGCGGCGAAGTGCTATACCGAGGATGAGGATTTCTTGGCAAAGGAGAAGATTGCGGAGTGGTTGGGTGGACAGTGAGCATTTCGTTTTTCATTTCATGCGAACTTATGTCGAGACCGTGCTGCGACAGTGGGCAAGTCAACAAGATAGCACTCCATTATTACATGGGTTACTTTGACTTTACGGGGCTGAGGCTCGATGTTGCGTTTAGGTGGGTAGTGATTGAAAAGCCAGTGTGCCATACTGATTGCCCCTTCTAGACGTCTTTGCGCAAAACTGTACCTCAAGGCTGAGACTCAACAAGTGGACCGTATTCTTGAGGAGTTGAGTCGGCGCTTCTGGGACTGCAACCCTACGCGTCTATACGGCAGTGCTAGTGCGTCATCAACAGTCATGTTGCTCATCATTTGTGCTAACGTACTTTTCAGGCGTCGTCCATGCTGTCGTCTATTCTATTCTCCTCTTGAACACCGACCTCCACATTGCAGACATTGCAAACAGGATGTCGAGGAGCCAATTCGTCCGCAACACGATGACAGCCATTCAGATGCAGACTCACCCGAGTCGCTACGGCTCGAGTCCGGACCTGAACGACGACAATAGCAGTGGGCCGCTGACGGCATCTGATGGTACTGAGACGCAGTCCCTCGCTCGGTCAAAGAGAAGTGGTAGTATAGCAAGCTGGAATAGTATCTCCAAAGATGCATTCTTTAATTCCGCTGCGGCTTCTTCTGCTGTTTCGACAGCGCAGCCGTCGCTGAATAGCAGCACCACATCTTTCCACCACTCTTCTGGTCCAGAGTCGAAACCTCCGAGTACTGCTCCCTCGACGGTTGTGTTTGATAGGAACTGGGAGATGGACATGGAAAGCTTGCTCAAGGTAGTTGTTGAGTGATTTTGGACAAGCCCTGCTGGTACTCACGGATTCTCTTAGGAAATGTATGCTGCAGTCAAGAGTCAGCAGATCTTGCAACCCCTAGGAACCACGTTCATGGCTCGTGTTTCGACGTCATCTCTCACTCCAGGGGCAGCCCATCTCATCGGTCGCAATCGCAGCTACCGTGGACCGTCGGACCGGCTCACGACACTCAAACGGGGTAGTATCCGGGGTATTCAGTCGATACTCACGCCGAGCTACAGTCCTTATAGCAGCAACAGCAGCATCGATGGACGTGTCAGCCCGTCGCCGAGTTTTGCGACGTCGGCTCGGGATGTAGGCTTCTGTGATATTTGATTGTAGGGAATACTGACATTCGCGTAGGGCATGCACAGCTCCATGGGTAATTTCCTCACCCCTTCTCTCGGTTTCGCGTCCAACTTGTCCCATACGATCATTAGGGAAGCACAGGAGGATGAGGACCGAAGCTACCGCAGCCATGAATCTAGCTCGACGACTATTAGCATCACCGATGAAGAACTTGCGCTTCTCGGGGCACCATGGGCAAAGGAGGGGATGCTTTGTCGGAAGCAGTACTGGGAGTCTGCGGGGAAGAGAGCAAAGTCTAAGAACTGGATGGACGTGTTTGTGGTCATTCAAAGAGGGGAGCTGAATATGTTCACATTTGGAGATCATGGTGGAGGTTTCTCTGCCGTCGTTGGTGGCGGGAATTGGCTGGTGTGCAATTGTTTTTTTTTCGGTTTCTGATGGTTTGGTTGACTGTCTCGTAGGAAAACGCCCAGTCCGTTGGCGCAGTACAACTGTCTCATTCGCTGGCACACTCCTTGCCTCCACCAGGCTACAACAGGCAACGTCCCCACTGCATGGTTCTAACCCTGTCCAACGGCGGTGTATTCTTCTTCCAAGCCGGTACAGAGGAGCTCGTCAACGAGTGGGTCTCGACGTGCAACTACTGGGCAGCACGTACCAGCAAAGAGCCATTAGCAGGTGGCGTTTCAAACATGGAGTACGGCTGGAATCGTGTCACCGATGCGCTGCAGGGACGCTCTGTATCGGACGAACAGAAGCCCGAACACGATCGTGCCGATTCGATGAGCGTGCGGAGCGGTCGCAGTGGCCGAAGCAAGCTCGGGTGGAAAGAGAGCGCTGCTACCGTCCGCGCACATTCGCCGTGGTCGGAGAGATTGTTCATCAATGATTGGAAGCCTCCTATTCCACCCTCAATATCCAGCATTCATGATGAGGAAACCCAACTGGAGGCACTCCAAAAATATGTGCATATGTTGAAGAAGGATCTCAAGCATCATAACGAACTGAGAGAACCGATGGGTGCTCTGGTTTGTCCAGTTGATCTCCCGGCTCGCATCAAGCTGATTTCTATTTTTAGTACGCACCGCGTTCAACGAACGGAGCGAAAGCTCTGAGTAATTGGGAGAAGAAGTCGCAATTCCTGCTCACGGAAATTGTGAAGTACGACTCTTATGTCGAGTCACTGCAATCCGCCATGAATCTGCGTCTGAAGAAGAGAGGCGAAAAGGCGTTGGAACGCGCTCTGGTTGTTGCTGTACCCGACGACAATGACCCCGCGACAGCGTCCGGCAACTGGAGAGGTTACCCAGAGGAGACGATCCCCGAGGACGATGAGCCACCACCGAGTAGAATTCCCAAAATCTCTCCATTCCATCGCAGGGAGATGGCGGAGGAAGGGTAGTAAATATGTTAATTCCTGCTAATATGCGATCGAGCCTTGATTTGATGTAGCTGTGCTTCTAGGAATATTTATGTATGATATTTTCTTCCTTATGACATTACGCTAGGATGATTTGAATATAGTTTTCGAAAACATACCCAAGTGAAAAGAAGTGATGCGAGCAACGAACGCTGGAGGCTGCGAGAGACAATCGAGAGACTACGATAGGCGTTAATAAGGATCGAGCACGATAATGAGAGTAATGATCTCACCTCAGTCTAGTGGGAAAAGACTGAGGTGGAACGACGCAGGTGCGAGGACTATATACTGTCCATGTGTGTGAAGTGATGTAAAAGTAGAGTATGTCATAGTACGGATGCTTCAGCATGGACCGTACTGGCATTCCTGTGAATTTGGTGTTTTACCAGGTAACTAGATTTGCGCACCTTTGCAGCAGATATGAGGGCCTGAAGGCCACTCGCTGAAGCTTCTGGACTCCACTGCGATCCTCCTCGATCTGCGGCATACCACACCGATCCAACATCATGTGCAGGATTTGTCGCATGGCGTACAACGCCCAAATGCTGAAAGCCAAGGAAATGGCTGTACTTGGCGATGCGAGAAATGTCATCGGCATTGTCCAAGTAATACTGGACATGTTTAGTCCAGATACCCTATGGAACCTGTCAGAAAAACTGTATAGAGAACCCTTGAGGACCCCACCTTGAAAACTTGCTGTTTCAGGAAAACAGTCAGGCACGGGTGTAAAAACTTTGCGGAAAAACAGTACCTGATCGCGGTTGCAATTTTCATCATTAGAAACCGCAAAGTCGCAAGATTCTCTCAGTATGCCATTGTCAATAAGTGATCTCATAGTGGCATCCAAGCTGACTTCAGCCTGATCTAACAAGCTTTCGTCGCCCGTTGCAGCATAAAGAGCTGCAAGACCTGAAGCGACAACAGCCTTTCGTTCAAGCAATTCGCATCAGTTGCTTGTTGAACGCGGTCGTCAAACATTTGACATACTTGGTTGTAAGTCCAGGTGGTCTAGTTCGTGCTGTGTTTAGCAATGGTTGCTGTATTAGTAATTGGACGCACTGACTTGCCCATTATTCTGGCAAGTCTTCGAGTCAAGGCCATCATTGAACAGTCCACTGGGGCCACGCAATCCGCTTGCGCTTACTGCAAACACCGGTTCATAATCCCGCTTTGAGGAGGGAATATGAATACATACACCAAGTCCATTCCTGTAACACCCTATCAGTGTTTGTTAATAAGAACGACCATGAAATAATCACCTTATTCGCATTTTCAAGGTACGTTTCGTTCTTCGTCCGCAGGTGCCCAGCAGCCGAAGTCAACAAAAACAGTTCATTAGTGATAGCATTCTTATACGTGTGATCAGTCGACCACCACACTAGACAGTCCCACAAGATCAGCTACAGCGAGGATATAACGCGATTGACATTACCTCCACCTCCACAGGTGTCATCCCATTCCCTTGCAACTATGTCATAGATTTTGGCTGCACTAGACTGCGATCCGACGTCAGGAATGCATCATAAAAAGGAAAGGGAAATTTTACAATATATGCACTGCTATCTTGACCTCTCGCAGACTTGTAGTCCGCGATTTTCCATAGCGCTAAAATGACCCACTTTGAAAGTGCTCAGCTGGCGTTTCTTGCGCGTCGGACAAAGATCTTACCTGAGCATCATCGTTACTACCATACAGGAATTTCGCCCAGTCTGTGTCTGGATCCAAGGCGGCCTTGCCTATGTACGAGGTATCTGCGACATTTTCATAGTCGTTAAAACCAGTTGCCAGCATCAAGTTGTGCAGGTCCTCCAATGAATTCTTAAAAATAAATCGAACGTTGGTGCAAGGTCAAGATGTTGCAGCTGGCACCATACCGCATCAGTCCATAACTCGCCCTGGTTGTATGTGCCTGTGAAAACATTGTAGTAATGCAGTTGCAATTGGTTTGCGACAAGCTAGACAGAATAACGGATGCGGCGCTTTCAACAGCGTGATCAACAACATGGTCAGCAAAAACACGTACTGTCGCATCGCTCAAGGTCGTAGTGCACTGCCGCCTGAAAACTGAGGCTGCTCCAGTCTCGAGCAAGGTAGCGATCACAGCGAGGAAGGTCGATAATCTGAACAACATCAGAGCCACGGGGAAATGCGACAAGTGCTCAGCATCCGAGCAATTTATATTGAATCGCAATGTCCGTACGTACAGTTTTAGCCAACCATTTATTCATACCGTAAGTCGGTTGATTATCCGGCTGCAATGAGATATGTACGTAGTGATGATGTGCATGTCTTCTTCAGCCTCACCGATCCGAAGGTTCCTGAGTGTGGCGCAATTGGTGATAAAATCTATAAGCTAGATAGTCCTTCGGGCAGATTCGAGCTCAGTGGTTTGGAGTCTGGTCTCCGAGTCGAAGCCTTCGAAGCTAGCCTGAGTTACATAAGTGCGTGAAGTTAGTACTAACAGTTGCTTACTAATCAAATTCAAGACGCAATTAGGAAATGGTGTTCTTTTGAAACTTTGCCAGAACGAATCAGCAGAAATATCATGCATATGGGCTGCATGCCACCAAGTTACTGGGACATAACAGCGGTGACCCGGAGGTGGCGCAGCCACTGCAGGTCCTTCAATTCCAACGCCAGCCCCATGACTCGGAGTCAATTCCTGGTTCGGGTAATGTAGACATCTCAGCCAGTTTCGTTGGTTATGAGTCATGTCCAGCAACTCACCTCTGTCTGACTCACCTGGACTGGTAATGCCCGCACAAGCACCCAAATTCTTCTGCGGTCAGAGCATCAATGGCACATAAAGAGAGTCTGATCGGTACGTACACTCTTTGATTGCAATACGCATACCGAGAATATCCTACAGGTTCTTAAAGGTCTTGATCATGGTTCCGACGATCAACGGATGTCCATGGCTACTTGGATTTTCCGCCTTTCTTTTCCGTAACTTCCCGAGGCAACGTCTCTTCAGAATCTGTTGGATGACGACTCTCACTGGTTGATGATGTCATTCTGGACGTATGAGTTAACATTATCAATTGGATGCCGAGCAGTCCATTTTGGCCGCATCCACCATCAAGAGTCTGGAGCAAGTCTGGAGCGTTTGCATTGTGCAATTGTTGTGCAACTTGATTATGTCAACCGCAGTATCCGTCTTGATCGGTCTTTGGCCGAACTTCAACTTCAAAACCGATTGATTTTCAGGCTTTTTCTTTGACACAGAGACGCCGATTGAGGAGACGGTAAGAGTCGGCACCATGCTCGGCTTCGGTGCCTGTTGGCTGACCTGCATCATAGTTAGATGCAAGCCCTGCAATATCTCGTGCAGGTTGGCTATGTACATTACATTGACATGTCTTCATGCTGGACTTCGACGCGTATTCATTGTGACCTATCAAACAACCAACACATCGCAGGTTAGACCTTTGTCATGCGAGGTAAGTTGGGCTTTTTATCAAAATATAACCTCAAAGAGTATATCTCATCATATATGATACAGTAATTCCAGTCGATTCTCTGAGGCGATAGCTGGATCGTGCTTCATCCCCCCGCGCTTGCGCTTGCCGCTCCGTCTCTGCACTAGCTTGGCGTGCCCTTCGCGAGCCGTTCCCTCTCTTGTCTCCGTTTTCGAACCCATCCCATACCACTCCCGTCATCGTCATCACCTCCAACTAAATCAGGTATACCCACACCACCTTTCCTTTCCCTCGCAGCACCATCACGGCCGCCACCGACGACGACCTTTTGGGCGTGACCGTGGGCAAGCAGGGCAGGGGTACCTTTGGCGAGGACGGAATATTTTGAATCGTTGCTGCAGCTGATGCTGCCCATGCCACCGTACCCCCATTCCACGAACTCAGGTTCATCGCGCACGTTAGCAAAGGGGTTTGCGAGCGCTTTGCGCTTTGAGCCGTAGACGCGTCCGTTGAGCATGTGCGTGCCATGTGTGGGGACAGTCGGGCGCGTTGGGGGGGAGGTGGGGTGGGGTATTGGATGGCGGCCACCACCTGAGCCGAGAGTGTTAGTGGAAGAACGGGGTTTGGAGCTAGATATGGAGGAGAAACGTCTTGGTTGGCTCTTAGACAGGATGGGAACGGAAGTGGATCGGGAGAGTAGGGCACCGAGGTCATATGGTTGAGGATGTTGGGAAAGCGAGTCAGTCGAAGGGCGTTTAAATAAGTTGAATTGGCGGGAAAAGGAAGGTTTTGGTTTTGGTTTGGAGGGTGTGCGTTGGACATAGACGGTATTGGAGGGCAGTGGAGAGAGCATGTACGAGTGGGTGTCCATGATTGCATCTGACTTGACAAGCTGAGTGGTGGGTTCAGGGAGGGGTGCGAATCTAATACGACGCATTGGGACACTGGCGGTGTGGGCCCTGTGCGAGCACGAGCTACTTGCTCTCGAGGTTGACGAGAGTGGGGCGGTGGTGGCAGGTGACTGCGTAGGTGAGTTCAAGGTGCGTAAAACAGCGACCATGCTGGGTGGGGGTAAGGTGTGGTGAAAGGAAATTAATACTGGGAGTTGAATAATTTAAATAAGAACGAATAACGAATTGGCTCCTCAATGAACGGACGGACCATCAGTACTTGGTCCCTGGGGTACATCGTATTGCTACATGAGATCCGAATTGAGATCTGGACCATGATCAGATGATCTCTTGCCAGTATTTGCTTCCGCTATCGGTAGGCTATCGTTGTAAGCCTATAGCACAATTCCTCCATGTCCTGATTAATGTCCTGCAACTCATCAAGGCCCCGTTATCAGACATGTACTATACCTCATTAGTGAGAACCACTTCTCTCTCCCCGTCGAGCTCTCCTTCGACGTGCAGAATACATTCGACCTAGTGATAAAAGTTCACCCACCTTTGCAACGTGGACAACGATATCATATCTCTTCTCGACCGGTACCCGGAGCAAATTTGTATTAACACTTCCTCCCAGGTATACGGCTCAGCACCGGTGCTAACACCTAAGGCACCCGTCTACAATACTTCAAGTTCCTTCCTTCCACATCCACCTCAATCACCACAGAAGCATCTCCGCTGCGTGAGATCGTCATCACTATAATTGTTCCACGCCTAGTACTTTCTCGAACTGTCTAGAATTTCACCTATGTGCAAACGACGCCTCCCACAAGAATCACTGCGCTTCCCAAAAGCACAATTTTCCTCTCAATGGTACACGAACTTCCTAAGGTATGTAGATGTCCAGTGAACCCTGAGGCCTGAGACCTCCCTAGAACTTTGTCACGCCCTCACGGTTCGAGCCCTTGCTAAAGTGGCGTGAAGCATCTGCCAAACTCCTGATCTATCACATCGTATATTGTAATGTCCGTTTCTTCTCTTCCATTTTTCTCTGACCTAAAATATGACTCCGCGCTGGCCGATATTACTTGGACGGAATAGTATACAGCCTGAGTCAAAGATAGCCTCAATTTTGTACATGATGAGGCGATGCCATCAAACGCGAGCTAGTCGTCTCTTGATTCATGTTTGCTCTTGGCCCATGTGCTTGGCTATAGCTATTCCATTTCGGTGCCCATCAAAACTGCGCGGCCCTTTTTGTTCATTCCCAAGGCGGGCTTCACGATTTCAAGTTGAACCGTGGATGTAGCCGTTCGGAGGGGACGTCAAGTTTCTTCCCTGCGCTGCCGCATCACTTCAGCACGCTGCATCTGTAGCTTGGCTTCTTTTGCCCTGTCATGCAAAGTTCATTCGATTTCTTGGCAGTGAGTGCTACTACATCCAGTTGGCTTGGTTGATTCGAGCTTTTCAGCGACGTCATCGGGCAGATGGAGGGGCTAGTCAACACTAGCATATCAACGTCTGGAGCGCTCAGCCGGGGTCAGGTGTTCAAAGCCACGCCAAGCGAACTCTTCCTATTTCCAGTTGATGACGTTCTGACACTCTGGGCGCAAACATGCAGCTTGGTGCATTAATTTCAAGTTGACATCGTGCGAGTCGTCGAAGGATACTCCGTGTAGCCTTCCAGAACCTTTATGTCAACCAATACCATCCTCACCACCGCTGCGACACTTTAGCCTACTAGCAGTCATCACATCATACGCGTCACGTTCGTGGCTTTGTCAAAGCAAAGCTCTCAAATAGTGTCCAACTTCAGTACGGCGGCTCCCTTATCTGCGCAATGATTCACCAATATCCGGGGTGCAGGTCAAGTGTTTGGCATACCAAATCCATTCTCGCCTTTTCGAATGAAAGTGTTCCTTGACCTACTTGCCACCATCATAACATTGATACAAGCTCACAGACTGGCGCGCTTCACCATTCGAAAGAATACCCCACTGGCAGCGTTTAATTTATCATCATCATTTTTAATTGGTTCTTCAAGTTCTTCAAGTTCTTCTTAGAACTCAGAAACCTGTCTCACTCAAGGCACTGCTCGTTGGTTGCCTTACACTGTATTACACACCCACTTCCTGTCATGGGCGGCTGGTCACGAGCTCGAGTCTAACTTTAACTCGTGACGAAATGTTTCCCGTGAAAGATTTTCTGAGATCTAGGGTTCACGCGTTCTAGAAAAAGGTGCGCGTAATGCGTATATTACAGAGACGAAAAGGAAATAACACTGCTTAAACCCATCAGCATGCCCATCATTCACACCAGATTTACGACATGACATGTTCTTGTCTCCGGGGATAGCCCTCCATCCCTGACAAGTGCGCTTGGGTCTCATCAAACTTTGGATCTCAGAATGTCGATCTGTGGGGCCCCAGAGGCCCGGATGGTAGGCTGAAGCAAGCTGGATCGACAAAGGAACCTTTTTTTGGCCCTCTTGCACTTGAACACACTTTCCATAATGATTAACGAAGATGTACGTTATTAACAACAAGCCCAACTCACTTAGAGCAACCCCCTCCCCCTCCGGGAGGGTCTTTAATCTCGCAGAGCCCCATAAATTGCAACAAAGGCATAGATTCACGCATGGCCGACCCCGATACGAATTACTCGAGCTTGAATGTACTATCAATGGCAACAGTGGTTTCGCTGTCTCCCAAACCTGCCACCAGTCACAAAAATTAGGGAGGACGAACACACCCGTTCTCGTGTCGTTTGTGACGGGAAAAAATGTGGCTAGCCATGCATTGTAGTATTTAAGAGTATGTAAGATTCATTCTGCACTGGGGCGATGTTTTTTTGCCATCATGGATATGTCACACCTTCCGGATGGGTTCTTCGCTGCCCAGCAGCCTCCATGCACCGCCGACCATAACGAGCACCCACTGTGTGGGATCATCACACAGCCGCCGTACCCCACGATAATAAAGGCGAACACATCCGTTGCCTTTCTGATGGAGACTTAGCAAAAGGCAGCAATTGTCATACAAGTGTTTACTAATTTTTTCCCTTCATGTCATTATCGGACTTGGACCCTGGGTTCCACTGCCGGTAGTAACCCGATGCCCCAGAGCAAACCAACTCGGGGATGAGGAGGACCCTGTCCTGTAAGTTATATAGGTTAGAATGAGAACAAACGGCGCCCGATGTTTCAAGGTGAAACACACGAATCAGTAATTCAGGGTCACCTGAGAACACATATACTACCATACCTTGGCAATCCCATTTCAACATGGTCACTGATCAGGGCCTTAATAGTTCAGTGGCAGGTCGGAAAGATCGTCCGGGTGATCAGGTTCGTGACCCAGGGTTGGAAGAGTAGTCACTACGCGTAAGCGTGCAGACAGTAAGATGAGGTGGTCACTGACACTACGCCTGTAGGCGTAGACAGTATCATATAATAAAGATGGGTGGGGGGGTAGCAAGTTATTGTGGGTTGGTGGCCGGTCAGCGGGAGTGCGACATGTCCTGGTGATGTGTTGGAGTAGAATTTGAAATGAGAAGCTCGTGGAATTTTTGAAAAAGTGATTCAAGGCTCGCTCAGGATAGCAGGCTGCACTGAGTTAAGACGAATGTAAATTGAACGAGGCTTTCTATTCCGATGTTCGTACAGATAGTGGTAAAGGATCAAGAAGAGATGAGGTGTCTCGTTGCGGTACGATGGGAATGAATGAATAGCTGAGCGCGTTCGATAAGGATCGTAAGTAAAATGAAAGGAAAATATACGGCGTAGCAGGCTTACACACGGCAAATTGGTGATACTTGTTTTGCAGGACAACTGTAAGGTCAATATTACTGATGAGCCAGAAATGCACAATGCGTTGGCTGTCTTCACTGGTCATGTCAGCTGTCAGCAGATTGGTCCGATGTGGGGAGATAGGAAAATGTAGCATTGATTATTGAAGACAGTGAAAGGTGTGACATTGAGTGAGAAAACTCAAAAAAGCTGACAACTGTTCAACCAGAAAACGAGAACAGAATCTGTAATATCAGAGGGTAGACAACACCTCCACGCAGACAATGATATTTTCCGAATGCGCAGAAGTGAAGATATGAGTTACTTAACTGACGGATCCACTGCTAAAGACCTGATCGATGCTCCGGCAGCGCTCGTCACAAGTCCATCGAACTGTGCCTTTCCAGGAAGGCACATTCGCACCTCAGAGTCGTGGCCTCCAGAGAGCCAGAAGTCTTTCTGTTTTCCGGAGTCAGCTCAGACGAATCCAGGACACATGAAGAACAATGCACGGCAGCGGCGACCGTCGTAATTCCCTCATCAGCTTCATACGCGGTTCCTGGTTCCTGGTCCTCCCCTTCGTCAGTGTGCCATATTCGTACTAGGGTATCCAAGCCTCCCGTATACGCAATCCCAAGGAAAGAAGGTTGAATCGGCGGCTCTCGAGTCTCTGGTCTAAAACTCGCTACTTACTTCCCGTCACGCGAGAACGTGATACATATTTGTCCTTGCTAATGTGTCGAGTTGCTGATCGCCTTCGAAGAGCTTGCCATCGTGGCTAGTCAGGGATTCAAAGTGCAGGGCTGAGGCGCGGGTGTGTCGCGATCATGTGTCTTAATGCCACTATGTTAATTGTCACGGTCACTCAAGTCACACCAATGTAACGGAAAGTCACAGTATCGTCACACAGGCCAGTTTCAAAGTCCAGCGTTTGTGAGTGACACAAACCGTTGTCACCACCAAAAATTTATCTCTTTTGTTTCTTATTAGATCACATCCGTTAAAGCTCGTAGGGCGTTCTAAGAATTTATCATTCCATATGCATGTATTAGTTCGTAGAAAAGTGTTGTTTTGAGCGATGCACGAGATCTGGGGATGCACGAACTGGTGATAGTATAATACATAGCACACGGTAGATACCACCTGTGACTCCCACGTATCCCTTGTAATTAGAGGCGGATGTAGGGTGCCTGGGCGCCTCTGGTTACAGGTAGATAAATCAAAACAGCGCTCGGACGCATAACTTAGGACATGTGCTGATGCATCATGTACACGAACTGGTGGTAACTAATAGTTCCTGTACCCTCTTCTAAAGCAAGAAGATATGGGGTAAAATTTCTCTGTCAGCACGATCATACCAGCCCGCCCAAGGTCCGCCGACCTCATTTGGACTAGTGATGTGCATGGCCCGGCTTCAAGCCGTGGGCCGAGCCAAGCCGGGCCCAATTAGGCCAGGCCAAGCCGGGCCAAAGTGACGGCTTGATCATGGCTTTGGCCCGGCCTGGAATTCTGGAAAGCCAAAGCCGACGGCCTGGGCCACGGCTCTAGGGCTACCCTATGTACTATCAACAACAACAACAACAACGAACTTCCGACATAAAATTTTGTTCTCAAACTTGACTTTCGCCAATACAAAAGTGAGTTTTGCTGTGGCAGATTCAGGCATGCTACCTAATATAGTCCAGATGCTACCAAGGTACATAGCTTCAATTCTCTCGCCTCTTCGTTCATTTTAATTCACGCGCTCAATTGTATCTCTGGACAGAAACTCTACAGCTTCGTGACACAAGATGAGATGCTTCGCCAAATCTTGTCGATGCGCATTATCCTTGGACAGATCTCTCAGCAGACCCGTGAATGCGCCCATTTTATCCAAAATTATCCGGAGACCAAGAGCTTTTGTGAGTCTTACAAGCTGTTACATTTTGCACCGTCTCAAGCTTGCACTAACATTCCACATGTGCTGTTGGTCTGCTGACATCTGCGCAGACAAACTAATGACTAAGGCGCAAAAGATTACTATCACATTATTTAGATTGTAGACAAGCATCATTTACATATCGAAAAGGTAAAGCCGTTTCATGAACTAGGTAACTCAAATCTTATTGACGTGACAAACGACTAGCCAAGCGCTTCCGCGACTTTCTCAACCTTCCCCCACACCTGGACCTCAAAGCTAACGACGACACCGTCGATATCGTCGGCTTCCTTGCCTTCGAAATGGTGCGCTTTTGACACTCGCAGGCCTCGACGTCAAAAAATCACTTGAAGAATCATATTTACGAGACGACTACCCTCCTCTCTCACGCAGCGAAAGAAACCCATAATGAAACACGAGCCCATCTGATCCAGATGACTGAAAACCTTGTCCGTCAGCATTTTGTGCCCGAAGCGAGAGTGAATCGTCACGATTTGCATTCTGAGGCGCACACTGGCAGGTGAGTCTTGTCAGAATTGTAAATTCCCTACTCGAGCCGCGGCTCAGGCCAGAGCCAGGCCAAAGCCAGCCGTCATTTGCGGCTTTGGCCCGGCTTTGATTTTTTGCAGGCCAGAGCCGTCTAAAGCCAGGCCAAAGCCGTGGCTTTTGGGCCAAGCCGGGCCGGAACATCACTAATTTGGACTACGAAGGTTTGTTGTCGGAAATCCCCAGGGGTGCCTTGGAAGCATTCTATATTGGGACACAATTGGTGTGCCTGCCAACTGCATTGCGACCGAATTCCCAGGGGGCGTGACTTAATTTGAGGCACTTGCAAGCAAGGCACATGCTAATTTTGGATTCCAAGCAGTGGTGTGATTCGACGTTGACAAGTCTAAGTAATAATAAGGTAATCAATCAATCCTCGGCTTCACCTCCTCCCATCATCGTGTCTTCAGCTGCCTTTCTGTATATCTGTGTACTGCTAGATGGCCCCAAACAGAAACGCAGACCCGGGGCGTAAATATCTTGCTTCAACATCGACCAATAACCAAGTTGATTGTCAATACTGTACCAGGTCATTCGCAGCACGTGGGATCAAATCTCATGAACAGAGTTGTTTGAGAAGACGGGATAAGAAGAATGCTAATAAAGATTTCGCAGCACTTGCAGTGCATGCAGTAGAGGAGGAGCTTCAAAGGAAAGGTACGTGGTCATTGATCAATTTAAGTACTCATTAATAATATTGATACCTTATCGCATGATTGTTAGAGGCGCGTCGAGAGAAACGGCGGAATCGTAGGAAGCTGCAGCAGACAACAGCTTCTGCTGCTGCTGCTGCTGCGTTGGTCCCTTCGGGATCGGCCCTGGATGACGCAGAGTCCTTGCCCGCTCAAGATCAGCAACCTGATTTTACTGCGCATCCATGGTCTGAAGGTGGTTCAGATCTCGTCGATATGAGCGTCAGTGGAGATGCACGCCAACGTATGTGCTACTCTGACTCTTGATGCGCCCCCCTCTAAGACCATCCAGGTTCGGCATCAGATACAAGCATGGGCACCGCGCCTATTCCAAATACCCTGTCATCACTCCCAACTATGCCTTCGGCTCGCTCCAATCTCGACACCTTCAAGACAGAGTACCACCCGCACAGTGGCCGCGCGACTTCTGTGGAGACGTTCTCCACTTTTGGACACAAAGAGCCTTCACAGCTGCCCGTCATTGACGAACAACCCTGGCAACCCTTCGCTTGTCGCGCGGATTTCGAGTTCGCCGAGCTCGCACATGGCGCTGCTTTGAACAAGAATCAGACAGATGAGCTCTTGCGGCTCATCTGGAGGATTGCGGACGGCCAAACGAACTTCACCTTCAAGTCGCATGGAGATGTTTCCAAAGCCTGGGATAGGGCAGCCGCTCAAATGACACCAGTGAGAGAATCACAAGATGTTCTTACTTTGCAGTCATATTGGTTGCCTTAGTTCGAGAAACATACCATCACCGTTCAGCACAAGCGAGAGGAGCTCGAGTACAACATGTATACGCGGCCATTGTGGGATTGGGCGCTGGACTTACTACAGGACCCTTTACTGATGCCCCATTTCGTTTGGGATGCGCAGCGATTATACAAGCATGACGGTACACGCTATGAGCGCTTTGTACACGAACCTTGGACTGCAGATAGGTGGTGGAATGTACAAGTATGCCATGTCTTACTACTATTGTTCACTTGTATCTAAGTAACGCCGTTTTCCGTATGTTTGAATCACAGTCATCTTTGCCCGAAAACGGCGTGCCGTTTGCGTTTATATTATACGCAGATAAAACACATCTCTCCTCTGCTGGCACAGTTAAGGCATACCCGGTGTTCGCTCGATGCGGAAACTTGCCCGTTGGTATCAGAAATACTGATGGGCTCGGTGGTGGGCGAATGGTTGGGTGGCTACCAATAGTGAGTTATAGTGAATCTTAGTTCCGTCGAGTTTCACTGGCGAAACAATTCTTTCGCGCAGGTTCCTGATGACTCTGAGGAGGACGGCAAGCTCACGTATGTCAATCTCAAACGGGTTGTATGGCACAAGTCATTCTTCAAGCTACTCGAAACTATTATAATGTATGCCCAGATGGGGTATGCGTATGTGTGCTATGATGGCATCATGAGGTGGCTATATGCGTTCATTCTGCTGTTATCAGCTGACTATGAAGAGCAGTACTTCATTTCGTACTAATTTCTGATGTTGTTTTCTGATTTAATCTCTCAACAGATGTGTTATGGCGCTTATACGAGGGACCAACTGTCACTGCCCGTGCCCTATCTGTCTTGTCCCTTCGGACAAGCTATACGACAACGCTTCCACTTACCCGATTCGATCATCCGACGATGCAAAGGCTTTCGTGGAGTTATGGACCAGGGACCGTGCGGCTGGAGAAAAGGCACTCAAAGAACAGGGCCTGCGGCCTGTTACGGTCAGTGCTTCCAATTAAATGTACTACTAACAGTCACATCTAACTCATTACATTATAGAACGTCTTTTGGAGTGTCCCAAATTCCGATCCTCAAGACACGATTTCACAGGACCATTTGCACGTCTATCACATGGGCCAATGGAAACATTTGTTTGGTGAACTCAAACGGCGCATCGCGGCCCTTGGACGCAGCGCTGAGAAACAAATGGATGACCAGTGGGTTTTTAATCATTTATTATCTCACTCCGCACTATCAGACTAATCCTATTTATCAATTGCTCACAGATTCGATGCCTTCCCGCGATGGCGCAATTTAAACCACTTCGATCGGGTTACTAACATCACATATAGCGATGGCAACAAGCTTCGCGATATTTCCAAGGTACGCCGTGACTTTACAGCTATCAGTTCTTCGTATTGATGAAGTCGCTCCTCTGATAGCAAGTATTGTACGCCGCCCAGAACATACTTACGCACACAGAGGATGAAGCCGGCTATGTGCTACTGCAGTGCATAGCAAGCTACTTACATATCGACATGTATATTTCACTCGAGGTCCAAACCGAAAGCACAATTGCTGCAGGGAGGGCTGAGGTATTTGAGTTTCAGAACCGCTTAGAGGTATGTGCCACTGCGATTCTGAGACTAGTTCACATATACTAACTATTTATTCACTATCTCAGGAGTACATCAAAATTGTCAAAGAGACCGATCCTGACACGATCAAAAACTGGAACTTTCCTAAGATTC